AAACAAATCTCATTCGGCTGTGGTGCGTCGACCTCTGAGCTTGGAGCGAATTTTGTGGGAAATCGTAAGCACTTTAGTTTTGTACCGACCGAGTCAATTGCGGGTCACGGCTCTTGCCTCGCGGCCGGTCTGACGTTTCATGTCCGTCCTCCGCGACTTCTCTCCTTTGGCCTTTTCAATCGTATGTCCCGTAGGAAGAAACGGTTAAAAAGTTGACCACAATATGATAAGGAAGAGGCAAATTTGTAGGTGTTGATTATGCCATAAGAGTCATCATATTAAATCTATACACTTCTGAAGACATTCAAACAAAGTGAGGTTCGATGGGACTCCGTCACGGCAGAAGTTCTTCCGAATGTTTTCACAATGTTCCTATGAGGTTTGGTCAGCATATTTTCACTAGTGATGACAAAACATGTCTACTGACAAAACACTAGGAATACTGGAATGATAGGTAAGGTCAATCACCTCGCATACTTTTCTAAAGGCCATATTGACAAAATATCAAACGACTGAAGAAGTAGAAATGTTAGAAATGCCGAATCGTGGCAGACAGGAGAAAAAATCAGGGTGAATACGCAAAGATGGAAGAAAGATGTGCAGGTGTCACAATGTTCGTTTTTTCTCCAGCATGAAATTTTTTTCCCGAATGGAACATTGATTCTGTAGCTTGGTCATCTCCGATTAACCTGATCCGCATATTCCCGCTGGTGTCCTTCAAAAGAATGACCACACAAAACACAACAAATGCCGAAATATATCTACTAGAAAAACCAGCGAGATCAGGCCGTAATCATAGACGATCAAACTACAGGTCCATCATATCCCAAACATTTTCAAGGACGATGTTGGGAGCAACCACATAATTCAACCACTGAAGATGAGACGAACTCATCTCAGAGAGACAAAAACGGCCGGAATATAGGTAGACCTGATGCTCCTGGATGATCAACTATGGGTCCACCATCGAGCAGACCTATCACAAGACCTTTTTGACATCAACAATATCACATAGTCCAAACAATGAAGATTATAAAATGTCGAATCGTGTTTATCAGGAAAAAAAGCAACGTGATTAGTCAGACGACTGGAGAAGATCTGAGAAGATCATCAGCTACAGGTCCATCATCATGCAGACCTTTCCAAGTACCACATTGATCAAAAACACTCAAACGAACCACGGAAGATGAGAAAATGCTGAACGCATATGATAAGATAGACAAGGAAGATTGTAGACGATCAAGCTACAGGTATATCACATCGCAGACTCATGGAGATGTCACAATAAAACTATTTCCGCAAGACCACATTTGCATCCCACTTTTTACCAACTACCATAAAATGTTTTCGTATAACATGGCTGTAAAATAGCACCCGGACCACTGGACATATCAAGTGGCCAAAAGGCATCAAAAAGCCCAATCGGCAAACCTAGGCACGATCTAGCTACACGTCCATCACCTCACAGGCCTTTCCAAGGACAACATTGGTATAATAGGACATAATCCAACCCCTGAAGATGAAGAAATGCCGAATCGCGTCTGATCGGAAAGAAAAAACGTGGATAGGCAGACAAGGATCATCGAAGACGACCAAGCTACAGACCTTGCAAGGACAGTGTTGATAAAATAACGCACAATCTCTAAACAAGAGACAGTGCCAAACGCATATGACAGATGAAAAAAAACGGCAAGAAATAGGCAGACCTGGATGATTCTAGACAATCAAGGTGTAACCTTTCCACAAAATTTATTTGGGCATGGTAAAAACAAAATCGTTTACGTTTAAATAGCTTTGTCATCTCGGGTCATCTTGGTCCGCCTATTCTCGCTGAGCATCGAAAAAAAAAGATTAAATAAATATTCTCATGTTAGTTCAATACCTGTCCTCTCCAAATAAAATTTAATAAACAAGGGGGAAATATAGTTACATAAAAGCTTATCATAATCCTTAAATTCTGTTTATAACGAGCGGATTAGCATAGGTAACACCGTAGTGCGGTGAACAGAATGACTCATCTCTCCATTAAAATTCATTCATGATTTGAAGGTGGGTCTCAGGATGTCGCTTCTAATGAATACCATTATAGTTTTAACAGACATGCTCTATGAATCTTGAGATGAAGTACACTCGAAAGCTCCGTATATCTTTTCGTAAAAGGGCTAACGAACTTTGCTCACATGCGAACTCTCTAGCTTGTATTAGTTTCATGCAAATAAAATAATGTTCCTAATATAAATATAAAAATGTTTCTTTAATTAAACAACAAACATCTCTGGGAGAGAGAGAATTAATGAGGGAGAGTGTGTGAGAGAGAAGGTCAGTGAGTAATTGAGAAGGAGTGAAAGAGTGAGTAAGACAGTGAGCGAGAGAGAGAGAGAGAGAGAGAGAGAGAGAGAGAGAGCGAATGAGTGAGTAAGAGAATGAATGAGTGAGTGAGTTACTGAGTGACTGAGAGAATGAGTGAGTGAGTGCCATAATTTTTGGTTTCGAAATAAGCATTCACAGTAAGGTTCACATCGTTTTTGTTGTAGTTCATTTTCTTGCTCCAAAATTTTGAGTTTCAGACTAATAGTCACTTCGTTTAAATTCGCTATTGCTTCTTTAATATTTTCACTCAAATCACTTCTCAAATTGTCACTTGTTTTAATGGCGTTTCCAAGTAATTTTAGGGAGCCACGTAACTTGTCCTCATTCGGCACCATGTTTTTTGTTCCTCTTAAGTGAGTGAGTGAATGAGAGAGAGAGAGAGAGAGAGAGAGAGAGAGAGAGAGAATGAGTGAGTGAGAGGGAAAGAGGAAGAGTGAGGGTGAGTGAGAGTAAGTGCGTGGGTAAAGAGAGAGAGAGAGAGAGAGAGAGAGAGAGAGAGAGAGTGAGAGAGAGAAAGAGAGAGAAATAGCGAATGAGTGAGCAAGAGAGTGAATGAGTGAGGGTGAGTGAGAGTAAGTGCGTGGGTAAAGAAAGAGAGAGAGAGAATGAGTGAGTGAGAGAGAAAGAGGAAGAGTGAGGGTGAGTGAGAGTAAGTGCGTGGGTAAAGAGAGAGAGAGAGAGAGAATGAGTGAGTGAGAGAGAAAGAGGAAGAGTGAGGGTGAGTGAGAGTAAGTGCGTGGGTAAAGAGAGAGAGAGAGAGAGAGAGAGAGAGAGAGAGAGAGAGAGAGAGAGAGAGAGAGAGAGAGAGTGAGTAAGTGCGTGGGTAAAAGAGAGAGAGAGAGAAAAAAGAAAGAGAGTGAATGAGTGATGGAGTCATACCAAAGAACCAACACCATCTCANAGAGAGTGAATGAGTGAGTAAGTGCGTGGGTAAAAGAGAGAGAGAGAGAAAAAAGAAAGAGAGTGAATGAGTGATGGAGTCATACCAAAGAACCAACACCATCTCAGACTACACGAATTTTTAAGAATTTCTCTTTTCCCCTTCACTACTAAAAATTGAAATGTTTGATCTGTCTATTTTTCGTGTGTTAAGCTTCAAAATGAGGAAAAAAATTTAATTTAATTGTTAATTTACAGAATTTATGTATTCTAATAGGTTTTGTGTGTGCATTTTTTAACCCCTGTATTCGGAATTTTTTCAGTAATTGGAATGATCAGTTGGAATAACATAGAGCACTATTTTGAAACTGTACGGCTTCTCAGCGTGAGTCGTGTCCGCGAGTGAACGCTATGCGTCAGCAGTTTGATCGGAGATTGTCTGTTCTCGTCGTACTCTCCAGTTCCAGGATTTAAAAGGGAAACTGAGATGTTCAAGAGGGGGCGAGCTTTGCAAGTAAACATTTACAAAATTGAATTTTTTTAAGAAAAATGCGGATCGAAAAATTTGAAACCTTACAAACTTGTTTGTCACGAGAATAAACCAAGCTTAGAGTATGTTTAGAAACTTTGATAGGTAGTTAAAAAGGTGCAATTTTTTTTTCAAATCACGGATGGAGAAACTGATTATAAATTAAGGTGAGACGTTTAGCTGCGTGTTTCTATTCGGCTAACGGTCATCCTTTGGAGTCCAGGATCCTGTCTCTCCTTGTAAAGAAATACCGTGGGGAAGCGTTGGACCGGTAAAAGAGGTAAAGGCGTACAAATAAATTTTCCGTCGAAGTTTTCTTTGGAATCCATCTATTTGTGAATCGTAAATGCAATAACGACGTTTATTCTGTACGCAACGGAATTCTGTTCACTGGTCGGACATGCTCTAATTCACATGATTCCATCTTGTTCTTTCATTCACATTCTCACGGAGGTCCAGTACGAAAAAGGCGCCTAGAACAGGGAAACGTTATATAAAATGCAACCGGCCGATATTTGTTCATATCCTGAGAAATATCCCATGGCGAAACGCGCCGATTGAAAAATTCAGATAAGCCGAGTGTAAGATCAGCAGAGGGGAAAAAATTATTCGAGCTCCTCTTCGGATTCAACCTGAAGATGATAAAATTCACTTGTCGGCCGGGATAGGAAGGCCAATCTTCGAGCTATGTGGGTCAGAGAGTAATCACTTTGTTTTCGATAGAAAGTATATAAACTTTCTGCATTGTGGAAGGATTCCTGAGCCTAGTCTCTTAGAAACTCATCTCCCAAAAACGAAAAAGAGAATCCTTTTTCTTTAAGCATTTTTGGAAAAGAACACCAACAAACAAAATCTTGCTAGGTTAAGAATCTACAGTAAACAAACCACATTTTTTTTCATACAAACATTGTCAGTCATCTCATGCTTACTTTGACAAAATGAAAAAATTTCGCGCCACTGCTCTTATTATAAAAATTGTAGGGCAGAAGACGGTCACACCAACAGTCCGATTTTAATTTTACTGTCAGTGAAGGCGTCTTTTAAAGAACACATAATATATGTTTATTTAATGATATAATGTTAAAAGATGATAAATTATGTAAAAAATTCATTAAATAAAATAAATAATATTTTTCCGAATTAATCAAAATAATCCATGTTATCCGAATCCTGTTTCGTGTAAAATAACATATTTAAAAAATAAATAAATAAATAAGCTCACCTAGTAGATCCTTCGTCGAGAACTGTCACAAAACTGTTTAGATAAGAGTAGTGAGTTAGTTGGCGGTGGTGGTTCGTTGGTTGTGGTAGTGGAGGAAATGTTGAAGGTGGTGGTGGCCGGAGGAAGGAAGATGAAGAGTAGACGGCTCCATGGTACAGGTGCCCAGCTGAAAACCAGCGATCTCTTCAGGGTTTGCCTTTAACTCTCCTTTCTCTTCTCTTGCGCCCGTTTCTCTTTTGCCCTATTTTTTCGTGCTTCAAGGTATCGCCAACTTGTACGAAAATCGTGAATTTTCATCACAGCGTTCTCCGACCCAGGAGAATCTAATTATTTATAAAAAATAATTAATAAAATAAAAACTTATAGTTTTTTAAATTTATTTATTGATTAAAGTGAAAGTTCTATGTCTTCAGGAAAAATGGGCGCGCTTAAATTTGTCCCTTTTTTCGGGGTCGCATCATCGTTTCGAACGTTTCCAGGGGTCCATGAAATGAAAGGGGGTACAATTTGACCAAAGCTGATTTCACTTTGAAAAAGTTAATAAGAGCTTTTAGAAATTCATACCATTGCTAAGTGCTACAGAAAGAGTGGGATAATTAAAAACATCATTCACATTCAGTTTTCTCTATTATTCGACTAACTTACGTGGAATAATAAAATTTTTAATTATTTCATCATATCTTGTTGTTCATTTGATTTATTAACAATAAATTTTATTAGGTTTCGTTGTCCGCTTGACCAATTGACATCTTTCAATTAATTAAGGTTTTTAGTTGAGATAAAAAAGTCAGTGTCACGAGCGGGATTCGAACCCAAGACCTTCGGCTAAATACGGCGCTGCTCTACCACTTGAGCTATCGTGACTTCGATCCACTCGGACACCAATCTCAATTCCACCTTTTGAATTTTCCCTCCTTTTTGCCATTTTTCAAATGTCATGTAATCTATTTGATTCTCTTTATTGATTAATCTATTGATTAATAATAAAGTTTCACTCGATATGAGAATGCTTGAATAGGACAGCGAGTATCTTGGTCCCCTGTTTCAATATTTGAAATGGAGGAAACAGGGTTGTTTTACTGTACATAGTAATGATAGTCTTGTGTCCCTAGCACGTGTTGAGAGTGAATGTATTTATCAGCGTGAATGTCAGAGAGACGATGGTGGAATATTGAATACCGCATCAGCCCTCAATTATATAATATATACAATAATAAGTATAATTTGGGCTGACTTACATGCACTCACCAACTCAAGATTCGAATTGCTTAGGTTAGACCACATGTAGTGTTTTGGGTAACGAATACTTTGGATCACAGTATGGTCTTGATGAAAAAGCAAATTCAGTTGTTACTGCAGAGCTTCGACTTATTTGAAGGCCTTCATCAGGGAAAAACAATATTAAATGTCTATAAATTAACAGCCACACTGTGATCGAGTATTCCTGAGTAGAAAAGTGGTCGATACATCTACCACTTAAAACTTTTGGGTAATGAAAGAACGAGCATATTTGCCAAGCAAGCATCTCAGGTTGTAAACCTTCCAGAATCCTCAGCAGCACCCATCAGTTACATTGAAAGAAGCCAAGGCTCTTTTGAAATGGAAATATCTCTGGGCTTCTCAAAAAGGAGCTCATACAAAACACTTCTTCCGATCTATTATGCAACAAAAGTTGTCCTCCATTAATGTCACCTACAAGAAAACACAGGTCATATCCGGACATAGGAACAAATATAGCGAACCTCCACTGCTTCCATCATACAAAGTAATGTTTGCCCATGGACCACGTACTGTTCACCTGTGCAATGTTTGAACACGAAAAAACAAGTTGGTGACATTCTTGGTGATGACCAATGTATGTGGCCTCCTAAAAAGAGTGATTGAGTATCAAATTATAAAGAGCTTGGATTTGAGAACTTTGTTTCAACAATAGATTTTGATAAACTGCAGTTACATACCTTACCCTTCTAATTAATTGTGATTTATTTATAAAACCTTAGTTTCCATTACTGTACTGCACATATTTGAAAATTATGTTAAAAATATGAACAAGGAAAATGCTTATTTTAATTTATTTATGAAACTTAAAGTGTAAAAATGTTCTTTTACAATCATGTAGGTTTGGTTTTGTATAATATACGTATTTTTTTGTAAATGAATGCAAATAATATTTGTGTGAAGCAAAATTATACTTTATATGATTTTTATGTTAATTTTGGTATAAATAACCAGTTTATACTGTTACAAATTGTTGAAAAAGATTAAAACTGTTAAAAGCTACAGATTGTGACAGTTCAAAATGGTAGAAAGAGAAAGTATAAGAAATGTCATTTTCATTCAACCCCTTTTGTTTATTTTATAATATATTATCAATAAAATTAATAAATTCTAAAATGATTATGTTTATTATGGAATAAATAACTAGTTTGCAGGATTTACAAATTGTTGTTGAAGGTGAGAACTCTTTAAACATATTGATTATGACCGTTTAGAACTACAAGCAGAAAAGCTCCGTCAATTTCTTTCCTATATGTACAACTTTAGTTATTATGGATAAAATGTGCAATTTCTATCATGTGTTTCTATCAATGATGTCATAATTACCAATTTGTACCTACGCAATTTGTTAACAAACAGAACTGTCAAAATGTATAGATAGTGAGAGGTAAGAAGAGTATATTTCCTCCTTCTTGTTTTATTTTAATTAATATGAATAAAATTTGAAATTGCTGGTATTTATATGGAGTGAAGTATAATCAGTTTCTATAAATAATATGCATTGCAAAAGAAGAAGCTGGTTAAAATTTGTAGATGGTGAGATGTGAGAATTTCTGGCCAATTTGGTTAATAAGAATAAATAAACAGATTGTACTAATTAATTTATTGACTTAGAAGTGAAAGGTCAAAATTTGCAGATAGACAGGAGAAGAGTGGTAATTTCAACCCTATTTTTTTCCTTTACAATATATTATCAATAATTTATAACATCTAATATGGTTATGTTTATTGTATGAATTATGTGCACTGCAAAAAAAGATCATTAAAATATGCATATGCTGAAATTAACGAAGTAGCAATTTCCATTATTGATTGTGTTTGGCTGAAATGTATAATTGCTATGATGTTTATGTTAATAATATCATAAAGAGCCAATATATATCCCTGATATTTGTCCACAAAGAGAAAAAATGTTAAAATTGTATAAAGAGTGTGAGGTAAGAAGTGAAATTTCCTCCCTGTTTGTTTTATTTTATTTATTATGAATAAAATTTTATATTGTTTATATTTGTATGGAGAGCATAAATAATCAGTTTATATCAATACAATGTATTTACTATTACATTTTAACAGTGAATGAGAGAGCTGTTAAAACTTGAAGTTTGTGAAAGTTCAGACCTGGAAATGACCACCCTATTTTCTTTTTTTTTTTTTTTTAATAATATTATGAATAAAAATGATAATTTCTAAGATTATTATGTCATAAATGTACCATTTTAACCAGTGTGTGTCAATTCAATTTTTTCACATAAAAGCTTAAGTTATATTTTGGAGATACATGTAAAAAGAAAAGCTCTCTCGATTTCCTTTCTATTTGGTTAACACAATTATAAAATTATATGTAATGTATAATTTCTATGGTGTTTATGTTAAATGGGTCATACATAACTAATTTGTAAAAATGCAATTTTGATAAAAGAACTGTCAAAAATGTATAGATAGAGAGGAGAAAGAAAAGTATATTTCCTTTCTGTTTGGTTCATTTCAATTATAATGGATAAAATTTAAATTTGCTAATTTTAATATTGAATGAGACATAAATAATTTGTTATTATTAACATTACTTATTGAAAAGGAAAATGTTAAAATTTGCAGATTTTGAGATGTAAGAAGTGACACTTGCCATCCTATTTATTTAATAACAATATGGATATACTTTTTATGCAAGGTCTTGGTTGAGACGGAAAAGCTAGTGTCACGAGCGGATTCATTCAAATTCAAAACCATTACCTTCAGTTCATTACACCACTGCTCTAACCACTTGAGCTATCAACATCACTTCTCACATATTGAGCCAAAGGTTGTGGGTTCAAATCCTGCTCGTGTCATTAGCTTTTTTATCTCAACCTTACATAAACATAAAAAGAATAATTAATTGAAATAATTAATTTTGTAAATTAGACCACTAAACATAAATGGATTAATATGGATATATTTTAATTACATATCAAAAAGAAGAAGAAATAGTGTAACAGACCCTTTCTCGGTGCAAAGTCCTATGCAGGCTGAAATCCTTACTCCTTGGAAAGGAAAAGCCAATAGAAATGATAAATGGTTGAGTGAGTGTGTTGTTCAATCTTTGTAAAAAGATAGTTCCTACTCGCAATAAGTCTAAAGAATTGTTGATACCGAATGTAGGTTTGAAATTGGTGTGTTTTAATTACTTTATCAATTGTAATTGCAAGTTTTTGGCAAGGGAAATTATAAAAGGACACCTCAGTTCTTATAGGTTTGTTTTCCTTGTAAATTTTGACTGTACCGTATAACGTTGGGTATTTCGGATTTATTGGTATTAGTTTTTTAACTGCATATTGGTCATCTGAGAATAAAAAGTCACTATTTTTTATGGCTCTTTGAACTCTCGTTTTTAATTTTAAGGTGGGATCTTATTTTATTTAATGTTTTGACATTTAGATTTACCAAGTTTTGTTCAATTACTTCAGCACATTTATATTTTATATTTGTATTTATGGTACAACATTCTGCCATGAACCAAGGGATAGTAGTTTTTGTATTTAATTCTGTTTTGGTACAAATTTTAAGCCTTTGTTTAATAAATTGTTTTCTTCTTTATTTAGTTAAATGTTTATTAAGTTTATAACCCTTGGGTAAAATTTAATTGAAGTTTTTTGGTCTTTAAGGGGATTTTTATTTTTAAGTGTATCGTACTTCGTTTTTAATTTTTTTTAATCAAATATACTTTGTTTTTTTATCCCATTCTACTGGAGACAATAATGGGGCAATATTGATAAAAACGTATTTATCTCTTTACAATTTCTGTAATTCATTATTTAATTTTTTTTTTTTTGCAGTGTGTGGCCAACTTTGGATTAATAAATTCTGGACCGAAATTTTCAAGTTTTGTACAACACCCGTCCAGAAAGGCATGGTTGGTCTCTTTTGCAATGATATGACCTCCAGTTGCAAAAGCTTATGACCCTAGGCAGACTAGAAAATAGCTATATCATTTTTCGTGTGGCAATTCAGGCATAGGAAATTCAAGAGGACATCTGAATGTAAATTTTACAGTATGCATTTATATTTTTATTTTTCCCTTTGATACATTTAATTCAAATAGATTCAAGAGATTTTTAGGCATGTAACTTAACTAGCCTTGGATCAAAATTGACTTGGTTGGCCCTTCAAGGGCAAAACCTCACATCGGACATTTATCAGTCTGGAAAATAGCGAGTAAAACATTTTTCAGATGGAGTTCAGGCTTAGAAAATTCACCAGGGCTACAAGGATTTTTATTTAAAAAATCTTCTTTTTAGGCTGGAAGTTAAGGACGGGGGCTATAAAAAAAAGGCATCAGTTAAATTGTGTAGTACTCATTTATCAAGCTTTTTAATCTTTCCAGAAAAAAGGTGTATATTGATTTTCAAAATTGTTTGCCCACGTATATTAATCTGGTTTGGGATGTTATTTGGTATGTGGTCCTTCAATTCTGTTTTTGGTACAAATTTTAAGCCTATGTTTATGTCCTAAATAAAAATAATGTAATAACCATTTAAAAGTGAACGATTTTTTAAATACACCTCTCTACAATTTCTGTTAAAAACGTAGGACATTGTACATTGCCCTGAGGAAGGCCAAATATAGAGCTGAAAGCTTGGCAACTGTATAATACAGTGTATGATTCATTGAAGGACCACATACCCAATAACATCCCAAACCAGATTATAATCAAAGTTGGTTGATAACTGAACAACCTCCTGGTGGTACAGTCCTGGAGAGAATGGAAAATTTGGCAGAGTTTCTAGTTTTTTGTACAAATAGAGATTCACAATAGACCAATACTGATCGCGGTAGTCAGTTCGTAAAGATGCCGGCTCCTAATCTAATCTAATCTAATCCAAGATGATTATGTTAATTTTATCATAAGGGATATGGATGAATTTTTTGAAATAAACCGGTGACATGTGTTGCGTCACCAGTCCAACCTTGACTCTCCAACTCTTTCTCACCAACTATCTCTATCTCTGCAGTATCTCTATCAACGCTTGATAGGGTTTTTGTAGGGTGTAATGCGATTCGAGACTCGATTTTTCCCAGTAGGAATTTCCTCATTAATAGCAGAAAAGTCTGTTTAATGCGAGTCTCGGTCGTTTCTCTCTGCGAATTTCTTTGTTCTCGTTTCGTCCCCAGGCATGAACCGGTGAAATGCTGCGACATCAGGGAGTTGACGGATTTCATCGCGGATAAGCGACGTCTGCTCGTGCTCACCGGTGCCGGGATCTCGACGGAAAGCGGCCTGCCCGACTACAGGTCCGAGGATGTCGGCTTGTACAAGAGGAACGGCAAATCGCCTCCCTACGTTCCGATCAGCTACCAGCAATTCATCAATAACCACCGATTGAGGACCAGGTTCTGGCTCAGGAACTATCTCGGATGGGAGAAAATGTTCGCGCTTCAGCCCAACTCGACTCATCTCACACTGAAGAAGATGGAAACTTTGAACAAGGTCTTCTTCATCGTGACGCAGAACGTGGATTCACTTCATGAAAAGGCCAAGAGCTTGAACGTCGTCGAACTTCACGGCAGTGCTTATCGCGTCAAATGCTTAAGTTGCAGTTATTCGATTAAAAGGGAATTTTTCCAAGAAGCGCTTGTCACCTCCAACCCGTACGTCGACTCGGCCTCCGCCACCATAGCCCCGGACGGATACGTCGAATTGCAAGAGGTAACCGACGACTTCAACCAAAAGTCAACTCGTTAGGTTTACATCCGTTTGATTTACATAAAAAGCTCTCCCGTTTCAAGATTTACCACTTTTTTCTCCCATTCAAATTGACTCATTAAATTATAAGCCTCATTGGGATATTTTGAGTACCAGTTCCTCAAAGAAGCAAGGTAGAAAATCCTTTTTTTTATTTTCATTTTTAAAAGTCAGATTAAGGACTATGTCGATTTTCAAAACTGTTTGCCCAAGACTTGTCAAATAGCTCAGAAAAACTCGTCCTGATGACAATTCTGGAGAATATGGAGCTTTCATATTGGAGAGTTTTCATTAACCCTAGATTGAAATATTCATTTTTCAGAAATTTCTGACACCACAGTTATAATTTATATGTACATATCACGTCATTTTAAATCAATTTTTCTGAGTTTTGTCGTTTTCAAAATTGTTTGCTTAATGGTATTGTTGAAAAACAAAAAAAATGGACTTTTAACGACACCGCTGGAGAGTATTGAGCCGTGAGAGTTTCTTATCTGATAATTGTTCACTCGTAATTTTTTGCAATTTGTGGAGTTGTCATTAACCCTAGATTGAAATGTTCATTCTTTTTATGGCACCAGACCAGAATGGCAAAGTTGTTCTTTTCTATGTTGATTTGTCCTTGAATGGCAAACGCTCATTCAAGACTTAAGACCTTCTTGCAAACAAATCTTTTGGTTTTGACTTACTTAATTGTTTTTAACAGAAAACCTACTTGATTGCTTAAAATTCTGTCACCGAGGGTATCTGGTTATTTGTTTTAACAGACTTGGAAATTGAGGACTGCGGTAGTCGAGTGGTTAGGGCATCAGACGATTGGTCGTTGACTGGCTGTAGGTTTGAAAACTACTGCTCAAAAATTTCTGATGCCACAGTTATCATTTATATGTACACACCACTTCATTTTAAATCAATTTTTCTGGGTTTAGTCAGTTTTCAAAATTGTTTGCCTAAGGATATTGTCAAAAAACTTTAAAAAAATGTCTTTTGACGACACCCCTGGAGGGTATGGAGCCATGGTAAAGTTTCTTATCCGATAATTGTTCACTCATAATTTTTTGCAATTTTTGGAGTTTTCAGTTTTTGAAATGTTTTGTTTTTTATGACAACAAAGTTGGTCTCTCCTACGATGATTGACCTCAAAAAAAGTCATCAGTTACATTGTGTAGCACTCATTTATCAAGCTTTTTAACTTTTCCAGATAATGGTGTATATCGGTTTTCAAATTTGTTTGCCTATGTGTATTGTCGAAAAGCTCCGAAGTGGTATACTTACAGGTGGTACAGCCCTGGAGAGAATGGAAAATTTGGCAGAGTTTCTCATCTGATGTCAAAATTTCCTCCTGTGATTTTTACAGGATATGGGTGAGCGTTGATTAGCCCAACCCTGGGTAGAAATCTTCAAGTTTTGAATGGCGCCTATTGAGACAGGCATGTTTGGTTTCTCCTGTGATGGTATGAGATGCAAAAGCTCATAATGGACCCTTGTCAGTTCGAAAAATAGTGACTACAACATTTTTATATGGGATTCATCAAGGGAAAGCCATTGATATGACCACAAAAAATTATTACACACTATTCATATTTCATTGCAAGTGAAGATGATTCTATCCTAAAATCTATTTTTAGAGCATACTGTCATCCAGTTAAATTGTGTAAGACTCATTTATGTAGCTTCTTCTCCCAACGAGAAATGGTTTGTCTAAGTCATTGTTGAAAAGCTCAAAAAAAGATTTCTTTTGACGACAGTCCAGCTTATTTTTAAGTTTCATATGACCAATCCAGAAAGGCACAGTTAGTTGGTCTTTTCTGCAATGAGTTGATCTTTAGAGACAATAGTTCAGTTTTAAGACTTAAAGAGGGGCTTATTATGTCACAGCAGAACAATCAAAAAGTTTTTTTAAATTATACACATGATTTCAAATTAATTTAAGGCTTACTTGCAAACAAATGGCATCTTTTGACTTTTATAATTACATATGAGAAAAAATCTGCTGGGTTGCATATAATTCTGTCATCGAGAATATCTGGATATTTACTTTTGCAGATTGGAATTTGACAGACTACAATAATTGAGTGGTTGGTGGTGGCATCAGACACTTGGTTTGTTGACTATGCAGTTGTGGGTTCGATTTTCACAGCCCCCCTGGAATTTCTGACCCGACAACTGCCACTTAATTTTAAACCAATTTATACAATGAATTTTTAGTCCTCCTGTTCTAAATTTTGTAGCCTATTAGTCTAGATTAAACTTGCACTTATTCGATTAAAAAGCTATAATTTTTACAAAGCTCCTTACACTTTTTATGTATATAAAGTGATGATTATATCTTTTAATTTCATCGCACTCAGAAAATTTTTATGTAATGTAAGTACTAGATTTACTTTCGATCTTTTTTTTAATTGTGAATTTAAAAAACGAGTGTCTGTAACTTACAGATCAAACTCCTTGCTGGGTTGGTCTGTTAGACGCATATCACCATCCCAAGTGTGTTTCTATTGTTCGCACTAACTCAAGGATGGTGAAATGATGAAATGCATCTAACAGACCAGCCCAGCGAGGATAGGCGACCAAAATGATCGGTAATTATCCAAATCAGTTCATGATTGAACCTATAAATTATTCATTCATCCTGGTCTACCTATTCGTGCTGTGTTGGTTTGTCAGATGTGTTTAATCATTTCGTCATCTTCAGTGGTTCATCTATGTGCTAATCTGTCATCTGTGACCATAAAATCATTATTACAGTTGGTATAAATGCAGATGAAATCGCGATCCTAGAGACTTATGTTAAAAGATTTCTCCTTGTTTTCCTTGATGTTGTAACTAACCAACTTGTAATTTGGTCATTTCCGATCATCCTAGTTTCCCTTTCATACTGACATGGTGAGGACAGGCATACCAGGATGATCAGCACCGACCAAATTGCATATTTCCTTGTATTTAATATAACAGTCTAATTGTATTTTTATGTCGTGTTCTATCAGAATTTTAATTTCTGGGCATTATTCTTTTCCAATACTTATTAATACTTTACTATTAATAATTTACTATTGATAATTTCTGATTAATCAATTATGAGTCTGCATTTTTAAATAGACTCTAAGAAGTTCTGGGTCTTTTGTAGAAGTGATTTAAGTTTACTTATATATAACTAACAAAGTGCTCCTTTGTTCTCTTTTGATGATAAGCTCCATTGAGAGTGGTGAAATTTATAAAAGAAAATTTCTGAGTTCAGTAGCCAGTTTTGAAACACTCTTTTTAAAGGAAAACAGTTTTATTTTGACAAGGTATTTAAAATGGCTCAAAATAATTTTTCTCGCACAAAGATTTTGGAATTTGAGGATGTAAATTTAACCTTGTTTTGCTTATAAATAAAATGTAGGTAATTACATCCTCATATTTCAAGCTGCTTGAAGCCAATTGTTAATAAGGAAAATTACATTTAGCTTTTGACTTAGGGATACCGTACACACCTCACAGGTCACCAAGAAAGTACTTTGTAAACTTGAAATAAGATAAATGAACCTGTAATTGGTCATTACTGCTAAGTTTGGTCTGTCTATCCTTGCTCGGAAGACACCGACAAACAAAGAAAATACTTTACAGAAGGAGACTTGTTTTCACAAAAATCACCCAGACTCAACACTGATGATGACGAAATGCTGAAAGATTCTAACAGAGTGAAAACAAGGTTGGCAGACAAATGATCAGTAACTACCAAATCACAAATTTGTCTCAAAGTAAAATCGAAATAACATTTAAAAAACTGGAATTTAACTTAATGTTTTTAGTTCACATGATTCAACTTTTGTTGATCAACTAACGTTCATAAGGAATCTATCGTAAGAACATTTTTCAACAGAGGTGATCAATTTTCAACTTCTCCTTTTGTTTGAAGAAAAAAAATTGAGCCTAAGTTGACTTGAGGTGTGATGCTAAAATTATTGGAATTTTATTAGAAGCATTACTGCCTTTGGGGGAACCATGATGGCAGACTTGCCACACTAACGCAGTCCTGTGTTTGAATACCAGCAAAGGTCATTGATTTTTAATTGTGAATAATATGGAAGAAGTATTTTAAAGTGGATTAACACCTCATCCATGACACCCAATAGTTAATAAGATGTTAAGTCCTCCTTGGAAAACGGGTCGATTTTAAATTTGCCAGATTAAAGGTCCTGTGTTCAAATCCTGCCCATTGCTTTTTAATTAATAATGACATGAAAAATGTATTGTAAAGTGGTTTACCTCCTTGTCTGTGTCACCCAGTGAGTAGTCAGTTAGGTCCTCCTGTATGACAGGAAAACTGGATCGATTTTGTATTTGCCAAGTTAAGAGGTTGTGGGTTTGGATCCCAGCATAGCATATGGATTTTTAATTGTAAATGATATGGGGAAAGTATTGTAAAGTGGTTTGACCCCTTTTTCGCAACCCCCACACAGATTAGAAAGAAAACACTAGTTCTAGAAAAGAAAAGTAATTTCCAAATTTATTATTACAAAATTAAGGCATTTGCCTTTTGCTTCAGATTAATGCTATTCTTTGGTATAATGGTTGTGATATAACATTAATGATATATGCACCTAAGGCCTAATGATGATGTGACTTGATGAATATAAAAATAAAGATGTGAAAGAAAGTGCATGTTCTGTTCTAATAGAAATGAAAATTACTGGACTTACTACTGATTCGTAGAATCAGAAAAATTAGTTTCAATTGAGAATGTGTCTTTACTGAGCTTTTAGTATATTTTTCTTTTTGTTTTTGTCAGCCATGGATTAATTTCCATTATTTTGTTCACAGAACGATGATATTCATTTTGCTGTTCCTGATTGTCCAGATTGTGGAGATCTTTTGAAACCGGACATAGTCTTTTTTGGGGAAAACATACCAAAAGAGCGGCTCTCTGAAGTCAGTAAATTGATTCATAAATGTGACTCATTACTTGTTCTTGGTTCAACGTTGACTGTAAACTCAAGTTATAGAATAGTACATGCATGCCATGAAATGAAGAAACCGATCGCAATAGTCAATATTGGTCCTACGAGAGGAGATAATTTTGCATTAATAAAAATTGACACAAGATGTGGTGCCATTTTGCCTTTAGTCTTTCAAGAACTGTGGCATTTAGAAAGTGGTTTATTTTAATTGTTAAAAATTTATTTATTATTATTTTTTAAAGTGATATTTCATGGCAATTAGCAACATTTGTTATAAACAAAATTGAATAAATTTGTGTTATTCAGTCAGTCTTATTCATTGGATTTCTTTTTGGCTTTTTGCATAATGTATCAGAATTTAACAACAATTAGCAAAATAATATACACAAACATTTTAAACATCTTGTTTATCAAAAATTGCCCAACTGTTTCTTTCAAGTAAACGGAAATAATTTGGCTTACCATGGATTAATATATTTTTATCTAATTTGCACGAAATTAAGAAATATATTTCAAATGGCTTTTTATTAATAGTGCTAGCATTATTGTGAGTGTGGTTGCTTAACAAACAGCAAAACATAACATTCATCTATATTCTATAACCAAAATAGCACCAATCACATAGTTTATATTGTCAATTGTAAAATATTAATTTCCATGGTTTCTAGTCAATTGTTAAAATAATTAAAGTCAAAATCTTTGACTTCAGTGTGGATTAAACCTCAGAAGCCTCATTCAAATGAAATTCACGACCTTTCAATAAGTACGTAGCATGTGTTGAGTTGATGGTTAAGCTTTTTTAAATATTTTCGTATTATAACTTTTTATTAGTTATGTACTGATTCACTTAGTGTGTTCCAAAAGCTGAGAAGAGCCCCCCCCCCATAATAAATAAGATAAAATTAGGTTAAAAGGGATCGACATGGTTGGGATGAAAGTCAAATGGTACCTGGTCATATAGGGACAGCCGGGAACGGAGAAGCAGACAGGGCGGCCAAAAGGCCTTATGACGCTACCCATACAGTTCGGCCGGTGGATTTAAAACTTAATTTCAAATACAAAAAAGGAGAATGAAAAAACAGCTGGGCTCGAAAAAATAGAAATAACCCTAACAAACTGAGGCAGGTTAAGAAAGAGGTCGATCACGGATGGAGAACAGGTCAAAAAGATAAAAGGTCATACTACAAGTATAACGCACGGGCACCTTCTGGCTGGATAGTGACACTGCCCATTATCAATGATAGAATAACAATTGAACATAGTTTCAATTGTAGAAGGCTCGACTATATAGACAGACAATACTTTGGCATATCATCCAACCTGTGTGCAGTATTGAGGCACGATAGCAGGCACAGATTGCTGTTCTGGGACATAGAACTATAGGGATTTTTAAATGTATGTTCTGTCTGGGTTGTGTTTATGTTACTTTACTGTAATGAATGTAATTTATTGGAAGAGGTTTTTTAAACCTGTCCCAGTAATTTGAATACTCTGGAGGAGTGTATGTGACCAGACTTCTATGTTCGTAATGGATGTTGTGTTTGTTAATTTACTGGAATGAATGTAATTTATTAGCATGAAANGAACATCTAAAGAGACTGAAAAATTTGCGAAAACATATTGACTATATTGAACAAACAAATTGGCTATATACGCCTATTGATGAATTAATTGGACATACAGAAAATACTAATAAAAAACTTTGATTGTATGTTACGATAGCAAAATCAGTTATGTTCAAAATCTTCCTCAAGCTGTAGGAAAATTTTCTATAAGTTGTTTTAGTGTTAAAATCATGTGTTGTGAGATTTCCTTGTTGGGTTGGTCTGTCAGATATGTTTCAATCATTACGCCATCTTCAGTATTGTGCCTGCAGCATTATGAACCTATAATTTGGTCGTTACCAAACAACTGTTCGTTTCTTTCCATATAAATATAATTAAGACAAATTTATAATTTACAGAAGAAGTATGGTACTGCAATGTCTGAGTGGTTAGGGTGTCCAACTTATTTTTCCCATGCTTGCAATTGTGGGTTCAAAGCCCATCAGAGCCAATGGTTTTTTAATGGGTTATAGTATGAAACATTTCCTGTTTTACAGGAAAACTTAGTCAATCCTGTATTTGCCAAGTTATAGGTTCTGGGTTTAAATACCAGCAGACCCCTTTTACAGGAGACGTCATCATAAAATTAACCCAGACTCTACGATGAAGATGGCAAAATGATGAAATGCTTCTGACAGACCAACCAAGCAAAGATAGACCAAGTCAATTGGTATGGATCAAATTACAAAATCATGTTTTATTACACAATATTAATTCAATTATTACTCAATTTATGTTTTTACTTTTATTTTTTTGTTCTTTTTTTCAGGTTTGTACAAATTCTATTTCTAAACAAGGAAAACTAAAAGACATGTGATGATGACAAAAAAATTGTCAATAAAATAAACTAAATTCATCTTTCAACTTGATTGTGATTTTATTCTGGTCATAGATTCTATAAACTGTTTTCTGCATATACAAAGGCAGTTGAATTAGTTTTAAGTTAAATATGTTATCAGATGAAGCCGTTATAGTACTGACCAACAAAACATTACTGTAACGTTTTGAGTAAATATTCATGTTTCACCTGTCTTCTAAAGAAAATAATAAAATGTTTATTATTGTATTTCATAATTAAAATATCGACGAAAGAAAAACTGAATTATGAAGCTTTATTGATAAAATATTATTATTAAAAATTTGTAATATTAAGTGTTAAAATAAATCAGTACCAATGAGTACTAATTTTTATATTATTTTTCTGAAATAAATTTGTTGAGATTAAATCACATAATTACATACCTGTACTCCTACTATATTATTTAAACTGAGTTCATTGAAAGTCAGACAAAACAAACCTAAAAAAAAAAATTTAACACCACAAACTAATGTGCTTATCCTGTTTTCTATTTGGAAATTTACCCTTGAATGCATCATTGATAGGCTAAGTTGGATAAATTTTAATATGATTAAGCTAAACAATTATCTAGATTTCAATATTGAACATGTAATCAAAGAAAATGGATAAAGTGTAGGCAAGGTATACAAATAAAACTAACAGGAAAATCGTCTCATTGGCTGAATTTTCACTTAAAAGAAATAGCTGTCCTACAATCACTCTAGTCCCTAACTAGGTTTAGTAGTTTTGCCATTTCTATTATAATTCTTTAATGGATGTTTTTGCATGTCTCTGTCATGCAGCATGATCCCATTGAACGGAGGACTTAATTCTTAACCTGTTGTCTCATGGATCTACATTTTTGGCAATTTGGTACGCTAAAAAACAATTCAGGACTGATAGGTGTCCTGATCGAACTGTCCTTGGCCTATTTATCGATCTTTTTGCTCTTCTGACCTTTATGAATTGGTACCTAAACAAGGTCCCAATCCCAAACGGTTATTATATATATTACCGATAAGTTACAGTATTTGTACCGTTTGGTTGTCTGAGTAGATGGCTATACTTTTGTTGATAATATCTTGCCTTTTGAGATCGTATAAATCACCTAACAATATTACAATTAATTAAGGTTTTTAGTTGAGATAAAAAAGACAATCGCACGAGCGGGATTTGTACCCACGATCTTCGGCTAGATACGCTGCTGCTCTACCACTTGAGCTATCGTGACCTCGATCCACTTGGACACTAACTTCCCATCTCAACCACACCTTTTTGAATTTTCCCTCTTTTTTGCCATTTTTCAAATGTCGTGTAATCGGATTGGATTCTCGACGACAAATGAAATGGCCATGGAGAGCTTTAGTGAAGTATACTTCATTTTAAATCATTAAATTCACTAATTTCATGGTCCGCTTGACCAATTAATATATTACAATTAATTAAGGTTTTTAGTTGAGATAAAAAAAGTCAATGGCACGAGCGGGATTCGAACCCACGATCTTCGGCTAGATACACCGCTGCTCTACCACTTGAGAGCTTGCTCTACCACATTTTCATTTTGAAAATTGAAAAATGGCAAAAAGGAGGGAAAATTCAAAAAAGTGGAGTTGAGATGGGAAGTTAGTGTCCGAGTGGATCGAGGTCACGATAGCTCAAGTGGTGGAGCAGCGGCGTATCTAGCTGAAGATCGTGGGTTCGAATCCCGCTCGTGCCATTGACTTTTTTATCTCAACTAAAACCCTTAATTTATTGTAATGTATTAATTGGTCAAGCAGACCACGAAATTAGTGAATTCACCTAACAATGTTCCTGAACATGCCTTCTCCTGTGTGTATGCTTGTGTTTACCTCTCATAGGTGTAAGAACCATAGCCTTTGCACCAACAGAGGACATGCTCTGCTGTTTCTTTTTCCTGGCAATATCTTCAATAAGTTCATTATGTTTATTGATCTGATCGATCAAATTACTTCTTTCAATTATTTATTCTTTGTATCTAAGGTCTTGGTTGAAATGAAAAAGTTAGTGTCACGAACGGGATTCGAACCCACAACCTTCGGCTATCTTCAATAATCTTGTTTCTACTTTTCTGAGTATATACTTATGCCTCTGGAGCATGCAGTGTTCAGTTAATCCTACTGTTATTCTAATCCTAACTAGCTTTCGCGGTTCTGATGTTAGTTTCTGCGATTGTCCTGGTCGAACTCTAGCTGGTTAATTTATCAATTTCCTTATTGCCCCTTTGCCTTGATGCCTAAATAAGGTTAATTTTGTAGTACTCAATTCTTTGGAAATGACTACCGATGAGGTAGTTGCCTTTAGTGCAGCTATGTCTGAGTAGATAGCTATTCTTTTGTTGATAATACCGAGCAATTTGATCTCCCTGGCAGTGTTCAATAGCCTTAGTCCCCCCTTAAAGACAGGCATATTGCCCAAGGCCATGAATTCTAATTTTATATATTACCAACTCCACGGTTCATATTTTTCAACCTATAAATAGGGATGAATTATAGTTGTATAAATACTATCTCCTGACCTAGGCCTTAGAGCCATTTTTATACCAGATATAGCCAGCATTAATGGTGATCCCTTTCTCCCAATCTGCTCTGCCGAGTCTTTTAATTCAAAATGTCTTATCATATATGTTACACTAATGTAAGATCAATACCACATCAAGAATGGACCATCTCTAACAACAAACTTGCAAAAAACAACTAGAGTTCTAAGACTGGTCAAGTACCACAATTAAGCACACCAGCAGTGGATCAAAGATGAGAGAAATATCAGGTTTAAATAAAACAATGTACTTTATTTCCACAAGGAAAAGATAGATCTTTTTCTCAGCTTGTTGGAATTACAGAAAATGATATCAGTTTGAATTCTTGTCTAATAAAATATCACCTAATTAAATAATATCGAACAAGATATTTGCTGACTCTCCCAAGAAAACACAGAGTCATCGAAACAACAGGGCTTCAGTTTGGACACGCTGTATTTACTGTCTAAAAAAATTAGCAGAGTGCACTTTTCATGCATGAATCACCAAGGACCCCAGATTTATAAAAAAACTTCTGCAATTTAAAAATATCACAAATTTCTATTTACTTATCTGTTTACTTATGAATTTTCATAGTACCAAGTTAATTTAATAAAATAATAGTCATTTATAAGCTTTTTAGTTTAGAAAAAATTCTTGAAATGTTCTTGTCGATGATAGTATTACTCTCCTCGGGATTGTTGCAGCATGGAATTTATCACTGACATATCTACAGGGTTATGCCAGACAAGGTAGTCACGGTAGACTTGCTTTGTGTCCGTAGGAAAAGGTGGATTACGCCGTTTTGTCCCACCGTGATGCGGGTTCCAAGTATAACTGTGCGACAATACTCCCTTTCTTCTAGCATCGAGTAATATCTGACAACCCAATACATCCTTTTTCCTTGGGAAAACATCACTGAAAACATTAACATTATTATTAAGGAATAACATTAATAGATAAAAAGCATGAATAAGGTGATATAAGGGTCAATCAACATCAACAAATGTAAATGTTTTTATTTTGTATTAGTTAAAGCTTACATTAAATTGAAGCGTTGAATGACAAGCTATCATCTAATTAAAGTTACTTTAGGTAACATTATTGAAATTTAGGTAGCATTGCACCTCCAAACTTGACCACCATGGTCTGATGGTAAAAATACATTAAAAAAACATGATTAAAAGAAAGTGGCCGCATTGGTGGACAGGATCTGTCTGTCGATTGGCTCTTGGAGAATCTGACTTTTAGAAGAAGGGTCATCCTCACATGATTAAGAATAGGCCATGCGAGGTTCACACTTAGATTTGGGCCAAAGCCATTTGTCCTGCCATTATATGTCCTGTGTGTAAAGGTTTCTCGATATGTCCTACCTAATTAAAGGGTACATTAATTTCATAACACTGACACATTGACTCATTAATTTCATAAGATAACTGACTCATTTGCTAATTAATTTAATAAGAAAACTATTCGACCTAAGGATGAATTCAATAAACATTGAAGGGCGCAACTCCTTGCCCCTATATCGTGAAGGAAAACCATCCGATATGAGAATTGTGTCTGAGCACATCAGCGAATATCTGGCCCCCCTGTTTCAATTCTTGGAGGGAACAGGGTTGTTTTATTGTATATAGTACAGTGTTAAGAGAGAATGTATTTATTGGCATGAATGTGAAGTTGAGAAGGCCGGCGGTGGAAATTGATTATCCCATCAACCCTTAATTATAGGTTTAAAGGCTGATGGAGGAATATCAAGTACACCACCCTGATTGAATGGTATTTATTTATTTATTTACGGATCGAAATCCACTTAATATAAATGATAAATATAAAAATACAATTAAAGAGTAAAAACTGAACAACAAAAATGAAAGACATAATTACTAACCAAATAAGGCAGAGGAAATAAAATAAAGCTGAAAGACAATTGAAACTACAATAATTAGGTACATATTTAATGAAAATAATGCTCTTTGTAAATATATAATAAGACTAGAGTGCGAGAATTAGTTGAACCAGTAAATGAAATAAATTGTAATAATTTTGTCCAGTATGAAATATAAAAGCATTCAACTAAGGTTGTAGNTTTTTAACGGTTCAGAATATAGTGTAAAGGAGCAATAAGAGCCACAGAACAATTTTTAACTAATATAGGGGGTATGCAATCGGGACCAGAAGAGATATAGTAATTAGAGATAGTGTGAGAAGATGGCATAAGGAGAGAGGTTGTTTCAGGTAGAACTATGGTCATAGACTTGGGAGAAATATTTAGCAAAGAGATTAGCAATGTCATGGCCATTAGATGAAGGTTCATTTCCTAAACGCATGAAAGAGGGCATGGCCTTAGAAGTGTTGACAGAATTCACATAATTCCAAAACTTTTTAGTATTAGATTGGATTGAGTTTTCTGTATCAAAAAGATAATTCTTATGTATTATGGTATGTAAATAGGAAAGAATGTATTTAAGAGTGAGTGGGTTTGAAGCTAGAAACTGATTGTATTAGGGGCTGAAATGAACTAGCTGTTGATAGCCCCTAGATAAAACTGAGGCCTGACCCCCAGACTGCCACTCCTGATATGGGTGATTCTCAAGGTCTATTAGTAATTTATTGTAAATTGCAAAAATTGGAATTGCCGATGGACTCCAACAAATGATAGGCTCAACTCTGTGCATGCTTGTATGAATGTATAGATGTGAGCTTATATAAATCAGTAATTATTAAAATTTAATTGAAATTTTACCATGGTTGTGAACAAGCAGCGTCTTTTAAAGCAGCAGTATTATTTGATTGTATAGTTTTCCAAGTTGCGATTGCAGGCACTAAATAATTATGTAAGATTTGTGTAGGCTCTGACGGAGGTGGTTTTAATTTCTAAAAAGAGATACATATTTATTCATTAGACTCAACCAATTTTTTTGTTAAATCTTTAGTACCCATTTTCGTTTGTAATCGTCAGCACTAAATACTATCTTCTTGAACTGGAATCCATCGACTGAAAAATCTGCTTTGTAAGTTGACTTGTAAGTGTATTCAATGACCTTTGGATAGGTCTCGAGTTCTTTCATTGCAGACAACTGTACGGAAAATTTGCATTTTTCAATCATGTTTGTTTTCTTTGATAAATTATCTTCTTTCCCTCTGAGATAATCTTCCGGCTAAAAATAATTTTTATTTATAATTTAATACACATTATCTTGAATCGTAAATTGTAAAATGTTATCTAGGGTTACATTTTGTATTACATATATTAGATTTGTCAGCTTATTTGCACACATAAATATAACATAGCAATAAGAAATTTTGTAAACTTACAAGTATTACATCCTCAGATGTGAAAGGAACAAAAGTCTGTGGATGTTTGTTCACAGTTTCTACATCGACATTTCCTTGAATGCAATATTCTTGCATCACATCAGGCTGGATAACATCGACCTTACATGCGGGTGGTTCTGTAATAGTCGTGCGCTCATGGCTTATTATATTACGGCATGTTGGAGCGGGGAGTTTTGGTTTAGGACAAATGTATTCTAGCTGTCTATAATCTTCTTTATGTGTTGTTTCCATGTGGAACCAAGTAATTTTATACTCCTGGTCCTCCATGTTTAACCAGCTAAAAAGCACAAGAATTTCGCTTTTAAATAATACCACAGAATTATTTCTGTTACTAAGGAGACTCAACTTTATTTATATCATGTGACATAAAAAAACAGCTTTTAAAAAATATTATTATAATCTACTTATTGCGCTGAATATTACAAATAGAATCATCGTTGCCATTTAATGTAAGAGTTGACCGACCAAACAACACATAGAATCACTGAATACATTGAAATGTTATTTTAGGCAAACCAAAACAAACAAGGATCGGCAGATCACAAATGACCATACTAGAAATTCATAGATGAGCTAAACTAATAAAAAATATCATTTTTGGTCTGCCTATTCCGTCATACAGCGGCAGACTTGAAATGTGTGTGAAATGTTTGTAACATTTTAGTTTGTGAGCAAAGGTGTTCCATTTTAAAAATTGATTCTGTATGGTCTGAAGTTTTTTGGTCATTTCACAAGTTAAGTTCTATATATCACTAGCATATAGAAACATAGGTTACAAAAATGCATTAAAAATCATGTTTCTTAACTTACAGAGACAGTGGAGTTACGGGAAAGAATGGGGAACAGAGTCATAGTTATGTCCTAATTAAATTTATAAATGCGCTAAGGTTAATATAGAGTCATGTAGTAAGTCCCGGTTTTAGACTGTTTGCCTTTAGGTTCCTCACACTATCAGTTGGTCTAAAATTGGCCTTCATTTGGTGAAATAGCACTGATTTTCCTAATTGTTTTTAGTGTCCATTTTTGACAAAACCTTGTTATTATTTGTATTCCCCAATCTGAATTGTTGAAATTCCTCTTGGACTCCAAGATGTTGAGAACAAGGCTCATCAGCATTGTCAGAGGATGTTCGTTTATCAGAGGTTCACGTTATAAATGCAAAACAGAAGGGGACCAAAGGACCTTGTGGCACTCCGGCTGCTATTTTATACAGGGAGGAAAAAGATTTCTTGCTGTGTTGAAATATTGCTTAAATAGGATTGTAGTATCATCTAAAAAACTATCCCATTTATTTATTTACATTTAGCTTTTCTTTTTTCCTTTATTGTTAATATTTAATTATTTTTGTAGACAAATGGTGAGATGACCATGCCTTAGATGTTTATAAAAAAATTAGTAAATACTTATTTATGTAATCTCAAATCTGCACATGTATGTACATGCATACACACGTGCTCAGAAGGCACACAAAACTATCAGTATACTGAGGAATTTAATGTATATGCAACAGTGCACTTGGTACGTAAGCTGCTTTCTTTTAATTATAATTTTATAAATTTGTAATTGTAAATAAAAATGAATATCATTCTTTCAATCTTTGCAAAATGCATTGAATTTTTCTTCAGACTACAGCTTGTTAAGATATAACCATTGTAGCCGCTAAAGATGGTGGATGCTCCAACAGCTCAGATGGTTGTTGATACGAGCCAGTACTTATCTTCCTCCCAAATTATCGCTCAGCCTAAACTGGCTGTTTATTTTTATTTTGTTTATTTATGATTATATAATTATAAGTATAATTAATATATATTATATATATTTAACAAAGTAAACCTGCATTATAAAAATAACAAGTAAAAAAATTGTAGGTGACCTATAATGTCGAAAAGGGTTCATTTTGTCCATAGACTGAATAGTTTTCTTATAAAATTAATGAGCCAATATGTCAGTGTTCTTAAGGAATTAATGAGCCAATGAGTCAGTTTTCTTAACCCTATCACACACAGTTCTATAATCTATATTGGTGGACCAAAGCTCAACAGAAAGTAGCTAGCCAAACACTAAGCAAACCTATGTATCACAGGGGCAATGGGAACAACTCCTACGAGTGCATTAGAAACCTTGTTAAACCTAAAAACATTTATACAAGGAGTGACTAGGAAAAGCTCATTTAGGCTCCAAAAACAATTAAATTGGATACGAACTAAACAATTTGGGCACACAACCATAACTAACAAAAAAACACCCATACCAAGAAATGGGGACTGACTACATGAACCCAGAAACATTCTTTACAACATCCTATAAAGTCTCAACAGACTATAAAACAGAGGAAGAACTCAGGAGAGCATCAGATGCAATGATATGGTATACATATGGACCCAAAACAAATGAAGGAACCGGATCGGGTGTTTTCTGTACAAGCCCAAAACAAGAGCAATCGAACTCATTAGGGAAATACACTTTGGTATTTCAAGTAGAAATACATGCCATCAATGTTTTTTTGCCTTGGAAAATTAACAATCAACACATCAAAATTGGTCAGTGAATGTGTCCAAAATCTTCAAAACCTGTGGAAACACAACAACCTGATGATACCTTGAGTACAAAGGAATTTTGGGTAACAAAAAAGCAGACCACTGGCCAGAGGAGGATCTTCAAGGCCATACATAGGCCCCGAACCTATACTTGTGTTGGGATAAAAAAACAAATACAGAATCTCCTCCATCACAGAATGGATTCAAATAAAACAAAAGGAGAAGTGGACAAACTCTAGCGACGCTAAACATAATAACTTTATGCTAAAACAACCCTCAGATTGGCATCTAAGAAAACATCTACATGGATGGCCGATTTTATGATGACCCCCCCATTATGCAAGGTTATGCAATGCCAAGCAACGGCTCAATTGAGACATAACCTAGCATACAGAAAACACCTAGGAAATGAATTTATAGCAGCAAGTCAGCAACAGTCAATGATCCAATACTTCTGAGAAGAAGGAATGAGTCTATTGCGCTGATGACTTGAACTAGGGAACTAGGACACTACAATATGCAAGAAGGCTGCAGGCCTGAAGAGCACAAACCCCGCTTCCTTGTATCCTCATCATCATCATGTTCTATAATCAGTTCATGTATTAAAACTTTAAATAATTAATTTAATAGTATATAAACATATTTAGTTAAAGGAGAGCATGTTGGTCGTGTGGAGAAAATTCGATTCGTTTTTCGATGCAAGACATCGATGCTGATCCGATTCTGGAACATGTGGAACGTGTAGGGAGGAAGCTACCCTTGTTTTGATAAGGTTTAACTTTAGTTCTAATCCTCTCACTTTCATGATTCATCCAGTTGGGACTAATCTACGAAAGTGTTGGCGTCTGCAACGCAGTTTCCTTGTTTTGATTTAATCGCCTCTGCGATAGTCTTTTTTTTTCTTTTTCCTTTAATTTTCAGCCGTTGGCAACGATGACCGAATCGATGGACGTTTTGTTGTCCCTCGGTTTAAAAGAGCAAAAGGCCAAAGAGACCCTTAAAAATGATACTCTGACAAGAACTATTTTAGAACTCTGTGATGAGGTAAATCCATTTAAATCTGATCGAAACTTTGTGAAATTTGACTTTCTTTAACTTTCTGGCACGTTTTGAAGACATTTAATAATACTGCAAACTGCATGACTAATCTTTGCTTCTATACAACTTGTATGATAACGCGCAGTTCCGTTATTCTTTCAATATTTTTTTCTCACTTCTGTTTAATTTTAACTTAAGTTCTACTTATTACCTCGATTTTCTATTGTAAAAGCAGTAATTTGGTTGTTACTAATCATATTGGTCATCCGCTCTGGGTTGCTTTGTCAGAATCGTTTTGGCATTTCCCCATCTTCAGGGCTGGGTCTGCAGTGTGATGAACCTGTTCTTTCCATTAATTTTGGTTTGCTCAACTTAGTACCTAAAAATGTCCTCCATGGTCTCAACTCGATTCTTATCTACTCTATACTCAACTCTCTGGCCCAACTCTTCCACGTTTCAATTTGAGTCTTTTTAACCCTTTACTCGAGTCTCAACTCTCCTCATCATTCATCTCTATTCAACTTTTCTCTGTTCAGTACTCATGTCTCATTTCTGTTTTTCATTAGGGTCTCAACTTCCCCTGATCTCTTCCTGACTCTTCAGGCCTTTACTCGAGTCTCGACACTCCCTGGCCTCAATTTGAGCCTTAAGTAAATTCTATTCTGCTCTTTACTCGAGTCTCGACTCTCCCAGATCTGAACTTGATTCTTTTCAGTCATTACTCGGGTCTCAAATCTCCTCAGCAGTCGGCTCCATTCAACCATTCTCTGTTCTTTACTCTTTTCTGCCTTTATTCGGGTCTTTACTCGATTCTTTTCTGGTATTTACTCAAGTCTTGATTCTTCCTGGCCTCAGTTTGGCTCTTAACTCAATTATTTTCCTCTCTTTACTCGAGTCTCGACTCCCGCAAGATTGAACTCAGTTTTTTCTGCTCTTTACTCGAGACTCAACTCAATTCTTTTGTGCTTTTTACTTGAATCTCGATTCTCCCTGATCTTAACTTTCCTTATCAGTTAACTCTACTCAACTCTACAATGCCCTTTACTCGAGTTTCAACTCTCCTTGGTCTCAAATTTTGTCATCAGCTAAGCCATTTGCTTCATTTCCTAAAAATCCAAAGTGCGCCTTCATCCAGGTTACCGCAATCTCTAATCTCATATTTGCACAAGGTTCCTTACTCTTGAATTGTATTTGTATTCTAAATGTGACAGGACAACCCAGCGAGAATAGGCAGACCAAAATGATGACTAATAACCAAATTTCAGATTCGTCACCTACCAAAAGAGGAAATCTCATGATTAATCTTTATTACAATTAGTTGAGATAAAAAAGTCAATGGCACGAGCGGGATTCGAATTTTATCTCAACTAAAAACCTTGATTAATTGTAATATATTAATTGGTCAAGCAGACCACAAAATTAGTGAAATTAATCTTTATGCTGATTTATTTAAATTACTTTTCTAATATAATGTACAATCCTATCAATATTATCATACATTTTTGTCCATGAAAGTTAAACATTATTTCCGTTTTTTTTTTTTCTGGTCGGTGACTCCCACCATGTTACATTAAATGAACAATTTTTTTGTAGGTTAAAAAGCTTGGTGCAGATCATACCGACGTTGGAATGATTTTGTATCAATTCGCTGGAAATTTAAAACCACAGATAAAACAATTTGTGCCATTTGTTGTGCCTTATATTGTTCAAAAGAAACTTAATAGTTCCCTACGCATAGAAGGTATCACCGTATTTAAATTTTATTCTTAAAATGACTCGGCTTAACTGATAACATTTCATTGATACAGCGGCCATCGAGTACTTACTTTCTCATGCTACCCAACCAAATTTAGACTCATCCGATTTCGAAAAAGCTTGCGGTATCGGTATCACGGTTACCCCTGAAGATGTTGAATTAGCCGTCGAAAAGACAATCAATAAATTCAAAGAAGAAATAATTGAAAAGAGGTAATTTTTTATTTTTTTTTTATTTTTTTAGCTTTTCAATATATTGAATGCGCTCAGTAGAGGTGAAGTTGTATGTCTATTTTTCCAGATATCGTTTCAATACAGGACTCCTTTTGCAAGATGTACGTAAATGTCTTAAGTGGGCAGATTTTAAAGATGTTAAAAATGAAATAGATGTCCAAATGCTAGATCTGCTAGGGCCTAAAACAGATGAAGATTATTTGCGTTCTCAAACAAAACGAAAAGATAATACCACTAAGCCTAAAAAATTAAGTGGAAATGGTAAAAAAAATTGTGGTATGTGATGTTCTTGTAATAACGGAGTCTTTTAAACCATTTTGTCAGGTAGTTCTGGACCACTGACGATTGATGATATGATCAGCACTCTTAATCTTCACTCTCCAGGTGAAAATTTTAAATCTGCTGATTACATAATCACCCCAAATACGAAACAGCTTCTCCAAGACCATTTGAAAATGACTGGAGGAAGGGTACTTTTTTAATAGAAATAATAGAAATAAATTTTTATGCATATAAATGTTTATGCTTTCAAGGTTCAAACGCGGTTTCCACCTGAACCAAATGGAATTCTTCATATTGGCCACGCAAAAGCAATTAATATTAATTTTGGATATGCCGCACATCATAATGGCATCTGCTACTTACGGTACGATGACACCAATCCTGAAAAAGAAGAACAAAAGTTTTTTGACGGCATTCTAGAAATGGTTCAGTGGTTAGGTCAGTCTAGCTGGATGTATTTTATATTTGTATTTATTCTATCCATCCTTAATTTCTTCATGTTGATATAATTTTTAGGATATAAGCCATATAAAATTACTCATTCTTCTGATTATTTTGATCAGTTATACAATTGGGCTGTGGAATTAATTAAAAAAGGTCATGCGTATGTTTGTCACCAAAAGCAGGATGAAATAAAAGGATTTAATCCACCACCTTCTCCTTACCGCAATAGATCTGTTAAGGAAAATCTTGAACTATTTGAAGTATGTTCTTTATAAATTCATTTCCTGGTTTAATAAATTGATCTTTCTTGTCATGTAAAAGGAAATATGTATCAGTTTTTTGTTTTTTTTATCATAACAGGATATGAAAAATGGCAAAATGAAAGAGGGTGAGTGTTCATTGAGGATGAAAGTCAAATTGGAAGAAGGGAAACAAGATCCAGTCGCCTACAGGATAAAGTTTACTTCACACCCAAGAACCGGTGATCAATGGTGTATTTATCCAACGTATGATTATACCCATTGTTTGTGTGACTCAATTGAGAACATCACTCATTCGCTCTGCACCAAAGAATTTCAATCCAGGTTTGTTTGCTGGTGTAAATTATTAAATGTAATTCAGATTTTTGTTTTGTTTTTTACTTTAAAGGAGATCCTCGTACTACTGGCTGTGTAATGCACTCGATTTATACTGCCCTGTACAGTGGGAATATGGCCGGTTAAATATAAACTATACCGTTGTGTCCAAAAGGAAAATAGCCAAATTAATTGAATGTGGCAAAGTTAAAGGCATGTAACCTTCTTTAAAGTTTCTGGAAATATCCGCTTAAAAAAAAAAAAAAAATTGTTACTATTAATGTGATATTAATAGATTGGGATGATCCAAGGTTATTTACATTAACTGCTTTGAGAAGGAGAGGATTTCCACCGGAGGCGATTCACAGATTCTGTGCCCAGGTTGGAGTGACTTGTGCGCAAACTGTCGTCGATCCATCGATGCTTGAATCTTGTGTCAGGGATGTTCTCAATCAAACTGCTCCAAGGTAAAATAGTAACACTTTGAAGCCTGAAATTCTGTCGTCAAAATTATGCAACACATACAGTGCCTAGTTTACAATTTTCACAAAAATACATTTTGTTTTATAATGGCTATTATTATTATTATTATTTCGCTTTTTTAATTTTATTTTATGATGCACCAGTGTCAACAATTAGTTTTGTCATTATTTGAGGGAGTAAGGTTGAAATTTCTTAAAAAATAAAAAAATAATATATTGTTTTAAATAAATAAGTCATACACTGGCCCTATCAAACTTCACTCTAATAAATACATTCAATCTCCATACATGCTAGGTACACAAAATTCAAATAACATCAAACTTTATTTGTCATAAATTTTTACATGTACTTAATACAAGGGCTATTACTATAATTATAGAAAAGGGTGTATTTACTCATTATTTAATTATGTAAATTAGTCATTACAGTTTAAGTACACTGGAATGATATATTGGGTTGTCCGGAAAATAATGCAGGATTTTGGTATTAAACAAAAAAAAAGAAACTAGTTACTTTAAAGCAATGTTCTTTAATCAAAATAATTTCCCATACTCTCAATACATTTCTCCCAACGTGTTGGTAACTTATTAATTCCGTCTGAGTAGAATTCAGAATTTTTAGAATTGATAAAGTCAATAAATGCATTTTCCAGTTCCGTTTGATTTTTGAATATTATGTGTTCTAAGTAGTGGTCCAGGTGTCTAAAAAAATGGTAGTCAGTAGGAGAGAGGTCCGGAGAGTAGGGTGGGTGAGGCAAAGTTTCATAGCCAAGCTCCAATAATTTTTGTGACGTTACACGTGACACATGTGGTCGAGCGTTGTCATGCAACAAAATGGGCCCTTTCCGATTGACCAAAGAGGGCTTCATTACTGCCAATTTCTGATGCATGGTATTAATTTGGTTACAGTATGATTCAGCATTGATGGTTTCGCCAGGATTTAAGAAGCTGTAGTGTATTAAACCAAATGAAGCCCACCATACCGTAACCATTACCTTTTTTTGATGAGTTGGGGGCTTTGGAAAATGTATTGGAGCTTCTCCTTTGTCGAGCCACTGTCCAGAACGTCTAGTGTTATCGTAGAGAATCCACTTTTCGTCACATGTAACAATTCTGGCCAGAAATGGGTCATTTTTGTTTCGACAAAGAAGTGATGCACAAACATCAAAGCGCTGATTTTTTTGGCGATCGTTTAATGAGTGTGGAACCCAATTTTCGAGTTTTTTCACTTTTCCAATCGCCTTGAGGTGGTCAGCGACGGTCGTTTTACTGACTTTGAGTTGCTCTGCACCCACCACTGATCGCAGAACATCATCATTAAGAGAGGAAGGCCTTCCACGACCTTCTTCATCTTCAAGGCTGAAATCTCCCTCCCGAAATTTTTTAAACCACGTTTGCACAGTGCACTCATTAACACAACCCTCGCCCCAGACTTGGTTAATGTTTCTAGCCGTTTGGGCTCCGCTTCGGCCGAGTTTAAACTCGTAAAAGAAAATCGTACGAAATTCTCGCTTTGACATTATAAGGATGACTGAATTATTTCCAAGTAGCGGAATGCTACAGAGGTAAACAAACAATATCATTTGGAAGAGGATTAATAAGTGTTGACATTCATACAAATGAGTAATCCTGTAAACGTAAACAGAATATTTTATATAGATTTTTTTAAATGAAAACTTAAAATCCTGCATTATTTTCCGGACAACCCAATAGAATTGAACTTTTTGCCTTTAAATTTTATTACATTTAGATGATTAACTTTTACAAAATTTGGTTTTTTTTTTCTAAAACTGAATGCTTTTTTTTATACCATACAAACAACAATCTTCTTTTGCTCTCCCAAAAACAATATTTTTTAGCGTGGATCGAACAAAGGTCATATTCACTGAATATTTTTTCAAACCAAGATATTCCTTGTTCTTGTAAAAAAAACTTTTATATATCAAAAATTAATCGTATTCTTTAACAAAAAAAGTTCTGTTGAGTCTTTTAAGCCCAGTAATGTTAAAACTAAGGAGTCATAGATTTTGGTTTTCCTAGCTGTTTTTTCATCCCTGCTAGTATGATCCTTGGTGGCTGCGTGCACCAATGTCATTTCCCGGTGATTTCTCTTTCCATACAAATATTGTTTTTTGCCTCATGTTCTATATTCGTTAATCACTGGATATATTTCCTTAAAATCTTCTAATTTCTCTTTATCTCTCCTGAAACCCTTTTCCACTTCCCAGTATATATTTTTATTCCGGTAAACCATAAATCTATTTCTTAATAGAATTTTTTCATCGTTTTTGAGAATTGGAATGTTTTGTACATTCCATTGCATTAGGTCGGATGACAGCCCAGCCCTGAGTTTTTTAACGAATTTATTAAAATAATGTTTTAAATCCAAGGATTTTACAAGTTTCACAACAATGGATGTACCTTTGGTTTTGTCTTTCGCAATCCTGAAGACACCATCGACAATTATATCTTCTTTGAACTTTGTGGTAAATTTCTCTTTGACTTCTTTCTTCCATATCTTACATAGACAGGCTAGAGACTCGAAAGTACGATTTTGTTAAATTTCTTGCTTTCAAAACCATTGAATCAGCTTTAAAATCACTTTTACTTGTTAACTTAGTGCCCACTGTGGCACTGATTTGTTCCAGCATCTATTTTCTTCTGTAATTTTTGCTAGTCATCTTTCTTCTGATCCTTTGGGATAGTTTAAGGGTACTTCTCTTTTCCTCCTATGTTGACTTTTGGATGGGGGGTTAAATATTTGTCTATAAAATTACAATTTTGAATATAATAATGGTATCTAAATTATCCGATATTACCAAATTTCACAGTACAATAATGATACTTGTGAAGCTTATCCTAACCATTAGAAAGCCTTTTTTGAGGTACAAATATTTGTTAAACGATAAACACTGTAGCTTTACAGATACTAACTTTGAAATGTATCACATCAGTTTTAATTAAGATCATGAACTTAATTAAATTTAATTATTTATTTTGTGTTATATTTTAAATTTTATGACTTTTTTGTGTGACTGAAATTTTTCTGTTCTATTTCTTTTTATAAATATGAGCTACACCAAAACAAAGTCTATGTGAAAAAAGTTAATTATTAGTCGGGTGATGTCTCTGACATTCATGCTGCGTACTTTAATATTTTTAGTGAATATTATATGGCAAATTTGAGGATTTTTGTTGCTTATAAAGCCAAGCTCTCATTATGATAATATTTGTTTGTATTTTCTAAGCATTTTTAAATTTTTATTTTCATTCTTGCCAATGTATTCTTCCTTCTGAGGTAATTAAATTTGATTATTGAAATGTTAATTTTAATTTTTCAGAACTATGGTTGTAATTAAACCTCTTGAAGTAGAAATCGTATCAGGTTGGGATGGAGAGGAAGCATTTTCAATGCCTGATTACCCCTTTGACCAAAACAGCACATCCCATAATATTAAATTCAGTCCCTTATTATATATCGAACAAGACGATTTTAAAAGCGTAAGTTAGTGGCTATTTTTAACATTATTATTTATTGATAATAAATTATTCCAAACATTTTCAGAATGCTGACCAAGGTTATAAAAGATTAGCGCTCAATCAACCTGTTGGGCTTCGTTACACACCTTATTACATACAAGTTAAATCGGTCGTTACGAATGAAGAGACAGGAGTGGTGCAAAAGTTGTTCGTAACATCTCATAAACTTACAAAAGACACCAAGCCAAAGGGTTTTATTCATTGGGTATCGAAGCCGACGCCAGTCACCTTGAGAATGTATTACCCGCTGTAAGTTTTTAATAAAAAGATATTGTGTTGAGGTCTGATGATGAGCCTAAAGCTTGATGAACATAGCTCATTTGGTCATCTTTGACAGATGAAACAATCAAGTACAGGCAGACCAGATTAATAAAGAAACAATAGAACTAGTTAAGTACTTTATATTTTATAATAATTAATGTTAGATGTTTGAGGACTTCTTTCTTGTCAAAGCATCGGTTCTCTTCTGCATTTTTTCATATTTTGAACTTAAAACATTTTACAAATTGGTTGTGTTAACTCATATCCACTTACCGCCTTTTCAAATGATCCAACCTAAGTCAGGTGTCGGTGGTCACAAGGCATTGGCATGATACTCAACAAGGTAAAGGTTCTAGGCTCGATTTCTGCTGTATAATAACATAAAAATTATACAAATGAACTTTTTCACTCTAGAAGTGAAGAAACTAAAACTTGATATCAAGCTCACAGTACCTGGGTAGAGGTAGGGGTAAGTGTAATGGCACACTCAATACCTCTCAGGGGAAGCAAGAGGACATTGTTACACTCTACATCCTGAATATGATAATCTTAAAAAAAAAAACAAGCCCTCCCCATTTTTTTAACCTGCAGTCCCTGGCTTCCTATACCCTACACTGACTAGAATACTGCTTCCACCCTTATCAGCCAATAGCACCTCGTTTTTATGGATAAACTGCATGGTCAATTAAATGCAAATGGATGCAAGAAATGGTCAATTGAATATTTAACATCCTCACAACAGAGAGTTAAGTGGAAAAGGCATCATCCACCACCGCTGGAGTCCTTAGTTTTAATTATGGAAGACAAAATGCCCCTTTCATAGAAATGTGGCCATATTATCCAGCTAAATCACAACATTGACTAGCTCAAGTCAAAAGTTGAGATTAATTATATAACTAAATAACAAAAAATTATTAAAAACATTTGCAATTTTGGCTTGTTTTTATTACTGTGTAAAGTAACTATTAAACAATATGATTTCTGAATTGTTCTTTCAGCTTTCACCATAAAAACCCCGAAGATGCGGCACAAGTTCCAGATGGATTTTTGTCCGATGTTAACGACAATTCTCTGGTAGTCTTAGAGGCTTTAGCAGACAGTTCTCTAGTAAGCAACGCTCAACCTTTTCAGCAATACCAGTTCGAACGACAAGGATATTTTTGTGTTGATCAAGATTCAAATGGAAACCATGTAAGCTTCAATTATTCAAAGTTTAATAATAATGGGTTTTATTAATAACATTATTTACAAATTTTATTTATACAGAATACTTTTTAAAGGGTTAATGCTAGCATTAAATTTTCTAGCAAGGTAGATGTATAATACACTGTGAAACCCCTCTCTTAAGGACAATATTTGCATTCACACCCCTCTATAACAGAACCCCTCCATACCATCGTGGACACTGCTGTTAATCCCCATCAGAATAATTCACACCTCTAGAACAGACATAAATTACAGACTTCCTGGGGCTAATTTGCTAAACCCTATACCCACGTCTAATATTTTATTACTAAAATCGCTTAAAATTTCATTCAAATTCATTGAGAGCTGTGAGCAGTGGCAGCTTTGTGAATGCAATTTTTGGATTTTACACCTCTTTTTTTTTTTTTTCTTGGCTCCTAGGTGGGGTCCATTGGATACAATCTTAGAACACGTATCTAATATTTTTCGATGTACTAAATTGCCTTAAAATTTCATTTAAATTGATTGAGATAGATGTGAGCAGTGGCAGTTTTGTGAAAGCATTTTTTGTTTTTTACACCTAAAATTTTACATCTATTTTTTCTCGATTCCTGGGTGGGGCCCATTTTGGATGGAACCCAGGAACACGTATGTTATATTTTTCGATGTACTAAGTTCCCTTAAAATTTCATTTATATTGATTGAGATAGCTGGGAGCAGTGTCAACTTTTCGTACACAATTTTTTGGTTTTTACATCTAAATTTTTTTTTCTTGACTAAGGGAACCTTTGTTCAATTGTCTTAGTATTTTAACCAGATATCTCTAAAACCTGTTACAGTGGCAATGTTAAGACTGAGTCGGTCTTCCAGGAAATTTGAGATTGCCTGTAAATATTGTCAATCTGTAGACGTGTTTTGTGTTATATGTATGTTATTGATATTGCATTTGATTAATGATATTAGCGTAGCTGCGGCTGAGTTTACATGTGTCTGTTTTGTAATTGTTGCTGTGTTTATTTCTGTTGATGTAAACCATTTCTAAAACGTTATGTTTATGATTGTTTTGTTCTGTGTTTAATATTTTTGGATTGTTGAAATCGAAATTGTGTTGGTGTTCAAAATGTTGGGTAGCCAGTGCTGTAGGATTCTGTTTAGGTTTTTTGCAATCATAGATATGTTGCTTTACTCTCTTATCAGAGTATCTTATCACAATCTCAACATAATCATTTATTATGATTTTTTTTAATCACAAGTATAATTGTTATACGATTGGGCAATTTTAGTCATTTTATATGATATGTTGTTTGAAAAATTATGCATAAAATATTGATTACTGTTGATTGTTTCTTTTATTTGTTGTTTGTAAGTGTGATAAATAAACCTTTTCTATTTTCTTCTGCTTTGTCCTTTTCATTGTGATTTTGTCTGTTTCCAGATCTTCTTCAATTACACCTTACCGCTTAAAGAAGATTCAGGGAAGTCTTCGTAATCATGGCAAACGAAGGGATTCATGATTCTGTTGTACAGAAGAAAATTATAAAACAATACTTTATCAAACACAATCCTGTGTTATAAAAGATACCACCCAATATAACTTTCTATGCAGAATATATCTTATCTTTTTTTGGTCCAGTTCTCGCATCTGTATTATTTTGTTGACATTAAACATGTTTAATTTGTTTTACCTTATATTTCTTTTCCTGATAAATAAAAAAGAATTGTTATATGGCATGACGTTTTACTGAAAGTTTGAGTGTGTATGAGTCGGAGTTTGTTATTTCCAAACCACTGCAGCATTTTGACTTATTGTATTTTTTCTTAGTTCAGTTCAATCGGTTGTAATTATGTCTAATTTTTCCTGGGCTAGTCCAAAAAATTAATAAGCATTAGGATATTTTAATCTTCAGAATTCCCCCCCCCAATTCAGATTTAAGAAATTTAACGAAAAATACCTGGTAGAGCAGACTGGGTGAAAGGGATCCAAGATAATACCAACTTTATCTATTTACAGATTCAAAATGGGTCAGGAGCTGATATTTATTGCAATAAACCAATGACTAGAATCCATATAAGCTTCGGGCAATATCCACTGACTTTCAAGTGGAGGCGGTTACTGAAAAACAAAAGCCAAAGTAAACCTACTGGAGCTCTGATATGGTATACAGACAACTCAAAGATGAGAAATGGTATAGGCGTTGGCATGAAGTGGCTATGAGAACCACATTGCTCTTGGCTCCACCACAACCATCTTTCAAGCCGAACTACTAGCCATAGAAACCATAAACATCTCAAAAGTGCAACAATATTTGTTTTAGACTAGTAGTCGTAACAACACACAAAGGTAAGTAACAAGGAGCAACTAGTTTCAAGGGGAGCTTCAGGCAGACAGGGTTCAACCCCCCTGGGGGTTGATGCTAGGGCCCCTAAATTCAGGTGTGTTAAAAAATTCCAAATTAAAATACCTGACAGAGCAGACTGAGGGAAATGGGGATTACAGTACACAGATCCAAGACCGAGGTATGGATCAAGAGTTGTATTTATTGAACAAACGTAACTAAGGACTAGAATTCATATAAGCCTTGGGCAATATGCCATTGTTTTTCACTATTGAACACTGTGCCAAGGAGATTAAAAGGCTAGGTATCGTTAACAGAAGAATAGCATCTACTCAAACAGCCAGGCAATTACCGCATCAGTAGTAAAGTCCAGTTATTTTGGATTTATTTAGGGTGTCAAACATTGAGGTAAACAATAAAATTAACCTTGTATGGGACCAGATCACACAGGGTAGAGGGCAACTAAGAGGCTGATAATTTGGCCGAGCAAAGTTCGATGACGATGATCCAATATTTAAGTTGCATACCAAACTGTCAGTAAAGTTGATCCATCAAAAAATGATTTAAAAATTAGAACTCCATTCAATGGAAATGTAGCCCAGGATGCGAAAAAGTACATCACAGGACCATCAAAGAAACTTAACGGTATAACTACTAAATATAGAACATTAGGTTAGAATAATAGTTGGACTGCTAGCTGGACACTTAAGAGGTCACTCGTAGTGGCAGAAATTAACCTGTACAGACATTACAAGGAAGAAGAGACAGCAGAACATGACCACCTGTAGATAGAAAGTTATCCACTCGATGTCACCCTGCTTTAACAATGGTCTCACCTTCCACGCTCAGTGAGACTTAGACTTAATCTTTCAGACAGCCAGGTGCTCTAAAGGCTCTTCAGGCAAGCCTACAGAGATCACCTCAAAACTTGTCTGGAACTGTCCAATGAAAAGAGAGAGAAAGAGAATCTGAGAATGTGGCTGATCAATCCTGTCAGCCCAAAGTGATTTTGAAGGCAGGACAGCTAGTGAACAAGAGAATAAAGGACAAGTGAGCCAAGAGAAAGAATTTGTTTTAATTATATGAACCGATCTAGGGATATGGTGAATGACGTAGTGAGTGCGGTGTTCAATCCTTTTTTAAAAAAGATAGTTCCTACTCACAGTAAGTTGTTTTCCAACGATCCGGTTTTCAAGCCCGTTAGCTCATCATCAGGTTGTAGAAAACCTTCAACCTGATGATGAGTTAAGGAGCTCGAAATCTGGATCATTGGGAAACAACTTACTGTGAGAAGGAACTATCATATAAAAAAAAAAAGAAGTTGAACTGCTTGCTAACTGGACACTGCAGACTCAGGATGCATATGTATAGACTCGGAGAGGCAGAAATAAGCCTGTCCAGATATAGCCAGGAAGAAGAGAAAGCAAACGTGCCCTCTGTTGGTGCAAAGGCTACGATTCCTACTCCTGGAAGAGGAGAAGCCCAAGCCTGAAGACATCCAGCTCTGGGAACAACTGTTTGACTGCAACCTAGATGCAAAGGGTTAAAGCCATTTTTACAATCAATTTAGTGTCCCTTGGCCTAAAAATTATGATGGCAAATAATTCAGCATTATATGCGCTATAAAGATTATGGAATATTAATGGTTAATCTCATGTCTGTAGTTGAATGTTAACTAGAACAAGCTAAGTTAACTCCATTGATCTAAATGTTTGTAAAAGAATAAACAGGCGAGAAATTTTGTCAAAAAACTGTTGTATTAAAAAAATACATTTGTCATAATTACACATTATAATATATATATACATTTAGAAAAAAAAGAACACTATATAAATAATTGTTTAAAAATACAAGAAAATTTATTTAAATTAATTTTCAGTTTTTACAAGATATCAAATTGATTTATTATAAGATATAGGAGCTAAGTTAAAAAGAAATACATAAAATTATTTATTTACTTGACATTTTTTGATATATCAAATTTTATAAACAAATATTTGGTTTAAATTTTTTACTTATTCTCCACTTTAAACCTAAATAATCCGCCCTAAAGTAAGTTGGGAATGTTTTTCACGTATAAAATAGACGTAAAATTAACTTATGGACTTTTTAAAAACAACAGTATATGAAATAGTAATACAATTAACATTAACAATTACCTTTAATAAATAGAAGTGTTACTTGTCAAAGTAGAATACGTTTAAATTCAAAGCAAATTCCTCTTGATATTTTAAGCAATTCGTCAAATGAAAGATAAACCTGCAATTTCACAAGTTCTACCGTTGACAGTGATGACAAACACCACTAAGCAACATAAAAATGCGCTTTTTATTCAGACTCAAAGTACTTTTTTGATTCACTTTAGTATTTTACAAATAACAACAAATGATTTACAATAATTTTTTTATTTCTACAGAGAAAAAGTATTTTGTACTAGAGAAACTGACTTTCGACAAATCATATTTTTTATTCACTTTAGTATTTAACAAATAACTGAACAATGATTTACAATATTTTTTTTATTTCTATGGAAAAAAAAGTATTTTGTACTAGAAAAATTGACTTTCAACAAAGAAATAGGTGGAAAAGGTTGCTCGCAGTTATTTTTTTAAGCACTTATTATTTATTAAAATCAGAATGGAAGATCTTTCAATTTATAGTTATGCCACTTGGCTTCTACCGGTTTATAACCATTTCATACCAATCTACCAAGTCTTATGATGCTTATAAAATATGTTCTGATTCCTAAACACTTCTCAGAGGTAATGAATCAAATTATTCATTAAATTGCCCCAACATAAAACGAGATGTGATGCAAGTAACAAGAAACTTTTTTTCATAATCCCTAAAAACAAAGGTTATAGCAATCAAATTGTTAAGAAATGATATGTGATGTTTTAAAATCTTCCTTTTGCTTTTTAATGAAGGTATGAAGAGACATAAATTTAAAATAAAATAAACTTCAAATAAAAAGCAATTATTAAGACTGAGATGGAATTTTTATTAACAACCCTGCAGTGCCGTAATAACATGTAAAATCGAAAAATCAAAACTAAATAATTCTACTGTATCAAGATTACTTGTCATAATGATTGTACAAAAAGAAAAAACAACAAAAAAACTTATAATTGAGTGATAACTCTTACTCATGGTAATTAACTGCTAACGCTTAAAACTAAGCTCAAATGAATCCAAATTGAATTATAGTTTAAGTAGAACGAAAACGCTGTTAACACAGAACTAATCTTATGGTAACAAATAAACAAAAATTAACTTAGTACTTAAACAAAAAACAAATGGAAAAAAGTTTTTGAAAACTTTTAAGAATTTAGAGGGTATTCCAACACTCTATCAAGCACTTTTGTATACTCCTCGCTCAATTCGTTGAACAATTCTTGAAGTTTAGTAAGTCTCTCTTCCTTGTTTTCTATTAGATGGGCTTGATTTGTTTTAATCAGTATCGAATTTTGTCTCTGAAAAATATCACCAATTTCATTATAAAAATAACTATATAACCTGTTGATCAACATAAAAGCACTGTTGCCCCACTATTTTAGAAAAATTAATGATTGTGTTAATTAGGATTAATCAACAACTACAACTCAACACTTACACCATCGACTATTACTAATAAGGAAAGGATAATCAGGTCTAACCAATACCCATTCTTTCCCACTGTCGGATCCTTTCACATAAAAGAAGCCGACTCCTCATATAAAAATGTTTTTCTATCCCTACTTCCTTCTCCACCCCTTCAAAATCCAACGTATTTTTATGTATATAAACATAAAACAACAATATCACATTGGCACTCAACACGATAATGACACATCTACACAGAAAACAAATACTTTGATTGAATCTAAAATTTCTAGCATTGTATAAATTCATTTTTCACATCCTACATCTATTTGGGTAATTTAAGCAATGATTATAAATCCCAGGCCCTGAAGATGATTTCAATGAAGATCGAAACGTTGGCACGATAAAGAAAATGTTTTTCTAAACCTACGTCACACCAGGCTGCATCTCACGATCTCCAAATAATCTATAATAATAAAAAATGAAAATAATAAAGAGTACAGAAATTAATGAGGGCTAATATCAGACTTCCTGTTGGGTGTCACGGACGAGAGGTGAAACCACTTTACAGTACTTCTTTCAATTTTCAATTAAAAAGCCATGCTGTCCCTGGATTAAGCACTAAGATCCGCTAGTGTGGCAAATATGAGTCAGACACCCTAATCACTCGGGCCCCACAGTCCTGATAGAAAGAGAAAATGTAACAAGCAATGGCCGAGTGGTTTGCTACACTAGCCTGCATTTCTGGGTTCAAATTCCAGCAGATATTTTTTATTTACAGTACTCCAATGGTCAAAATTATTTTTGAGCACATACAGTTCCATCAAAAATTAGTAATTAAAAAAGTAAGAAGTTTTGGTTAAAAAATATGTTCTTTAGTCTTCTGGTACTCAAAATTGCAAAGCCTTCGACCAAACAATGGAGACAAAAATCTTGTTTCACAACAAAAATTATTAACATTTTTGGGCAAAATTTTTGATTAAAAAAAAAAGTTTTGTCAAAATTATTTTGGAACTTCGAGTTCTCAAAAAAATCTAGTTTAACAAAAATGAGAAAAAATTGTGAAAAATTTTCTAAATTCTTTTTGAACACTTCTGGAACTCAAAATGTGTACTTTTACAGCAAACAATGCAGAAAACATCTAGTTTAATAAAAATTTTGGGTCAAATTTTCTAAATTGTATGTTGAACACTTCCAGTCCTCAAAATTGCACATCTTTTACACCAAGCTATGCAGAAAAATCTAGTTTAATAAAACTGAAAAAGTGGTTAAAATATTCAAAATTTGTTTTCAAAACAAGGTGTTTTACACAAAACAATGCAGAAAAAAAATAAGTTTGATTTTAAAAAAATTAATAATGAGTTTTTTAATACCAAAATTGTTTGATTCCTCTTAAGAGGGTTCTTTCACTCTTGACAACTTGTTTCTGTGATAAATAAAGGCCCCCCCCATTCACGACTCCCGGCATATCAGGCACCAAAAGTTCATCTCCCTGTGCCCATTTTGCTTTGGCACCTGTTTATGTCGGGCTGACATGCAACTTGGTTCAACTCAGTCTGATTATGAATCTCTCTTGAATAAAATCATGCACTCGGATTGATTTTTTTCTAACATAAAACTAATTTTCCCCATGCCGTTTGCCTTAATACATTATTATTGAGTAACCACTGAATTTCAGCTCCCATAAGCATGGTAGGTTTCTATATTTTTCGATGAACTGTAATAAAAGTTCAGTAAAAAAAAATGTCTACTTCCATTTCGTTTTAGAACTGATACAAAGGGGCATAACTAAACAAAATAAACTCTCTTCTTGGATGCTGGGAATTCCATCCTGTCCAGACGCCGAACGCCTGACACTTAGCGCCTCACCCCAACACCCCATTCACAGACTTTTTTTATGCTAGAGACACCAAGCGTCCGGCATCTCACATGCCAGGAGGTCTTCCTGAGTGAATCCTTAAGTGCATGCACGACATACCACATTACACAGGTTTAAATGTGCTTGGAAGCCAATTACAATAATCATCAAACATCTCTAAAATACAATAATACTAACATTATTATAAAACATATAATTACCTGAAATGGTGCATATAATCTCTTCTTAACATCCAGTCTATATTCTTTATATTCTGCTTCATTGTGGATATTTGTAATGTTAAGCCTTAAAATTTCATATATTCGCCTTGCTTGTTTCTTTAAATTAGAATAATTAAGATATAAGTATAAAAAATTAGTTCAATGATAAAAATTAACCCATATATACCTTGTTTATTTTATATTTTTCTCTTGCTTCTTCGGCCATATCACTATGAAAGCCTCTGATTAGTTTTTCAGAACTGAAGGAAGACAAATGTAAACAATTGCTACAATCGACATAATCTCTGACTCTTTGAAAATCTATGGCTGGATCTTCCACTAAACAAATACCAAAAAATGATTAAAAAATTAAATCAATTAATTTTGAATTAACATAAGGTTTGTTCCAACACACAATTACACGAACATCGACTGATCATGGATTTTTAACTCTGTTGGAACGCTTTTTGTTTCTGATCTACGACTCCTCCAAATGGTACCTTACATATGGTTTGTAAGATTGTAAACATCAAAACGTTTCAAATCGTAAGCAGAATTCGATAATGAAAATATTTTAAAAATAGTTTGTAGTCCTAATTTATTTACCCAAGGAAAAAAACTGTACAAAATTTCATTTTTTAATAAAGGGCTTGATTTATGTCTATTTTCTCAAACATCACAATCCTCAAACCAATTACCTGATAGAGATTAAGTGAATTTTGGTGCGCTAGTTCCTTTCAAAATGTGATATCTCTGACATTCATCCTGATTGGTTTAATATTTTTAGAGTAAATTATATTACATATGTTAACGAAATTTTTAGTACATATAATATTGCATAGTTGAGGGTTTTTTTTTAGTAAATATTTGACAATTTTTACTGTGAATAAATGCGCCCATCAGTTTGCTGATGGTTTGGACACATGTTGGAACTAATCTATAATTTTAAAAATCTCACCTGTTATATCAAATACTTCTCTCATAGAAGCATAATGCATTTGTACTGTGTTAATGAGCTTTGCACACAATCCCATTCCTTGAAAGGGAGGCAAGATCAAAGCTTGACTAATCCGGGGACGAATTTTATCAGGGTAAAAGTAAAATTCATAGACCGTGAAATACCCTACGAATGCATACTGGGGAGTGTTGTCTGCAGACTTGTACTTTTCATACCTACCAGACAGATCAATTAAAAAAAAAAAAAATCAATAAGAATTTCATGGTGATAGTGAGGTTTATCTTACATGACGTAGAATTTCCAGTAGCTATCTTCCGTGTTTATAAAACTTGCTGCATCAATAAACCACAAAACAAATGTTTGCATCTTAGCATGATATTCTAAAAATTCCTTTGAATCAGTTGTACATTTATAAACACAAAACGTGCGGAATGAATCATTGTCTGAAAAAAAAAACACATGAAAAGCCATTTTTGATCATCGATTAAACAGTCCAAAAATACAGGCGTGCACTATTGCAATCCATCAAAACTAGTAGGAAAAGACTTTCATACCATTAATAGTAAATGAATTGAGCAGTTCGCCAAATGGGTTAAAATTTTTTTCTTTTTCAAGGATCCTCCCGAACTCATCTATGTTTGTAATGAAATTGCTGCATTCATATTTGTCTGCAAGCGTTTTCTCGATGTTTGCCGGCTAGAGATATTAAAATTAAACTCGACGATTTCAAGATCCAAATTCAATACAACATACCACAGCGTCATCTAATCGGTCCTTGTATTCAACACCGAGATACGTAGTTAGATTAGCAGCAGAGTAATACAATTTGATGAGAAGATTTTCATAACCATAAATCTGCTCGCTGGAAGTAAATTTTTAAAATGAAGGACACATATAATAAAATTATTATTCAACATACAATCAATCATTATAAAAATAAATAAAAAACTGACCACAAATGGTCTGATCTGCTATCAATAAGTCGAAATTCAAGAGATTACTGATACACTGAACATGGCAAAAAGCTGAAACGTGTTTGACAGTCCAAGGTAGAACAAAATGATAGGTAACAGCTTACAAACATTTACCCTATGCAAAACACTACTAATTATAAGAAAAAAAAAAAAAAACCCAAAGAGCACAAAGATTGATCCAGGAAATCCAAAATTATATGACAACCCTTCTTACCCACCCTTCTTTTTTCACCATTTCATGAATCAACGTTTTTGAAACAATTTTTACTTTTAACATCAAAAAATCGTGAGAATTCCTCCTGTGGTTTGCAGAGTGATTAACTTGTAAGTTGGACTTTTATAGTCACACTGAAGGTAAAATGCTGAATAATGCTTTTTAAAAAAAGATAGTTCTTACATTAAGTTGTTTTCCAACATGATCCGGATTTCAAGCCCTTAGCTCATCATCAGGTTGAAGGAGTTCTACAACCACTTCTCTCGACATGAATTGCAAAAGTGAACCCGCTGATACCTCCGCCAACCGTTCCAATGAGAAGTTGGTTTTTTAATGGCGCTCAATTCGAACGTGTGAAAAGTGGGAATTATAACACAAGTAAATATTATAATGGTAAATACTATAAGAAATTAATTATAAATTAGTGATTAAAGATAAANTTAAAATGGGAGGTAGATCAAAATCTATTATATTATTAATGCATTTATCTCCATGTTCAATTTTACATTTTTTAATTTCAAATTTCTCAAACCAATCTAGTTCTCTCCCTTTGTTGAAACTATGTAATATTGTATTTAAATTTGGATTGAAATTATGTTTTGTTTCTTTTAGATGGTCCTTAAATTCCGAAAATTTGTTAGATTTAGACAAGTGTTCTTTTACTCTCATTTTTATTTCTCAACCGCTTTGTCTTATATATTTAATAACACAATCATTACAATTAAGTTGGTAAACCCTGCTTTTTGCCAAGTTGTATACCTCATTTTTAGGTTTTGAGAGGATGTTTTTAAGTGAACCGTACTTCTAAAAGCTATTCTAAAACTTTCTCGTTTAAAAATTTTACTAACTTTTTCCGATAATTCACCAATCCAAAACAAAGGAAACCTAATAATTCATTTGTGGTGGGGTGGCTGAGTCCTATTGTTGATTCTTTTAAAGTTAATTGTTTTATTCTTTTAACTAGCAACCTATCAATAAATATTTCTCGATACCCATAGTTTTTTACTAAAGTTCTAATAGTTTCTAATTCTTTTTTAGTTAGCAGGTGGTTCCACATTGAGTTGGAAAACAACTTAATATGAGTAAGAACTATCTTTTTTAAAAAAGGATTGAACACCACACTCACTCCATCATTCACCATTTCTATTAAATGCTGAACGGTTTAACAAACTAACCCAGCGAAGATAAGGCCGTCAAAAATTATCAGTATCAACCAAATTAAAAAAAATAAATAAAATTTGAAAAAAGTCAAACCTAGTACTAAAATGCAGCAGTACATTAAGTTACGAAATGAAAAACAATTTAAAGACACAGTTAATTGGCCAGAATTGAACACATTAAATTTAGTATTCATTCGACTTCTTGAGTGCTGAGTGAGTAATTTTTAAAATGTTCATCAAGGCAAAATTAAACTTTAGCATTTTCTTACTTAAGTAAGAAATATTTATTTGAAAAAAAAAAAAAAAAAAAAAAAAAAAAAAATTACATGTATATAGGGGTGGTCCAGTTGTCATGTTAAAAATTTTCAGTGACAGTAGTCACAAGTAACAACAAGTCAATAAAAAAGTCAAAGTAACAATTTTTTAGTGTTTATTTAAGAAAAACAAGTTTCTTTACCTAAACCTGAATTTTCTCCACTCTAACGTAACTTATCCTAACTTTTGAACCCATTTTTAGAAATTAGCATTGAATTTCCTTTTACATTAGTTCACTTTTGTTCGAAAAAATGCCCGTCTACTTACAAACTAACTACACAAGCATCATAATGTCAATTTCATGATGTTTCTGCAGTTATTTTATAAGTAGATTTGCAATTTTTACACAGACGTGGACTAATCTAAAAGGCCATTCAGTGCTAAACATAGAAATGGTGTCAAAAAGAGGAAAAAGTTACATTAGAGTGGAGAAAATTCAGATTGTATGTAAAAAAATGTGTGTTTCTTAAATATACACTAAAAAATTGTAACTGTTGAACGAATGGAGATAAAACCATGAGGTTTACAGCATTCTACTACACTTTTTGAAGTATTGTCACTGAAAATTTTTCCAACACAATGAGCTGACCACCCTGTTTAACTAATGTTTATCACTAAAAGATTATAATTAGTATGTTTTAATTTTAAAATTAAATTTAAAAAATAATTCTTACTCGTCTCCAAAAATTTGATGGGACATGTCGGGTTTGAAAACTCCTGAATCATTACTTAGATCATTGGCATGGCGAACTAAAAAATAAAAATGTCAAAATTAATTAGAATTACAATTAATTAAGGTTTTTAGTTGAGATGAAAAAAAGTTAATGGCACGAGAGGGATTCGAACCCACGACCTTCGGCTTGATACGCCGCTGCTCTACCACCTGAGCTATCGTGACCTCGATACACCTAATTTTTTCCTTTTTCTATGATTTCAGCAACCACATCCTGCAGACGGATTTTAATCCCTGCCTACATATATTGGATCTATACATTTACAGTAATTATCTCAGTTTTGTAAATAAAGTATTTATCTATTTTTTTAATATACTTTTGTGTCTGACTCTGGATACAAGGAAATTGGGTTGTTGTTCCCTGTAATTGTACTTATTCCTTAGTCCCTTTTTGGGAGCTCGCAACAATTTAAGCATAAAAGCCTATTTAAATTAATCCATATTTGCTTAATGGTCCTAATTGACCATATTAATTATTCCAATTAATTATTCTTTTTTATATAAGATTTTTGGTTGCCATGAAAAACCTTAGACAAAAATTATAATTAATTGGAATAAAAGCTTATGCTTTTCCACTGAAAAAGCCCATTTTTTAAAAGGTTTGAGCTCGTAATCAAGGCCGCTGAGATACGAACCCGTCCAGGACCTTCCATTGTGAAACATGTCAACTTTTCCACAACATTTTCTTAGGGGCCGGAAGATCCAGGGACATCGATAGAAATCAAACCTGATGGCCTAACCATTGGCTACTGTTGCTACCCCAATGGAAATATAAGCAAAAATGTATTTTTACTGACCTTAATACATTATTGGGTTATAAAATATATATAAATTTAATTGCATGTTCATACTTCTTCAACTTACTCATTTTGAATTCGACTGCCTGATTACTATCAGTGATAAACTCTTCTTTTACGCCAAGAACCCTTCTTAGCGACATGTTGAACGTCCTGGAAATACAACATTAATTAATATTTTTTATAATAAAATAAATCGTTTGCACATGAAAAAAATTCACCCACAGAAATGGGCTTTTGGAAAAAAGAATCTTATAAAATCAATAAATCTCCTTTTATTTTATTTTTGAAGTAGTGTTTCGGTTTTCCATTTGTTTTTAATTTTTAAAGCACATAAAGCTGGGTCCACACCTTTAAAAATTTATGCTAAATGCTTTCGCCACAATATTTGCCAAATATTTTACACAAATATTTACACCGTGAGGCATGACTCACTCAATATGTGTTGAGTTGTTTTTGGAAAGGTAATCTGTTTTGCTATCTATGCTTATGCTTTTGCTATATCTCCACATTTCGAAGTAAACAGCAACAACTCTGGGCATGTTAATTAACTATAAAACTCTCACTGAGGTACCGAATGTAGGCAGACTGGTGGACAATCATTCGGGCAGAAGTGTCCACACCGAGAGCCTAAATCCTATGATGTTTGTCAAAAAGCCGACTGATCATGTACGTTGAATGTGGGATAAATTTTTCCATGAGTTGTCACATCCACACTCACAGTAATTTCCATACATACACAAAATTTACACTGTGTGTCAGTCAGAGTAAATTTTTATAGATGTAGACCCGATAAAACATAAAACCAGGTGTAAACTTTTGAATAGCCAGATGTAGCAGAGAGAAATGTGAAATGCCAAAACGCTTCTGACATACAAATCTAGTAAGAATGGGCAGACCAAAAATGATCGGTAGCAACTAAATTACAGTTACATCACCCTACACATCTCACTTTTACAAAACAACTATATGTAAAATGTATCTCTTCTTCATAAAATTGGACCAGGAGATCTAAAAACATACTACCCTTTGGTCATTGCTTTCTCTTTCCCGAAAAAATGGGCACCGTTTGGTTATGTGCAACATATGCTAGATGCAAACAGGCTTTGGCCCAAAAGTGGGATGTTTCCACTGTACCTATTCTAATGGATGAATTAGAAATCTGTAAGGTAAGGTGAGAACTGCAAAAAATTGTGAGATTTATCTGTAGAATACTTTGTATAAGGTAGATGTTGACATGCGCAACACTGAAGATGGCAAATTATTCTTTTTTTTTGCTATAAAATCCCAAAATACTAACACTACACCCAGACCTGCACCTGAGGACACGAGTTAAGAAAAGCCAATCAATGCTGGCACTCAATTTGTTATTAAATTAAGGGAGATGATGGCTCAGGGCCGTTGTTGTTTGAGGCATAAAGGATTCTTGGGATGGGAGTGGAAAGATCTTGGACTATGATTGGAAAGAGACTTTAACCTTATGAATTTAAACTAAATACGGTAAAGTATGTAGTGATAAATTTGGATCAGGAGACGAAGACACCGCCATGGTCATTGCAATGACCAACGAATGACATCTTCAATTAAGCGTGACATCAAGCATACTTGCTGGAAGCATACGCAGACTCTGGACCAAAAGTGAGCCTGTCTCCGCTGCATCTACTCTTATGTAAGAATTAGAAATGTGTTCTGTAAGATGTCAAGTAATAAGCTTTTAAACTGGCTAAGTTTTAAACCTCAACTGAACACCTTTCAGTTCAAAATGTAAACTTAGGTTGTATAAAGCGTTTAAGCTAAAAAGCCAAAACGCACTGGGAATGAAGTGTTGCTTTTTTTTATATATTAAGAAACGTTTGTAATTGTTGGCCAGATTGATCATTGAAATTCTAGGTTGGAAGGCGTTCCACCAAAACTAAGTGTATTAAAAGAAATTGCAGTAAGAATAATTGTTGAAAAGTATCAAATTCAAAATGAATATAGGTTCTAGAGGTAAACCTTGGTTTGAGAGTTATATTAGAGGGAAAATTGTACGATTTGTGTCCTGTTTGTCGGGTGTTTTTAGTTTTCAAAACTTACTTATTATTTGAAGCAATGTGGAGAGGAAAAAAGCCGACAGGCACAGATTAACATCCAATGTTTGGCAGGAAAGGAACTGACGACGGACTACGGAGTGAGGATTCACGATAGGCACGGCGACCGTGGGGGGTGAGTAGACGGAGAGCCGAGAGGTCCACCGGTATTGCTATCGGACGGCACCAATCGAAACGCGTGCGCACTCGGGCAGCCGGCAATTTTTGGAGGCAAGAATCGGTTGGGACTTTTCTGCAAAATTTCACACACACTTGGGCTGGAAAGCGAACTGCGCAGGGGGGAAAACTGGAAAATGGATGCGAGAAATAGGCTAGTGAATATCGATATAGAGTATAAAAAAACAATCGCCGATCATAAAAACAAAGAAATCGGCGGGACCGAACTGATTGCAGAAGGCGGGTAGATAAGAATTTCTGGAGGGAAAGAATCGGTGGCGTCCAGTTTCAAAAACTGTCGAGGAGCGAGGCAAGATTGGCGTCAATCCTTCCCTCAAGACCAATGGTTATATAAACAAAATTGATAGAATAATTTAAAAAATTGAACTTTCTCGAAAGAAAGAAAGTATCGAGGTATAATAATATTATTTATAATTCTCAAGGTTCAAATAGAAAAAAATATACAGCCAACTGCTCAAAAATGAATAGGGATATTGCTATTTTTTTCCTATCGTTTTCCCCAGTATTTTTATTGTAAATTTCATTAGAAATTGTTTTTTACTGAAGGAAAATTTAATTAAGTGATTTTGAAAAATGACAAAATAAAAGGTTTTAATTCCATGATTTCATTTATTGGACACAATAATTTGTTTAAACAATTAATATCACATCTATTAAACACAGTTATACTTACTTATAGTTACTACAACTTCCTTTCACATTACCTTTCCTCACTAAATACGTAGATATATTGACAGCAGTTCCACAGATCAAATTCAAACTACATTAGATAACATTTAACAGCTTTCACCAGCGACTACAATTTACATAAAATCGAAAACAGCAAAACAATACCACTTTTACATGTACTCGTAATAAAACAACCAGATAGTACATTAATCGCAGATTGGTATCAAAAACCAAGAAATGCAGATCGCTACCTCAACTTTACTTCACACCATCCTCTTCATTCAATAATAAACACGGCCAAAGGGCTACTTCACATAATTATTACCCTAAGCCATGAATCTTTTCACCACAAGAACATAAAGATATACAAACATAACAATCACTACCCTAAACACATAATCAACAACTACAACTCAACACTAACACCATCTGCTATAACTAATAATATCCATTAAATCTATCAAATACAGACAAATCAATACACATATCCGTGCCATTCATTCATGGCCTCTCACATAAATTAAACACATTTCTCTATTCTGATTACTTTAAAATAATGTTTAAAAACTATAAAACAATTCACATATTTTTTTTCCAAAATTAAAAATCCCACACCAGTTACAAATAAGCCTGATATAATTTACAAAATCAATTGTTTAAACTGCCCGGCAACTTTCATCGGAATTACAACCCAATATTTGGATAAGGGAGTAAAGCAACATATCTATGACTGCAAAAAACCCAATCTAAATCCTACAGCACTGGTTACCCACCATTTTGGACACCAACACAATTTTGACTTCAACAATCCAAAAATATTACACACAGAACATAACTTTTTAGAAATGGTTTACATCACAGAGTTAAACACAGCATCAATTTCAGAACGGACACATGTAAACTCAGTCGCAGCTACGCTAATATCATTATCAAATCACTAACAATAACATACATATATCATCATCACATCACATAAAACATATAATATAACATATAAAACAGTCATTACATCCTCAGATCAAACATTTCTACATAGTCTAATTCTTCAACAATTTCGCTTTCCTTTTCCCCAATTATCCCCTTCTATATAATCCTGAAAGAATAATCAAGTCGAACCATAACCCATTCTTTCCCATTGTCGGCTTCTTTCCCCACAAAGAAGCCAACTCCACATGTAAAAATGTTTTTCTATCCCTACTTCCTTCTCCACCCCTTCAAAATCTAACATATATAAACATGAAACATCAATATCTCACTGGCACTCTCAACACGACACACAATAATGGCCCATCTACACAGAAAGCAAACACTTTGAGTGAGTCTAAGATTTCTAGCATTGTGTGGTGGTTAGTGACTGTTAATCGATAATTATTCAGAAATCGTGAGATGCGGTCTGTGGTCACGATTTCTGAATAATTTCTAGCATTGTATAAATTCATTTTTTTTCTACATCCTACATGTATTTGTAAAATTTAAACAATGTTTATAAATCCCAGGCCCTGAAGATAATCTCAATAAAGATTGAAATGTTGGCACGATAAAGAAAATGTTTTTCTAAACCTACGTCACACCAGACCACATCTCACGAACACGACACCATATCTCCAAATGACATCAACTAACAGTCACTAAACACCACACACTGTTAGTAAGGTTGTCACTAATTTTATAGGGAGTTTCACTCCATAGATGTTGTAACACTGCACTCAGTTGTAACAGGTCATCTGGTTGTGGTTGGTGATCGAAAAGCCTACTCTGCTACACTCAATGGGATTGAGGTTTGGAGATAATGGGGGAAGGGGCAGATGGGAAATTGCAAGGTTTTCTAAGCATTGATGAGTATGAATGAATATATGAATAAAATAACTCTGCCTCTATGAGGTCTAGCATTGTCATCCAGAAATCGAAAATCCCTGTCAATGGGATCCCTAGTTTGAGGAATGTATTCCTCGCTATTTTTTTGGACATAACGGACTACGGTGAGGTTGCCTTCAACAATATGGAGACCAGTTTGTCCTCCAGTGTAAATTCCAGCTAAGACCATTACACCACCTCCACCAAACTGCACTGAAGGGAGCATGAACTGTGTACGTATCCCCGTTCTCAGTAGACTCTTCGACACCTGCTATCATTATACAGACTGAAACGCAACTCATCAGTAAGCATAACAGCATTCCAATTGGTTAGTACTCACTGCACCATATTCTTCTGACTTGCTGGTGGCGAGCTGTTGTTGCAAGTCGCCTTAAAGGGGCAAAGATGTGAGGCCGCCTTCACACAAATGATTCGTAATGATGTGTTCATAACGTTAATAAAGGCCATGCCAAAAATCTTGTACTTCATTTTGGATCTGGCGAGCACTATGGAAAGGGTTCCATCTTGCAGAAATGACAATATTTTTGTCTTCGTTTTAATGCACTCAGATCCACTACCAAGCATTGGCACTTCCAGTCTCTCGGAATTGGGCTAAAGCCCGGGAGACCATGCTCTGAGAAACGCCAACTACCTCTGCGATATCCACTTGTTGGTGACCTCGATGACTCATTCTCACAAGTATATTGTGAACTTCTGGTTTAAGATGATGTCTTTCCATGTTTAACGAGAATACAACTGGATTAAAATGAAGAAAAGATGAGAAAAAGTACTTGTTTACAAAATGAGTAATCTTCATGCTTACTGTTCTTAAGTAAATACATTATCAAAAATTAGGATTAACATTTATTTGTTTTTGGTTGCTATTTTCTATTTTGTTTTATCTAACTAACAAGAATATAATGGTTTATTTAATTATAATTAATAGAATAAGAATGAAATACAAATATCCCTATTCATTTTTGAGCAGTTTTCTTAAGTCCTCGATTCAATGAGAATGTATTCCAGAATATAAGCATGCAAAAAAAAAAAAAAANGTCATTAGACTAGTTTGGACGCCTAACTGCCTGAACCATTGCGGCCACTGATGTCCCGTGAGGAAATGTTCCTTGATTATAAGTTATTCCTTGACTGAAAGTACGTCGGCCAAGTGAGTGGCACCCGGTTTGCTTACTGAATGGCTAAAGCCTGTAAAGCCTAGTTACATAATTTTTTCAGAGCATCGGTTGAAGGACATTAGGTTTTTGAAGTCTTTAGGCAAATCATTTTTATGAAGTCAACAAATTATTTGCAAGAGCATTATGTCCTGAAAAAATAATCAATCTTTAGTCGATATTCAGGCCAACTTTGGTAGAAAATTTTAGTCTTTAGTATTTAACTAATCTAAATTTTTCAGTTTGTTTTTCTTTCTCAAGCCATTTTTCCAATGACATCTTTAGCACACGGTCTGGTGTTCCTTGTTGAGGTTCATCTCCCATGTATGAGAGGGCTGTTCACCCCTTCTATACCTTCATGTCTGGAATCCACTTTAAAGAATTCTTGTCGTGTTAAACTAGGGTCATGAGACTAGTTCGGATGCCTAACTGCCTAAACCGTTGCAGCCACTGATGTCCCATGAAAAAAGTTTGATATGCACATGTCCAAAATTAAGAACGGTTCAGTTTTGAAAGGAAAAAATGGGAGTATTAATAGATTTGATTTATCTGCCTCCTCATTGAACAATTTTTATCGTAAGTTGAATTTTGCTGTGTTAAGGCTTGGTTCTTGCGATCTGAGTCTATGTGCCTCTTGCGTCTGCAGTGTCTAGTCAGCAGTTTCCGTCGTGGTCCACGAAACTTTTTCGCCTCTGTATTGGAAAACAATCCTATTGAATTGAGGACTCAGTCTTGACACATTGTCTGATGAATATATGTTTTTCGTAATTTGGTATGCCCCAAATGTGTTCACAGGTGATAGGTGTCCTATGCATCAAACTTGTCCTATTTATCAGGCTCCCTGATTCCCCTGTGCTCTTTGTGCCATGGTATTACAAGTGTTATTTTGTTGACTTGTTCCTAGCAAGCAGGGTTTCCTGCTGCTCCGAATACTTATGCATCTAAAGTCTGCAATGTCCAGTCAGCAGTCCTACTATCATAATTCTTGCCCTCACACGTCCTAGGTCATTTGATGAATTTTTTTTTTTTTTTTTTTTTGCATGCTTATATTCTGGAATACATTCTCATTGAATCGAGGACTTATTTGTGTCCCATCTGATGAATCTACATTTTTGCAATTTGGTACACTGAAAAAGAGTTCTTTCTTCAAGTCTTACCTGTGTTTAGTAATGCCTGAGTCTTATGAAAACTGCTCAAAAATGAATAGGGATATTTGTATTTCATTCTTATTCTATTAATAAGAACTTAATATTGAAACTTCCATTACGCCTGTATTTTAAATTTTGTTTGAGGGTCATTGTGTCATTTCCAGGTCATCGATTGGTAAATGCTGTAATCATGGAAGTGGTAAGGCATGGGGTGCCAATGTGCCAAAATGCCAGGGACAACCTTCATCATTTCCTTTGTGAATGCCCTATGCTGGCCAAATTTCACTAGCTCTACATGGGAAGTAGCTACCTTGTTGGTCCTGCAATTGTTAGAGATTTGACAAGCCAACGACTCTGGAAACCATTAATTGCTTTCATCAGAAATGCCTGGGAATACAGGTTTAACAATTAATTTGTAGCTCGGTTGTTAAATTAGTGTATTAGTCTTTTTTTAAATGTTATTTCTTATTTTAAGGTTAACCAAGTATTGTAGGTGTGAAAAAAAAATCTAATTTTAGTTCAGATTATTATTTTGATTTATATACTTTTTCAATTCAAATCGTCTTTAATATAACCATTGTAAAATAAAATAATTCCAAACTCAGGCAGACGTCTTTTAGGCAAGGTTTAAATTTATTGTAAATATTTTGTCAACTATTTCTTTTGTTAATAATAAGAGTATTCTTCTTCTTCTTCTTCTAATGTTTGATGAATGATTGGTTGGAACCTTTGTGTATGAAGCTACCTTTTGTTTTCAAACTGAATAAAATATATTGCCTTTAATACAAGCTCGTTATGTGAATATACTTCATTTTGTCAGTATATACTACTTTTTTGGTAGCTGAGTTTGCGCATAATACAGTACAGATTGGCATAATTTACAATTGATTCCGGACCCGGCCATGCGTCTGTAAATGGTAAAAAGGAGTATAACTACATGGCTTATTTTTATCCCCTACTTTATCTAGTTCATTATGACTAACTACATCTGACCTGTCAAAAAATTTTTGTATGTTTGATTCTTGATTCTTCTTTTTTATTATTTTTTTTATTTTAAAAGTATGAAGCTTTTGAGAGTGCCAACGATTCTTGAAATATAAACAAATAAAACCAGATGCAAGGAGAAGCTATCACAAAATTCTGGAGAGCAAAAAATAAACATGTTTTGTCAAGAGAAAACAGAGACATCCGCACATATCCTTTGTAATTATGAAGCATTACTCTGGTTATTTTTCACACCAAGAAGGGTGTGTGAAAAGGCTTCAACGAAATTGCTTAGCTTTGTGGAGGAAAAAGTGAACGTTTCACAGCATGGACATAATTACAGACGTTCCACAATAGACCTCCATTGGTTGTTATGGAGAACAGGTTAATACTGTAACAATTAGTAGTAGATGATTGCAGACAAGGATATTATGTGAATTGTAAGTAATATTTAATTTAAAGGAGATGAACTTAAAGAATATATTCTGAACTTGTTCTAAAGGATGATTCTTACAGAGAAGATAAGGAGGTGACAGGAGAAGTGAATTAGAATGGACAAGGAGCAATAGTGTTGTTTAAATGCTATAACACTATTGAAATTATGAGTATAGTGAGATATAAAGCCTAACAACTTAAAAGATATATTTACTGTCGATAAAATATGTAGTACAAAAGACTTATTGGGCTGAAATGTGACTCCTAGATCTTTAATTTAATTGACATTAAAAACAAAATTATTATCAATATGATAAGAAGAGCAGAATTTTTTAGTACTTAAACAGAATGACATACGTTTTTGAAGGGTTTATATTCAAACCATTTTGATGAAGCCAACGAATTATTCCTTAGAGAGACTTTTTTTTAGAAGAATTTTGTTTATAGGTACAATAATAAATTATATACATTAGTTCATTATTTTTAACGATTGAACGAAGAATAATGTTTCCAGAAAATAAGAAATACTGAAAGAATAAATCTTTTTGAAAGAATAGGCACAATAAGCATCAGCTTACAATTTTGCCTAACAGATAGCAGCAGCACCGGCGTCCAACGATTTTTGACCGTTATGTACACATCAATGTTTTAATCAAGTCTGGTATTGTTTCTAATGCCTAAGTTTAAAATTTTATTAAACAAATGAATAATATCGGAGAAGAAAATTAAGGCAATATTTGATATGCACATGTCCAAAGTGAAGAACACTTCTGTTTTAAAAGGAAAAAAGTACTTCTCGCCTTCGAAAATTTTTCACTTTTGCAGTTCATATAACAATTAGCCTCTAAGATTTTCAGGAGCCGCGATGATGATGCAAAGTCGTACTTCCCGTTAAAGGACAATATACTCCCTTGGCCACCTACTTGCACTTGCCCGCGCATCGCGAATTTTCCCTTGACTTTCGTGTAAATGTTGGCCAACGTCGCGTTCTCTTGTAAATCTGTGATTTCTGTTATAATCCTGATGACAACTCCTGCAAGCGTTTCGTTGATTGAAAGTAGGTCGGCCAAGCGAGTGACACCCGGTCTTCCGCGGTTTGCTTACTGAGTGGCTCCATTTTTTTTCGACTTATTAATAAATTTATTTATGTTTTTATTAAATTAAAATATAAAAGTACTGAGAGGATTGGTAGAGAACAGAGAACGCCCGGCTGAGCTGAAAAAATAATCAATCTTTAGTCGATAATCAGGCCAACTTTGGTAGAAAATTTTGGTCTTTAGTATTTAACTAATCTAAATTTTTCAGCTTCTTTTTCTTTCTCAAGCCATTTTTCCAACACCATCTTTAGCACACTGTCTGGTGTGCGTTGTTGAGGTTCATGTTCCATGGATGAGAGCGCTGTCCATTTTTTGACTAGATGATCAGCCTGTTCACCCCTTCTATACCTTCATGTCCTGGAATCCACTTCAAAGAAGAATCCACTTCTTCTTGTCCTGTTTCCTAGGGTCATTAGACTAGTTTGGACGCCTAACTGCCTGAACCATTGCGGCCACTGATGTCCCGTGAGGAAATGTTCCTTGATTATAAGTTATTCCTTGACTGAAAGTAGGTCGGCCAAGCGAGTAGCACCCGGTTTGCTTACTGAATGGCTTTTACAAGGGTATTTCCACTACCAGGTTATATGAGAACCCTAGCAGTGCCAGTGTTTTTGAATTTTTTTTTTTTAAGTAGTTTGGTTTATATGCCACTGGGTTCGAATCTGGAACCTTTACCTTACAGTGATGGGCACTATAACAAAGCCTAACTCGTGGCTACTGATGCTCCTTACATAGCCATATGAAACAATGTGGCCTTCTTGAAAATATTGATGACTCGAAAATCTTGAAAGAAATTGCGGACAATCAAGATCTACATTGCTTCCCGTATACTCGGTCGTCCTAAAAAGGACAATGAGGTTCTTCCGCACCTAGCCTATTCGGCCTTATCGGACGTTTTGATTCTCAAGCTGAGAGCTGACGCACCTCTGCATACGATAGAAGGGTGTAGACGTAGCTCAGCCCCGAGGGGCCAAGACAACCTTGCTCTCTGCTTGCCCATTCCGAGTGTTCGGGTCCGCATTAAGCATCGAACTGTATGCCGCACGCAAAGGGCTACCTAAGCCGAAATACATCAGCCTGGTCTCCCACGCACTCCCTAAGAAGAGAAGGCCACTCTACCTCCCAGAGTAGTGGGGCTGCCCCAGCATAGAAACTACCGGATCCGCTCCGGCCACGGGTTTATTTAAAGTGTATTGAGCCGAAGGCTGTGGGTTCAAGTCCCGCTCGTGACACTAATTTTTCATCTCAACCAACTTTACATAAAAATTATAAATCAATTTAAAGTCCTTACAAATGTTTGTTTACCCCGGGGTGGGATACGACCTCTCCTGTTGGGAATCCCCATATAAAAAATCATATGTGACTTCTTGATTTCAATAATTGACTTAAAAGATGGTTGTTCTTATTAAAAAAAATGTTGCTTGGAGAAAAATTCACACAAACAAAATTTTGGGATGGAAAAATAATTACAACTGAAAACAATTATAAATTGGTTATATTTTATTGTTCAACAACAGACATCAGCATAGGCGTTGTGTCTTTACATTTAAAACATTTCCACATCCGACATTATTTTAGCAATCTTAAGTGCTTTTCAAGATTACTTTAAGTACATTAAACAACGATTATTGAAAAATAAATAAAAATGATTTAAAATCTATTTTCTATTGACTACAAAATAAATAACTTACATCTTGATTCTACAAAAATAATACAACAAATCTTGTAACTGATTAAAATTAGAATTTAACAGTTTTATAAGATTATTATACAAAAATTAAAAGATTTAAATTTAAACAAGCTGGAAAGTAGTTCATAAGCGGAAAAAAGTTAAATTTTAAAATAAACCAAAATTAGCAGGTGAATTAATTAAAATAATTGTTCAAACATTCTTGCAATAGGATCAAAGCATCGTTTACACAAACTGGAAAATATCAACAAATATTTAAAGACCAATTCACCATGCATGATGTCTTTAACCATTACAATAACTATTTGTTTATTTACAACCAGTTTAGTTTTTTCAAACTCAATTTGCACTTCTATTGAAAACAATATAAGGTTTCTTAATAAACGACAAGTTTGGAAGGTTTTGTAAAATCTCTTCTGCCTCGGAACTAATTCTTTTTATTAATAAATTGTTAAGATCATACTCCAAAAAGTTTTCTTCTTTTGTAGCCACTGTAAACAAAAAACAAAACATTTACTAAAACACAAAATGATAAATAACAAGAAACATCACCCCTCCCACAATGCTACTCAATAAAATTATCAGTTTTGACGTTAAATAATTAAAATACACTTTGCTGTCTTAATATAGTTTAATATTCAAGGGTCCAATTAACATTAAGTTTAATTGACATGAACATCTTGGAACCATAGAGAGTTAGGGCGACAGAGATTGTGAGGGAGCAAGTGAGTGATTGAAAGATTCAGTGAGTGAGTGAGATTTTTGCATAAGATTAAAGTTAAACCATTTATGTATCGTGTCTAATTGACCACATTAATTATTTCAATTAATTATGCTTTTTATGTAAGGTCTTGGTTGAGATGAAAAAGTTAGTGAGACATTTCACTAACAGCTCACCGTGGCCATTTTCATAAGTCACTGAGAATTGAATCCTGATAACACATTTGAAAAATGGCAAAAAGGGGCAAAATGCGAAAGGTTGTAGGTTGAGATGGGGAGTTGGTGTCCGAGTAGATCGAATTCACAATACCTCACTTGTGGTTAGAGCAGCAGCGTATTGAGCCGAAGGTCGTGGGTTTGAAACCCACTCGTGGCACTATATGGAGATTAGAAAATGGGGATTTTATGTTCCCAAGTACTGAAGCCTTCTTATTGAACTTTTTTAGTTTCTTAGTTCAGTACAATTGACTTGATCCTTCTCTTTAGAAGTAATAGGTCATTGACTGTCATTGCAACCTCCATCACTATCTACAGCTCTTCATTAAGCTTAACAAAGTGAGCTTTTAACAGATCCCAAAGCTTTGTGAAGGGCTTCCATGTATCCTTCTGGCCTTGGCTTTTCCTCTCCCACTAGTAGGAACGAAGAAAGCCTTTATAGGCCTTTGCTCCGACATATGATTCCACTGTTTCTTTTTCTTCCAGGTGAAATCTGCACAGGCTGTTTCTGCTGCTCTGTGTCTATAAGGCTCTATAGTCTGCAGTGTCCAGTCAATGTCTGTAAGACCTAACAAAACCTTTATTAAGAAAAGGCCACTAGGAGGACTGAAGCTCCTTGTATTAAATTAAGTTGTAATTCATTTCTCTAAAGAGGCACAACAGCTGGGATTATCTTTGACCAAAGACTTTCATGAAATCAAAGTTGGTAGATGTAAACTCCTTTGTGCGAAAAGCAGAGAATAAACCCAAAAAATGAAAGAAAGAAAGAAAGAAAGAGAGAGAGAGAGAGAGAGAGAGAGAGAGAGAGAGAGAGAGAGAGAGAGAGAGAGCAAATGAGAGAAGATTGAAGAAGTGAGCACGAGAGTAATATAAAAGACCAAGACCAGCTTAGCCTACTTTTTGAGGCTTTCTATTGTTCAGTGAAACCCTCACCTCACTTCACTAACACATGAAATGTTAGATCAGTCTACATATTTTCTTTTAGTAAGTAGTACTAATGCCTACTTACTTACTTAAAAATGGACTTAAAAGTGGAATAAGCAATAATGAAAATTTAAATAAATTTTTAAAAACTGATTATTTAAGACAGATTGACAGTATTTTAATAGGTTTAACTTTTGCGTATAAATAGTAATAAAGCGCTGTGTTAAAATTGTTTTGCTGTACATATGTAAGTATTTTTTTAACACCCCTGTAATCCGTTTTTTTATTTTATTTTATTTTTATTTTTTGGACTACTCTCCTGCAGCAATTAATGAGAGAGCACTGCAGTTATTTCATTTGAAAGTAAATAAGCACCAGTTTATGATTTATCAATGTAAAATGTAACCCTTTCAAAAAACATAATAATAATAATGGAAAGATAAACATTTTGTTTAAATAATGTTAAATAAAAACAGATTTTTTTAAATTACAAAAAAAGAGAAAGAGAGAGACACTTACCGAATAATGGGTTAGTTAATCCACTTCCTTCCCAATCAAAATGAGCTTCAGGAACTGATGCCTGTAATGTGATAAATATGATTAGTTAAAAAACAAAAACAATTTTAAATTAAGGATACATATATGGTGTAAATAAACATTTAATATTTGTACATACCAAAATTCCTTGCAAAGAAAAATAAAGCATGCACTTACAAAATGACCCAAATAACGAATACTGTTTCTTATTAACACATGTACAAATGGAGATTAAAAACATACACGAATATTAAGACATTTACATATTACTGTTATAACACACGACTACAATAAAAAATGGAAAAAAGAAAGAATTAGCCGACTCTTTGTAGATTAGTGCAAGGTGGTCTTATGCGATACAATCGTTTAAAAATTTAAACCATCGTTTAAAATTTAAAAACAAAATCTGACCTTTGATACTAATTCAGCAGAACAACTAGGCTTGCCAAATTCACATGGTACCAGTCCTTCAAAATTCCTCCCTTCGCTTGCTAAACTTCTATGTGCTTTACTCCAAGGACCACATAACTAAAGAAATAAATGTGTAGTATTTAGTGACTGTTAATTAATGATTATTTAGAGATCATGAGATGCAGTCTGGTATGATGTAGGTTTAGAAAAACATTTTCTTTATCGTGCCAACTTTTCGATCTTCATCGAGATCATCTTCAGGGCCTGGGATTTATTAACCATGTTTAAAATATACAAATTTATACAATGATGTACACAATATAGAAATTTTAGGTGTAATAAAAATTTGTACTCACTCAAAGTGTGTGTTTTCTGAGTAGATGTCACTGACGTGTGTCGTGTTGAGAGCGTTAGTGAGATATTAATTTTTTGTTTGTTTGTATATGTTTGATTTTGAAGGAGTGGGGAAGGAAGTAGGGATAGAAATTCATTTTTCTGTGAAGATGGGGCTTCTTTGAGGTGAAAGGGCCAACAATGGAAAAAAAGTGGGTAATGGTTTGTTGTTTGGGCCTGGTCAACCTTTCAGGATTATTATAGATGGGATTATTAGGGAAAGGAGAGATCAATTATTGAAGATTTAGACTATGTAGAATGTAAGATGTATGGAGTGTAAAATGTGTTAGAACCACAAACAACAGGAGTGTGTTATAAAACAATCATTACACACCACACATGATACAATGACACAATAAAGAAAATGTTTTTCTAAACCTACATCACACCAGACCACATCTCACAATCTCTAAATAATCATAAAGAAATAAATTTTTATCTAAATTAAACTAACAATAACATTAATAAACAGATAACGTGATATCTGATGTGACAGTTAAACTATACATTGTTGGGTGTGTGCATAAGTTTTTTTGTTTTCAGTAAAAAAAGTCAAACTTTCATAAAACATAATTCCTTTGTTTTCTATAACATACGCCAATGTTCTGGTAGTGGAAATCTTCCTTTTTCTATAAGTCTGATGACTAATATGAAAGAAATTTGTATTAGTCTGATTTTCAGTGGTTTCGTTCAAAAATTCCCTGTGGTTGTCCAGGGAGTGGAACAAGTAAAAATTGAAAAGTAGCAAGGTCTGGAGAATATGGACAGTGGGTCATCTGCTGCCAGCCTCATTTAGCGGTCGTGTTCTGGGTGAATACAGCTGCCCAAGGCCTGAGGTCTGAAGTCATGGAAACAAGACTTTGCTCTACTCACCAGGGCTGGACTTTTTCTTTCAATGCAAACCCAAGAATGCTATACCTGGGCATAGTATACCTAGTTTAGTTTTGTGCTAACAGTTCTCAATAAATTACTCCTCCAATATCCCACCAAACAATCAATAGGACCTTACGATGATGCAATCCAGCTCCTGACATCGACAGTGGTGTTTCATTCTTGCAAATGGTGCTTGGGTGATTAACATTTTTGTCAAGGACCCACTTTTATCTTAAGTGAGAATAATAAACCCTTCAGATTTATTCCTATTCAGGTATGAAATGCAACAAGCTATGCTGTCTTCCTTGCTCCCAATGAGTTTCACAATATAACCCAGAGATCGGATTCTTCTTTCTAATGTTGTGCGGTGTAACTGAAATCTCTCTGACAGCTCTGCTACAGTTAATTTGTCCTTATCCTAACCTGTACTCAATTAGTTGTTACTTTTACACTTGTTGGTCTCATCTTTCATTCTCTCTCCATCATGAAAATGTTATCACTGTAAATTTTGCATAAATTTGACAGGCGTCCACCGCTCTATGCTCAAGATCGAATTTAGCAAGCAATGCCTTCAATGAATTTTATCTGTTTCACTTTAGGGATCAACTACCCCTTTCCTAACAATCTCATGTAATATGGCTTTTCCAACCTTAGAGCTAACAGGTAATAAATCGCCTTTATAAGGGTGAGTCAAATTAAAACAAAAACAACTTATACACACAATATATATNTTTTTTTGCTTTGAATATTTCCGGTTTTTGAATATTCTGAAATATTAAAACTAAATTAATATTAAGTTTCGAATAAGGCATTTGATTATACAAGCTGATGTTCATTTGTCCTATATACCACCAGAGGTTAATTATACGAACAAAATACCGTTACTGACATGCTAAAACGTACATGTGACATGTAAACACTCCTTTTTTTATATTTCCATTCCCTTAAAACATTTGGTAAGTTTCGACCCGGTAACATCTAAACTTATTTAAAAAAAAATAATACACAAACGTATAAAGCAAACAAATTTTATTAATGCAGTTAAGCACTCTCAAACATTAGATAAATTTGTACTCACTATATTCCTTGAATCAATTTTCAACGCACTTAGCATTTTGTGGTTAGAAGTCGAAGCCGGCCATGTGTATTTCAACGCTGGCGTATCTTCTAAATATTGAAGCTTTTGCCAAATTCTATTGTCCGTTATAATTTCCGTATCAAAATACTGTGATAAATCGACATCTTCACAAGGTACATCTTGAGGCCATGCATTTTCAAAAAGGTCCTGAAAGAATCATACGTTTGCACTATAAAATAATCTGCAAAATTATGTGTTTTTATAACATAAAAGTTGATTGAACACTTATCAAGAAATAAAAAAACAAACAAACCAAAAAGGTATGCAAAGTTAGTGGAATATTTGATGAATAATGAATGAGGTTAGGCAGTAATAGATTTTTTTCTTTTTATGCCAGCATGTAGCCAAGTGAACAAATAACCAGAAAATATATCATGCCATATCTTAATCTCAACACAAATTTTGATCAGATTTCCTAATTTATAATTTACAAAACATGCTATGAATTTTTTTTATTCCCAGTATTATCAATCTTCAATAAAATTACACGCAAACAGGTACAATATAAAAAAAAAACTTGAATTATTGATGTTATAACCGGAATATTAAACAATTGTTTAGTTTAAATTTCAGATTTTGCTACATAAAATCAAATAACATTTTTTTTTTCTAAAATTCGTTCAACACACTGAACAAACTCAAAATGCAACTTGACATGCGAAACCTTTTTCATACTCTTCTCAACAGTCAATTTTTTTTGCAAATTTTTAAGAGAGTACTACAGGCAGTTCAGACCTCAAATCTAGAATAATGTTTAATTTACATTATTTCACTCTGAGCTATTAGTTGATTTAATGGAACAAACGAGATTTGAAAGGTTAAAGAAAAAACAACAATAATGTTATTAAGAATGAAGATAATTACCTTTACATTAAAAATTAGACAATAAAAACCTCAATCATCATTCTTATAATTGAAAATAGATGTTTAGCAGCCTCTATCATTGGACTTTTTTACAGTAGACTCAATCCACAGGATACTGCAAGGTCACAAAATTTACTTTACTGTTTAAATGATTTTCATTTTTCTTTCCAACTTTGAAAATTCATTTACCACTTTTTTTTTAAAAATCTACATTACTTGATAATATTAGAATAATACAAGTATTCAATGGAATTAATTATTATTTTTAAGAATTTCTTGTTTTATAAAAACTTGCTATGATGCCAATGCAATACTAATTGTACATAATTTTGTTTGATTGGAATGATGCTCCTATAATAATTATATCGTAGTTTCGTCAAGTTTTCAACATATATTACCTCATCAGGGCCTAAGTTGATAAATTATTTATATTATTTTTGAAGTAAATGGGAATGCCTGGAGGGGGGGGTGTTGGGTCGTCGGGGCTCGCCTCCTTGTCTGTTCGAGGAGTTGCTCAGCCACCTTGTCATAAAATACATGAGATTATGAGTGTTAAGGCTGAATATAACCGTGGAGGTTTTTTTATTTAAAAATAATAATATCATTATTATTATTACAGGGGCATCGGTAGCTACAATGGTTAAGGCTGCTTATCAACGTCAATTCAAATCCAACATACAAATGGGATTTTTTTCAAAAACACCGGCACCCCTGGGGGTGCAATAAATATATTGGTTTTGATATGACTGCTGTTGCAAACCCCCTTTAAAAAAATTAATTAATTAAAATAATACACAATACTAATTTGTTATCTTAAAACCTGATGATGACATAATGTACAGGGTGTGTAACTTCGTTCAAGATTAAAGTTGAACTCAACGAAGTTAAACTAATTTTTCATATCAACCACACTTCATCTAAAAATTAGAAATCAATTTAAACTTTCAGAAAATATACATTGATGAGTATCTTGCTATCTGAAATAGCTAAACTCCTAATCATATCTCATAATCTCGGAGAATTCGATTTTTAAAAATTTATCTTGTAAGAAACTAGGAAAAAAAAATTTTTGTGTCATTTTTAAGTTAAACTCACCCTGTACCCTGACAGCTTGGTGAAACAATAATTAATATATTATTGGACTTCTTTCTGATCCTTCCAAATAAAATTATCAAATTTACACCAATCCTAAATAAGTAATTAATAATTATAACCAACATTTTATATATATATATATATAGACACATAGATATAGACCACAAAATTAGTGAATTTAATAAATATTAGTTTCTGAATTGCTAGAGTTGGAATTTAATCTATTAAGAATGATAGATTTTCAAAATATCTCAATGTTAAATCTATAATTAACAGACAAATTATAAATTGTTTTACAAATAATTTTTCAACCCATCTAATGTGTTGTAAGATTTCCTCATGTAGTCTGCAGGGAGAAGAACCTTTTAACTGATCATCTTGGTCTACCTATCCCACCTGTTTTGGTATATCAGATAACTTTCAGATTCTCATCATGTTCAGTAGTGGGTTTGTTGACACAATGAATATGGCAGACCAACCCAACCAACTAAAATGAAGAATATGAATTTTATACAGGGTGATTCACAAATAATGCGTCAAACTTCAGGGGGTGTTTCTACACCCAAAATGCAAAAAAAGTTCCTTTTAACTTCTCTTTGATTCTCCATAATAAGGGCAACATTTCTGGGGGGGGGGGTTCCCATAAAAGGCATAATACATATATTTTACAGTTTGCATCTATTTCAAGAGGGGTGAATTACTCTGACAGGAACTAACAACAGTATCCATGACTGGTATTGAGAGGGGTTTAAATGAATAGAATTCTATTTATTTATAATTTTTTTCAAAAAAAAAAAAAAATTCTATTTTTTTTCCAGGGAAGGCAAAAATTGTCCATTAAGAGAAGTGGTTGCTATAGAAAGGTGTCCATTAAGGAGTTTCACTGTACCAGTATTTTTTCTTCTTTCCTTTGGCTCTAGTTCAAAGTATCCAAATTTCAAATGTAGACTGCTAAACTCCAAAAACTCTGCTCACTTTCCCCCAATGCCTCTCATTTTTCCAAATTCTTGTTTAATTTGCCCACACAATTTAAGATATAACAGCGTATTAATAGCCAAGGTTTTACAAAATTTGCACACTTTTATCTAAATAGAAAAATTCATGCAATGAAACTGAATTTTTTCTTTAAAATTTTACAAATAATTGCAATATTTCTAAAACAAATAAAATGGAACAGAACCTGGTAGGTATGTTTTCTAAATGTAAATTCAATTGGATTTTGAAAGGCACATTCAAATTTGGAGGAGGACCAAGGGTTCATTTTTTCACAAACGAAATCACTTTTATTATTTGAGAATTGGACAGGGAACAGAAACTTTTTTTGTTGCATTTTGGGTGTAGAAACACCCCATGAATTTTAACACATTCGTGAATCATTGTATAAAGCTAGAAACTGTTGCAATTGTTATGTACTAATGTAATAATTATATTTTACATAAACACTCAGAAAAAAATGTTTCTGAACACCTACCGATTTGCCCAAAATATGAGCTCCAAATCTTATCTAGGCAAACACTTTTATTTTCCAAGTCCCTGATTCTTACTTTGTGTAATATTATCTTAATAGCAATCATGTTTTGCAAGTTAATATATTAGCCTTCAATATTGAAATACCAAGGTCTACTCAGGATGAAATTGTTAGATTGTATAATCAAGGAAAATCATTTTAAAAATTGGAAAATTAATACAATATAATAGCTCCGTTGTATTTCTATAAGCAATAATTGGGTATAGCAAGGACTTTCCGTTTCCAGCAAGGCAACAACTCCAAACACATGGCTAGGCAAACCCAAACATATCTACCATGACACGTGACAAAACATTTTTGTATATTAATGGTAATAAAAATTAGGGGTAATTTTATGTAGCAATTTAATAAAAAAGAAAAAATGAAACAAAACATATAAAAGGGACAATAACATAGCGAACAACAAAAGGAGAAAATTTTGACAAATTATCTACACAACCTAATAAAAAAAATAAATAAATAAAAAATGTAATTTTATATTTATTTGGTTTATTTATTTATTTATTTTAATTAAGTTAAGTTAGAAAATAAATTTGGCTCAGGACGAAAAGTTGATTTATTAGATTAACCCACTCCCCTCTTTTTCACAGTCACCACTTTTTTTCCCATTTGGCATAAAATTTTTGCAATTTTGTTCGTTGTAATCAAAGAAAATGGTATACCACGAGAAAGCTTATTAAACAAAGAAATTGTTTTGAAATTTGCCAAACTCTACCATAATTTTTCCAAAGTGGTTGCAAATTTAGATTATTTAAAATTTAGCAGTTTTGGAAAGATTTAGTGTTTTTCTTCTTACTGAAAATTAAAGTTGCAGAAAGGTGCCTGCCTTCTTAAAGGAAATTGAATGCTCTTTTCAATGTTTTTTTTTTTTTATTACCACAAAAATAAATAGCTCAAGAGCTATGAATAGAATTATGACAAAAACCGTAGTTAGTTGAAAAAAAGTTGAATATCTGCGAAAGGGTTGAGAATCAGACCATGGTTCATACATACTTTTTTGTGGTATTTGAGGTGTAGAAGCTCCTGCGAACTTTGTCGTACAGGTAGTGTACTACCTTATATATGTACGTTGTTTAAATTCTGCTATGGCGCTCGTCACTGGAAGGTTTGAAACCAGCGGCTCTGCGTTTGAACCCGACATACTTACTAATGGGCTTTTTTTTCAAAACCACCAACACCCCTGAGGGTTCATATAATCACGTAGTAGAAATACCCTCATTAAAAATAAATAGTTCCAAATTTAAGGTTACAGTCAGAAATTTTCTTTATCATTTTATATATAACATCAGTATTTTCCTATTTGGATCACATCGAACCAGCTTTGATGAAGTTTTCTAATTAAATTATTGGCCTAAAAGCATGTGGTGTGTGTTTTTTGAATAATAAGCATGATTAAATATAATTAGTATATCCTTAATTTGTAATCACTATGTGCATATTTAATATATGCTGCATTTATTAATATTTTTAATATTAATATCTAAATATATGATGTGTTTATTAGACAAGCAGTTTATAAATTAATTCATATATCAGTTAAAAAAATAAATAAATAAAATAAAACTTACAACAGTTGGTTCCTTGTATGATGAAGTTGTTGCAACTGGTTCTGGAACTGAACTCGATTGAAAATCAGCAAAATCATCAAAGTCATCACTATCACCGTCAAAATCGTTTCCATCATTTTTATCAATGTGAATATCTTTATTACATACTGTTACATTATTTTCACTTGAACATTCAACTGTCCTCCCGACTTCTTCATTTGTCGAACTCAAATCTGTCGTAGAGAAGGGTTTGTCAGCAATTTCACTAGTATCACATTCAGAATCTAATTCGTAACCTGTACAAATAGAACTAGTTTCATTGGCATTTTGAATACTATCGTTTAACGACACGATGTCATGACTTTTGGTATTTTCTTGAATATCCGACTGTTTGATCTCATCGTCGTTTACATTATCAATGCATACACTTTCAGAAATGGAGTCATTTATAACTCCAGAATCACAATTAAAATCACATTTAAATTCTGGGTCCCCGTTATTGTACGCCACAAATTCTAATTCTTCAAAGCTAGCGTCTACATTCAATGGGAGCTGAAAATCATTTAATTCAAAATCCTTTGCAGTCTCTTTCTTTTCATTAATTGAATTTTCTATAGGATGAGAATTGATTTTGTTTATTTTTCCAGAAATGTTTTCGTCGTTGGAGTTGGAATGTAATATATTATTAATCGAAGAGAGTCCTCTTTCAATTGGCGTATTTATGTCACTCCCTCCATTTTCATCATCTATCGTGTCTAAAAAAGTGAGCCAATTTTAGATCTTTTTTTAAGACTAAATCATGTAAAATATTTTCAGCACATACCATGGACAAAGCTTCCAAAATCATCACAGTCGTCTTCTTCGTCATCGTCAATAGGTGGGGGTGTCCTTCTTATAAAAGGGGGAATATTCATTTCCTGATAAAAAGATGTAATTAATCAAACAAAAACTTTAATTTAATTTAAATTTTTAAAAATAATTAAAGTTTCAAAGTTCCTCATAAGCTCAACGAAGGTACTGAGTGTTTCTTTACAATTGACATCATCCTCGATAGTTTTTAGTATAAAATTAAAATAAATAAATACATACTAGTTGTATAAATTGGCACAACCTTTAAAAATGTCAGATTAAAATTTTTTATAAGTTTTGATCAAGGATGGCTAAAACGCTTTTCCTTGTGAAAGTAAAAAGCACAGGATTTTCATCAGATGACTAACACAAAGACAAAAGATAAAACAAAAAGAGAAATTTTTTCATGGCCATCTTGGATTTGGGAATTGAACATAATTGCCAAATTTTTCAAATATCCAACAAGGAAAAGGGTAATTTTCTTGTATTGACATTCTGTGGTGTGTTTTTTTCACACCTGAAGAAGGTCCAAGGATGGAGTTGTAGGTTAAAATAAAATAAGAGGGAGAAATTTGTTTTGACTATGCACCTTACCATCTCAACTTAATACAAATTAACTATTGATAGTGTAGTGAAACACAACAATAATCAAAGGAAAAAGAGAACTATGTATAAAAAAAACTCAAATGGCAAAAATAAAAAAGTGTATGTGGGTGTTGTTGTTATAGGTCTTTTTCACATCTTGAGATATCCTGTTGTATGAAGGGTGATGAACCTATAATTTGATCATTACTTGGTCTGCCTATCATTGCTGGGTTGGTCTGGCAGACGCGTTTCTGAGGCCCAACAATGAAGATGGCCAATAGGATATGCAGCTCGAAATGATTGGTAATAACAAAATTACAGGTTTATCACTCCACGGACAACAGTAGGAAATCTAGGGCTCAAGAATGATTTGACAGAAGCATATGTGGTGGTAATAAACCCACTTGAATAATTACACTGTGTAAAACAAGCCTGAATGTTTCAATAAATGAAAGGAGGCTCTTCATTTTCAACGTGGCAATTGTAAAATAGTCCCATAAACAGACTGAATGATTCCCTGGTTGCACTGTCAGTTGACTTGAGAGAACTGAGGCTCTCAGGTCAAATAATATACGTTTTGCCAGATAGTGTGCAATTACTTCAGTTAGTTAAACATGTTGTAACACATGGAAAACTAACTTGTATGGTGCCGTTTATAGAACAAGACAGATCCCTCAATCATGGCATGTAGGTATTAAAATTCCAGACAGAAAACTATTGAGGTTTGCATTAAAACCTAAAATTTTTATAAATCTTATTACAAGGGATTAAAAATATGGGTGGAGTCTGAACATATTCTTAATTTCAAGCCGGATTCAGAAAAGGATATAGTACAATTCATAATATTGGAAATTTATTAAATATTGTTAAAATTAAAACACAAAGAAAACACAGCAAACTATATTGCTTTTTCATTGACTTTAAATCAGCTTTTGACTACCCAGTTAGTAATGCAATTTATTACAAATTGAAAGAAGTCTTACGTTTATCGAATAAAATAACTGAAGTAATTAAAAGGTATTGTGAAAACATTCAATCAGCTGTATGGACTAAACAAGAAAGCAAAAGATTTTTTCAAACAAAAATGGTGTCAAACAAGGATATGTTTTATCCCCACTCCTGTTCTTATTACTTCTTGAAGATTTTTATAACTTTATCAAAGGCGGTGTATAGATCGGGACCAAAAATATAAGATGCTTATTATATGCGGACGACATTATTATTACGTTATTTTTGTTGATAATGAACTTACACTACAAATAATGTTAGACAAAGTGTACACCTACTGTCATTTGTGGAGCATGACAGTTTATGTAAGAAAATCAGCAATAATCTTTAAAAAAGGAGGGAGACTTGCTAAATATGAACATCAGAAATATGACAGCTAAAATGTAAACATTGTTACAGGGCTTTACAGTGACCCATTAGACTTCATTTCGAAAACATTTAAAAGAAAAAAAGAAAACCTGTAAACTAGGCCTAAGGACTGTATGGAATTTCTTCGGAAACAAAGATGATATGCCTCTTACAGCAAAATATAAGGTGTTTATTCTGTATCACGAGAAATTTTATGCTACGCAGCACAGATCTGGGGTTATCAGGAATATGAACAAGTCGGATGTGTCTAGAGAACTTTATTAAAAAATTATTCGGCATGACTAAGAAGTGTCCAGATTAAGTAATTTATCTTGAAACTAACAGATTGCCTTTGTTCATTTTTACTGTTTCCCTGCATATTAACTATATTCAAATGGCCCCTCAATGTTCAAGTCAGTCTTAGAAAGAAATTAATAGAAGAGATAATGGCAAAAAAATATTTTGGTACGACTCGTACAAATGTGTAAAAATGGGATCTGTTATCATGAAATTATATCAAGAAAAAAATAGTATATATAGAAATAACTTCCTATTAATTTAAAACTAAAGTTCATACAGGGCCTCATTTGGAGGAGAGAGCGCATGTATTTTCATCCATTATACAAAGCTATCAACACGAACCTAGGGGAAAACATATATGTAAAAGACAGTTCACAGAGATTTTTTATGTCTATAATAATGAAAACTAGGAGCAAAATGCTAAATTTAAATTGTTCATACACGAGAAGTGAGGGGAGACATAAGTGCTCTCTCTGCAATAAATGCAGATGAAATTGTCTTTCATTTTGTCTGTATCTGCCCAATTCTGAGGAACTACAAAAAAACTTTTTTATGTGCATTCAAATTAAATTGGAATATATTTCTCAAATTTTAAATGGACGAAATTGGCAGAACTATACAATTATGTAATATACACATTAAAATATAGAAATCAATTGACACAAGAATTTAATTATTAAATTAATATATTAACTATTTATTTATTACTGTTTGAGAAATGTTGTGTGGTTATTGTCAATGGTATTCAGTCTATTTATTTTGTGAATGTTAAATTGAGTACTGTATACAATATTTATATATTTATTTTAATAGTTGTTATGAGTTATAAATGGGTTATGAACATATATTAAATTAATTTATTAGTTACATTTTGAGGAATTGTTTATCTATGTACACTTGTTTATTGTATTGTTTTTTTTTTCTTTGTAGCTGATTTAATATAAGATTCAATGCCTGTTATAAATATTATATACATATTATGTGTGCTAACTTCCACAGACAGAAGATATCTAAAACGTATATATGCTTTTTGTACATTTCATATTTGTATGATGTATTTTGAGAAAAAATAATAAAAGCCTTTCTATTATATTTATTGTGGTTTAACTTGAGCTGCCTTCATTGATTATTCAAGATGAGGCTCTTCATTTCGAATCCTTGTGGATGAAAGGTGACAGGGATTATTTTCTCATTGTAATTCTTGCATGTTGACCTGAGAAAACTGAGATTCCAGTTCTCTTTTCTCTTGAAATGGCATCTGGTCATTTCGTCATCTTCAGTGTGTCTGCTTGATGATCTAAAGTTGGCGAAACGCCAAAACGCGTCTAACAGACCAACTAAGCAATATTGACACAACAAGATGATCGTCTATGATCAAATTGCAGGTTCATCACCCCTCAGACTGAACAATTACCTGGATGAACTGTCAGTTGACCTGAGAAAACTGATATATGTGTTCTCTTTTCTCTTGATATGGCATCTGGCCATTTTGCCATCTTTGGCATGTCTTCCTGATGATCTGAAGATGACCGAAACGCGTGTAACAGACCAACACAGCGAGCATAGGCGGACCAGGATGGAAATTATTGTTAATCAACACCAAACTAACCCTTAGTGACTGGCAGAACCTGCACGGTTTTTAGTTTCACGGTCGGTGATTTCTACGAAACGGATGGCAAGTCAGCGCGACAATAATTGATTTTTAACACCGTTCGACCACAAAGGCCAATAATACTGGAATGTTTTCATTTCAAGTTGTTTCAAGTGTCGAAGGTGAAAAAGCCAGGTGCAGAAAGAACTGGGCGTTCAATCAAATTTTCTGATCGGATTCTTCGGCAGATTGTTTTAAAAAAATGCGGAAATAAAACGAAATTCGACTTACATTCGAAAGAAGGAAGATTTCGAGACGAAGACGTTGACAACTCGGTCTAACAAGTTGGAACCACTTAGCTCGTGATCTTTAGCTTTTGATCCTGAATTTGTGTCGAGACATTTTTTAAAGAGAGGAATCAACAGACGGACGAGCCGCGTTTCAACGTCTTACAGAAAATTAAAAGACTTCTTTGATTCTGTGCCCCTGCTGTAAACATATGCTGTTTTTTATGTTGTTTCTTTTAATGTACGAATTGAGCGAGGTTGCAAGATGTCGCCACTGTTATAAGCCTCGAGTGAAGAACAATCCAGGGTGCCTCTTTTAAAGAAAAACACAAAAATCATACACTCCCATCCTGATTTAAATTTAACAGAAAATCTTTTTTGTTTTCCGACTTTTTTGTAAAAAATTAAGAAAAAGTTGCACGTCGACATTCTTGAGGTGATGTTATCTTCTTTTTGATAAATTCCTCATATGGCCTGGAAGGGGGTAACGTTTTCGCCCAGATTTAGGCACAAAACACACCGGATGTCAATTTCTTTGGCATAACATTCACACACATAATTTGTGAGCCGTGTTAGTGAATAGGGGCTTTAACCGCTCAAAGCCATTTTACATGTACACATCAGAGAAATAAATTTAGTTTTCAAAACTTCCTTAGGACTGAAGATGCTTTGGGCAGCCAACAAGACGCATCTAATCCTATAATACTTCCGAGAGATCATTAGCCAAGTTAGACGAAAAATGCTTCACTCCTCGCTCCATCTTGACCAATCCTCATAATAAACTATTTAAAAAAAAAAAAAAAAAAAAAAAAACAACACTAGTTTGAACCACTACCTCTGTCCATTCCACCAAAAGCTTTCAGAAGTCCAGTATATAATCCCGAAAAGAATGTTCAACTCTGCACAAATATCGACTTACATATCCATTCAAAATTGAGCTTAAGACTACTTCGTGTTTTGGCAGTACAGGGTCAGACAGTCTTATCCATCTCGTCGCTGAACATATCCATCTTATATCCATATTCCCAAGAGACAAGATGTTTGAGTTCAAGTAGAATTTCCAAACAAATTAAGTAACAAAAAATAATGAGTAATAGGGGGAAAAAAAACCTTCGTTGAGAATGGCACCATCTGCTGGTACACTGAGAGATCTAGAATGCAGGAGCCAGGAAGGTTCAAAGGCAGGAGTATTCAGTCTTGGAACCAAATACTCAAAACCCATGGGAAAATACACCATTATCTTCCAGGCTGAAGTCCATGAAATTGAGAGATAAACTCAGTTTAACTTGAACAAAGGGTTCAAAACCAAGAATTTAGCTGTCAGGTTAAATAGCCAAGCAGCCATCAAATAACTAATCAACGATGGTGCTGAATGCAGAACTAAAATAAACAAATTAGATATGCAAAATAAAGTCACTCTCTGCTGGTTCCCAGGACATGTGGGAGTATAAAGCAATGAGAGAGCAGTAGCCCTTGGAAAAAAATGGAGTGCTATACTGCTGATAGGTCTTGAGCCCTTCTTTGGCATAAGGATTCACACTTTCAATGAGTACCTTAGACAAAAAGACAAATTGAAAATGAGGAAACAGAGGAATTAATTCATTGGACATAAACAATCCAAGAACCATCTAGCAAATATTAGAAGGAAAGAATGCATTAAAGGAAACAAAAACTTCGAATCTTGACAGTTACTGTGTATTTAACAGGACACTGCAGACTGAATAGGCACCTGAAGAAAATTGGTATAATCCAATAGGACAGTGCAGATTCTGTAAAGAAGCAGAGGAGACAGCAACACACCTACTAACAAACTGTGGTGCTACCCATGCCCAAATGAGGAAGTGTTTTGGGATACGCAATATAGCCGTATAAGAAATTCAACCACTGAAACCACACCTGCTAATCAAATTCCTTGTCTAGGAATCACCGGTATTCTATAAGCACAGAACAGGGGATAAACATTCACAAAGGGTGCAGTGAATTACATCCCCCGTCATTACACTACATCTACATCTAACATCCACACTCACCGTATTCAGATTGCCAATTATTTATTATTACTATAAATTTGGAAACACGGATGTTGACAGAAAATTAGAATAAATGCAAATGTTTTGAAATTGTCTATTGATTCTCTTCAAACACACTTGATTGTGCTTAATTCATGCTTAATAGGTAAAAGATAAGGTGTATCCATGCAAATGCTTAGTATTCGATTGATTAAATGCCACAAAAAAATCATATGTTTTTCTTTTAATATAGCAATTTAGGTTTGTAAGTTTGGAGCCACTTCCTAACAACCTATTTCTGTCCAATTCACTATTTTTCGTGGTCCGCTTGACCAATTAATAAGATTCAATTAAATACAGTTTTAAGTTGAGATAAAAAAAGCCAGTGTCATGAGCGGGATTCGAACTCACGACCTTCGGCTTGATACGCCGCTACTCTACCACTTGAGCTATCATGACTTTGATCCCCTCGGGCACTAACTTCACATCTCAACCCCACCTTTTGAATTTTCCCTCCTTTTTGCCATTTTGTGGCCTTGTCTATTTACAGGGCTACTCTATTTATGAACCAAATGCATAATGCACATTTTTTCAGTTTGTACTGGATTGGCAAATCTATGTAAAAAAAGGGGTAATTGAAGTAGACTCGTAAATTTCTTTAAAGAAGATTATAGCTAAAGAGCCACAATTGTAGATTAAAATTTCAGATGCAAAAGTTAATATTTGACTCCTCTAGATGATCCAATTTGGACCTTGTTGTTTATATCAAGATTATGGTGAATTATCAAGACTATGACTATTGTAAATTCTGAAATAATAAAGATCTCTTGAAATTACAGAACTTTAAACACTGTAGTCGATCCCCTTTTTTGTCTGTAGGACATAGGATGGCCTTCTTCCATTGATGCAGCAGAGATTCATCCATATTCATTCATGCTATACATGAGATTAGATTATGGAACGTCTTGTAGAATTCATCATGCTTAAATAACTCTGATGGTAGGTCGATCCCAGATGTTTTATTGGTTTTTGTTTTTATTGCATCCTCATACTTCTGTCATTACGATATTTCTGATAAATTTTCCTAGCAGTCTTAGCTGAACTTTTTCTTTTTGCTGCAATAAAAAAACCTTTAACAGAGGCAAATGTAGTATTTTTTCTTTCATTTTAAATTAGCAAAACAGCTTATAAAAATACTAAATTTGGAACGGTAGTCCGTTTTTCATTTTTTATTTTATTTTATTTATTTATTTTTTCTTTTTTACTTTCTGAAGACTGAACGGTTACGGTGAACCGGATCTCGCGTGACTCGTTCGTTCGGCCGTCGGCTATTGATCAGACATGAGCCAGCTCATCAGCTGTACGGACTCTTCCTATGGACGCCCGTGGCTCCTCTTTGTAAACAATGCTTCTGATTATTTCAGATGAACGGTTGGAAGTTGAAATATGATTTGCCTGTTGACGGTAGCCCTGCTCGTCGTCGCCTCGGCACGTCCCGTCACCTCTCAGCAGACGTACACCGTGGAATGTTCGACGTTGCGTATGGGCCAGTACATCTGCCCCGATCCCGATTACGATCTCATCGACCCTAAAACTCAACAACCTCGAGGTTGCACTACGGAAAACAAAGCCAAAGGTAAATTTCTGACTAAATACCTCGTGAAAATAAGCCGAGTTAATTTTATCACCGTTATCACTGCCGTCATTAGTCATAATAATTCCTAGCACAAAGCCTCCAGATATGGGTTTCGATTGAATTGGTAGTTAAAAAAAGGTAAACAAATTATATGCTTGTATGAAGCACTGGAACCTAAATGCTGTTGATGATGATGTTGAGGATACCAGGAAGTGGGGTTTGTGCTTCCCAGGCACTGCAGTCTTCCAGCTTATTGTACCTTCCTAGTTGGGCGAATGCCGAAATGGCAAAGCCAAAAAAATAAAAAATACCTTTCTAGTTACATAGTTCAGTGCAATTGACTCAATCCTTCTTATAAGTATCAGGTCATTGACTGTCACTGCTACAATTTCATTCCCTAGGTTTTTTTCTGTACGTTAAGTTAAATCTCCATTGCCGTTGCTTCACATTCGAAGATGATATGGGTGGCTGTTTCTCCCTCCTCATTGCATAATCTGCGGATGGGACCATTGTTATATATGCCCATGGGTAGATGTTTTCTCAGATGCCATTGACCGGTTAATAGTCCTATCACAACTCTGAATCAAATGCTTGGTTGGTTCAACCCTTCTTTTCTGTACCATTTCGTTGAAATATAAATTGACTTTGAGAGATTTTCTCTTGGTAGATGCAGTTCAGTTCATTCTGATCATTTTCACTTGCAAGATGCGTTTCAGCTCCAAGACTGGTATGGATCTGATTTGTTCCTCTCTGATGGGAGTGTGGCAGGTCATATCCGACTCGTATTGAATCAGGGTAAATATACGTTTCCCTTTATTTTAATTATTTGAAATTTTAGAAGGTTTTCCTCATTCTGAAGTGTCGGAAGTTTATCTGCTTGTAAGCGAATGTAAGTATACCATGGAACGGGTTCTGGGGAAAGTTATTCTCGACCTCAAAAATGTGTCAGAATGTCTACTCTAGACAACCATAAGTATCAGGTTGTAAAATAAGTGCGAAGTGTTTTTTTTAATATGTTTTTTATATGTTAATTTTGTTCCACTATCTGTTGCCATCTTCCGTGTAATTTTGTAATTCCTGGCTCCCAGAACTTCTCATCCCAAACTCCAATTTCTGATGTTTCCGCAAAGTCAAACAACAAAGAAACAAACATTATATGGTGGAAAATCTCTTATGGTTACCCAATTCTGGTCATTATGGTCAATTGCTGGCTTAATAACTTGAATCTACTGGGGAAGTGGATCCTTATTACCATTACTACTCCCGGGCAGGATTGGGGCATAGTGAACATGTACACTGATGGACAAATTTAACGCACCACTCAGTTTATTTAGTTTAAAATTAAATCCATTATCTTTGTACATTACAGGTCATTAGAAGCTATCACAGTCAAAATAAACAGTAAATAATGCCTTGTTTACTTCATTTATTTACTTTTGTACTGATTAATCCCAGCTTAAACAGTTTTCAATGGTTCCAGTTAGGCATTTGAGTGAGTATAACAATGACAGGGCCATAACGTTATTAGAGGAAGGATAGAGGCAGCATAAAGACTTCAGTAGACTTTATGATGTCCATTAAAAAAAAAATATATATTTTCTTTATGTTTTTGTCTTTCTCTTCACATACTTCTAACCATGGTCATTTGAGTGGTTGGTATTTTTTCCATACATCGTTTTTTGATAGTCCATGCTTGGCACCCTTACGTCAGCGTTGGTGTCACGTGTGTATTTTTTTTTACCATTTGTCTCAATTAGTGTTTATCAATTTTTAAGCCTTATAGTTTTCCTGCTTCTTCCATCTGTCTCAATATCTTGTCCACCTTATGCGTGGAGCTTGTAAATACAACCAGGTCATATATTTATTGGCAGTTCAGGCTCAGGAAAATTTTCTCGAGTATGCAGTTAAACAAATTGGTAACATCGAGTTTTCTCGTTTGATTTCTTTACTTACCTTGAAGTAGGGTTCTTTATTTTCTGTTATGCCCTTCTATTGGAGTAGTTGTTCCTGATAAACGGGATTCTTCTACCCTTGTGTTAAAGTAACTCATGATGGATGTAGTCAAAAGCTTTTTCATAGTCAGATAAAGGCTAATTATTTATTTTTTTAATATTTTGTGTTGTTCACCTATTTCTATGATTGGGTTCGTGGGGACGTATACCGTAGCTGAGAATCCAAGATGAAAACCTGCCTGTTCAATTTACTGGCCTTGAGATGGTCTTTTAATATCCTAAGAAATATGATAACGTGGAAGGGGGATCGGTGGCCACAACGGTTAAGGTGTTGACACGGTTTATATCACAATAAGGTAAATGTCCTGGGTTCAAATCCAGCGGCACTGCATTTGAACCCGACATAATTCCAAAAAAATTGTTTTTTTACAAAAAGCATCAACACCCTGAGGGTTGATATCTCTGCTGTTGCAAACCCTTGTAAGAAAAATAAATAAATGAAAAACCTGTTATTAGCTGATTTTTGATTTAGTAGAATTTTTATTTCCGTTATTTGGGATTGCTATATCTACTACCTCTGCCATTTATTTTGTTTTATTAATTATGAGGATGTCAAGTTTATTGTGACTGATGGTCATTAGTTGGTTATTTATTCAAGTGCAAGAGATAATGAGGCTTTTAACCTACATAAAAGTTTGACAAACAATCATAAAAACTCATGTTTCATTTAAAAACTCATGGGTGATTAAGTCACAGTAGCTCAAGTGGTAGAGCATTGTTGTTTTTATCCTGAAGATTGTGTCAAATCACACCTATGACACAGATTTTTCATTTCGAATAATATGGAAATGACAATAATAGAATATGATGGAAATTAAAATCAAATAAAAATAAAATCCCCAGTATTTCCTTTTATTATGTATTAACTGTATTAATATTTGTTGGGTTTTCAACGTACTCTGAGGGCAATAAAGTTGTAATTTTGTCGTTGCTTATCATTCTGATCTGTTTCAGTACAGCATTTTCAGTGCTGCATTTCTATTAATAATTGACACTAATTATTTTCATCAAGAAAAAGAGTAAAAATATAATAAAGTGAAAAATTAATGTAAGCATCTGCTGGGTCAAGATGTTAATTTACTTACCTTTACTGAATTTTGGTCTTCTCTTATCATCCTTACTTATTCTCACTGTTATTTTGATCTTGTTGATTCCTTTGGATAAAACTAGTGAGAATAAGTAGACCTGGTTGATTCGAGACAAGTCTTATCAGCTTAGAATGTCTCACAATTTTTTTTCTTTTTTCCCTCCTCCTTTTGATTTTTTATATTATTTAAATATCTATATTTTTCCAGTCACTTGTAGAGCAGCTGATGGAATAAATTGTAACGAGACGAATAACTCGACATTCAAAAAAGATATACCCTGTAAATGGACGTAAGTACCTCACAACTTTTATTATTTTATTGTTCTTATAATCATCTATCATTTCTGTAAATATTTATTTTGTAATTTTGTGTTATTTTAAAGTACAATGTCGATCAAAAGCTATCCCAAGTATTTCTAGTATTAGATATTTGAGGGAAAGTTAGATTCTGACATGTTATTATTTACTTCTTACAAAAGAATACATAATTGATTTATTTTTAGAAATGGACACTCGTTTGAAACAGCCCTACTTTTATCCATTTTCCTTGGAATGTTTGGAGTCGATAGATTCTACCTCGGATATCCTGCTATCGGTTTGCTGAAATTTTGCACTCTCGGTTTTATGTTTTTGGGACAACTCGTCGACGTTATTCTTATAGCAACTCAAGTAGTCGGACCTGCTGATGGATCTCATTATATAATTCCCTATTACGGTTCTAATATTAATATTATAAAAAGTGATAATTGGACTTACAGATTGCCACAAAGTGATTGGGCTTAATGTACATTTAAAAAAGGTTCGTGTTTGTTGTTATTAACTGATTGTTTTTATAAATAATATATTAGATTTGTAATTGTTAATGATGACATGTAACTTATTAATAAAGTTGCAAGAGCTCAGTGTTTGTATTTTGTGTTATGAAATGTTATTACAAAACCAACCCATTATAAAAATTTACTTAAAAAACAAAAAAAACACATTTTTATTACACACAAAAAATCAAACATTATTATTTTCTATAGTAACTAGGTATTATGTTAATAGTTGTCTTAAAACATAAACACAACATTAAAAACTTGTTCTTTACCTCCATAGTGTTGTCAAGATAGAAAGAAAATGTAGACCAAGCAACGAAGTTAAATATCTAGGAATGTAGCTTGGATAAAAACCTCAGCCCCGCTCATCACATCATCAAAATCAGAGTGGCAACATGATGCACATTCTCCAAATTGAGTGCTCCCACCTTAGGAGCATCAATTACACCATTAAGAACTTTCCAGCAGAAAGTTGCAAACCAGCAACTCAACACAAGTTTATAGTACCAGTCCAACAGTTTTATGTTTCTCGGACGGCCAGATTTAAACATTAAATATTGCACTACTTTATGTTGTACTTTCTCAGGTTTATCCACATTGATTGACAGGAAACCAAACAACAGTGGCATACTACAACTGGATTCTAACAAGGGACTGATAGAGGAGTTTGATTGAGAAGGGATTGGCGAAGTCCGCAGACATTCGCTTAATAAAACCAATATTCTTTTAGTCTTTTTTCCTGATGGCTTCAAAGCGGTCTCGGAAATCACAGTTTGTGTTGAAAATTACACTGAGATCAGATATTTTGATGACTTCCTCAATAATATATCCATTAACAGTACAGCGAAAGTTAATATTGGAATTTGTAGCGTTGTGCTTGAGGAAGCAGATACTTTTCACCATTGTCTAACTTGTTTAATAATCTCCAGTTGTCAAATGTAGTCAGACCTTGAAGAAGACTACATTCACTCCTACAATCCACCACCTTAAACAGTTTTAAATCATCAAGCAGCACTAAATGACTATTTTTAATAACCATACTAACATTATTGAAGAAGATCCAAAATAAAATTGGCCAGGAGTGCGAGCCCTGAGGAATGCCCAAGTTAATGTGAACGAGCACCTTTATTCAACAACGACTCAAATGAGACTAGTAAGGGATACCCAACACCAGAGGCTCATAGCTTTTGACAAGAATGTGTCTATCCACCCTGTCAAATATTTTTGAGAGGTCAGTGTACACAGCATGCCAGATTCAACAGAATCTAAAATAAAGTCTGTATAATAGTAGGTTCGTTGTGGTTGAATGCCCCTTGCTTTGTTCTTATAGGCTATAGACAGTGACTCAGAAACAAATGAGTCTATGACCTTTCCAATAGGAAAACATCTGTTTATGGGCCTATTGGACAGAACAGTCTTATTGCTATTTTTATGAACAGGTAACATACGATAATTCAACTTAGGAAATATATGTGTGGTGATTAGTGACCGATAGTCGATGATTATTCAGAAATCGTGAGATGCGGTCTGGTGTGATGTAGGTTTCAGAAAAACATTTTCTTTATCGTGCTAACGTTTCGAACTTTATTGAGATCATCAGGCCCTGAAGATGATCTCAATAAAGATCGAAACGTTGGCACGATAAAGAAAATGTTTTTCTGAAACCTACATCACACCAGACTACATCTCACAATTTCTGAATTAGGAAATATACTAGATGGCAGTGTTTTTGTGAATTTTCTTTTAAACCATCATAATTACATAATTTTTATTAATACTCATGAATTTCTAATGTTGTTTAATTTGGTTTACATTAAAATAAGTACATTATAATTAATAATATAGTTATAAAAATAAATATCGTTTGAAATAAAAACAATTTTTTTTCAGTGCAGGATCTTTGTTATTATTTCTGGCAGTTGTCATAAGTAGCAGAAAAAAGATAGATCTATATACCATAATATTAATATATATTGGAATATCTCTCTAACTTCGGCAGGTAGATCAAAAACCAAATGAGAATTTACTTTTATTGTGGTAATGCTTTTAACTAGCTTTTTTTGTCAGCTTGGAATTGGTTTTCAATTTGTTACAAATGCAGTCCATTTTACAGTTTTTTTTCTTTTTAAATATATTTATTAACTTATGGCAGTGTCATTAAATTATTTTACATTGGTAGTTGCAAATGTATATTGAGAACATGCAAGCTCCATTTCATCTCCTAAAAAGAAACAGATTTAATAAGTTTTTAACAAAGTTTTATAGTAAATAGGTTGAAGGATATATAAATATAGTTTATTTTGAAAAATACTATTTAGGACATAGGAAATGACCCAGCTGACTGACTAGGCCAAAAAGGGTTAGTCCTCTTATGCATGGGCCAAGAACCACAACACTGAAGTGTGTGCTTAAGTTGGAACTGGAAAAATGGTTTGAGAAAGAAAAAATCAAGCAGTTTTGCAAAGAAAAGCAACAGGTATGAGGCAAGCTGTAGAGAGGTTTATAAATCTCTCAAAAAGGAAGGGCGAAGGAACTCCTCTCTCTCTCAGCAGGCAGGATTTGAGAAAAATTATAGGCCTCTATACCGGCCACTGCCCTCTTAACTATCATCTGAAGGAGGTGGGTAAAGCGGAGACAGAAACATGCAAACTCAGGAGGAACCAGAGATATGGCACATATCCTTTGTGAATGTGAAGCATTAGGTTAACTCCGCACAAATATGTACAAAATTGTATTTATGAGAATCACCCACTTTGGGTTTTGGCAGTCCAGGGTCAGACCTCAATTGAATGAACAGATATCATCAAAAAAGTTTAAAAAAATATATTTAATATTTTTATTCTAGTTTTAAATTTGTATTGCTTTTTTAATTTATTGTCAGGATACTTAAGTCAGTAGAACTAAAAAGTTAAATGGGAATTTATATTTTTTACCCATTGTTTTAAAGTTCACTGAAAATAATGGCCCTATAAGATTTTAAATTCTTCAAAGAATAACAAAGTCATGGCACAGACTGTGAAAAGAAATATATTAATTTCGTTTTTATTATTTTTGTTGGTTTATGTTAGGAAACATTTCCAGGTGTTTTTTTTAAATAAATTTAATTGACCAATTTAAAATCTGATTGCATCATCGTTTCAGTGTTAAAATTAATATTTAAAATATTTAATGCATTTTATTATCACTTTCAACACAAAATGGTATATCTACCAAGTACTATATTGTATAAAATAGTCCTCCAGTTTCCTCCAAATTTTGAAATATGGGACACAAAAACTCGAGTACAATTCTCATATTGGGTGGCTTTCTTACATGCTCTCTTCCCATGGAGCCAAGGAATATCAATTTATTCCATCACTGAGTGAATGTCATGTAAATAGGAATGAGAGTGTGAATGGGAGACTGCCTGCACGACCAACACATAAGGTGATTCTCGAGTCCTGATAATTTATTATAAATCACAAAAGTTAGAATCGCCAGTGTATTGTGAGAAGTGATAGACTCAACTCTGTAACACATGAATTGTATGTACTTGCATGTGTAGATTAGAGCTTATATAAATCGATAATCATAATACCTACACACTCTCTATATGGAGCCAAGGAGTGCTACCCCTCATAACAAGCAACGTAGGATTTTGTAAGAATAAGGTATCAGTCAGATGGAGAGAGGGGTGTGGAAACACTAGATGAGTTAGTAGTTGATGGTTCTGAGTTGATCAATTAGTTTTGGAGGGAGGTCAAGTGTTGTTGAGGAGTTTGTCATCAGAAGAAGAGCCTCCACCACCCAGCACGACAACGTTCCTCCAATTGTAAACCAGAGACCCAACCTCTTAAACTAGATCATTTATTTAATTAAACCCTTTTTTCCAAAATAAGACAGCTGTACTTGTTTGAGAGAGATATTTTTGGGCACAAGAGAAGGAAGCTGGGGCCACAACATGCTATTTTGCTCGATTATTACAAACTGACTCGTCACTCATCTAAACATCTATCTTACATATCAGTTTAGTTAATTGTAGTATTATTGTTTCTATGTCATTCAAAATTTTAAGCATATAATTTGTCGATTAATTTTTCTTACTCAAATGTGGAGATACAATGCTTAGGTCTATTGCAAACAGACTTGGGCACATCGACCAATTACCATCCAATTTGTTCTCCCAATATTTTCCGTTATACGTGTACATCTCTTCATCTGTGCATTCATTTTGAGATTTTGAAAACCACAATGAAGTCACTAGAAATATGCACAAAAAGTATTTTACACTGTATTTCCCAACTTAAGACTACCTAAGTTTCATCATTTTAATATGATTGCTTATGAAAATGGTAGACTGTTCTAAATCCACTCTTAAAAGTGTGGACTTTGATACTGAACCCTAGTTAATGCTGACTATATCTTGTATACAGATAAGACTTAAGGGTCATGACGGTATCTACGAAAATAAATTTATATAAGCTTTGGGCAATATACCACTGTCTTTCTATTGCTATTGAACACTGCAAGGGCGATGAAAAGACTGGGTATTACCAACAAAATAATAGCCATCTATTCAAACACCCAGGTAGCAATGAAGGCAACTACATCATTGCATTAAGGCACTGTCAGATATTGGGGAAAATGACCAAATCTCTCTCATCGGGTATCAGGGCGGAAGGGCAATGAGGAGACAAAAAAATTGCCCAAAAAAGTTCTATCATAGCTCCGAAGCACCTATCAACCCTGAACCCTATTGTGGCATACCAAATTGGGTTAGTGCACATGGGTTAGATCTGGGATAAAGTTAAGTAGGATTAGGAACAGGTTGGCCCTTGTTTAAGTGTTATACATATCGGCCACTGGTTTTACTCATGAATAATCTGAAAGCTTTGTCTAGACATCTTTAAGATAGTTTTGCTCTGATGATGACCTTAAAATAGGTTGAAAGCTTGGCAGATTACAATTGAATTTTTTATTTTTTATTCAGACCATTCCAAGATTCAGATTATTTGTGATTATGGACAAGAAAATTACTATTTTTGACTACCAGGGTACAAGGCTGATAAGTCTGAGGAAAGTTCGATCACCTATCAACCACAAACTCTTTTGAGGCATACCAAATTACCAAAAAAAAACTTTGAACCATTAGATAATGAGGTAACTAATAACTCTTTAGTCCAATGGAAATGAATCGCAGGACAGAGGCTATAGGGCTAAAAAAAAAAAAAAGCTAATGACAGAGTACTAAACCTGGAACTTGTTAGGACCGCATACTGGGCATTACAGACTCTAGAGGAAGGGTCCTAATGAGTCCTTTTAACCTTAACCTCATTATGATCATGAATACCCTTAATAAGGAAAAATCCTTTTAACAAATGTAGTGTACAAAAATGATTTAGGAACTAAATTTTTATGATCAATCAAGTTCATCTCGTGCTAATTGCCAAATAATTTGTTTCAAATCAAAATTAAAGAGAAAATTACAGCTTGAAATTAACATAACCTCATTTAACTAACCTCATTATGTTCATGAATACCCTTAATGAAGAAAAATCCTTTTTTTTGTACAAAAATGATTTAGGAACTAAATTTTTATGATCAATCAAGTTCATCTCGTGCTAATTGCCAAATAATTTATGTTTAAAATCAAAATTAAAGAGAAAATTACAGCCTGAATTTTTCATAAACAGAAACACTTTAGAAATATATGATTTATCTTACTGATGGCAACAGATGGATTTTGAAGGGGGGAAAACACAATAAATAAAAACATGTCAAGGGAATTTCTTCATGAGGTGAAGAGTGGAGAATTTTTTTTAGTTGGGGAAACTCATTCGAATAACAGATTTTTTGGTCAAACAAAATATTATAAAATCATGTCTAATTTGAACTCACTGACAAGTAATAAGTGTAACATAACACATATAAAACATTTTACATCTGTTATTAATAAAAAATTGTACCCACCTTTGACCACATCAGTATTTTCTGGCTGATCGGGCCTTTTCTTTACGCCAAGTCTATATCTTTGTTGGTCTTCAAGTTGAGCTTTTGCTTCATTCGCCAGATCAAAAAATCCTTCTTCCATAAGCCTCTGGTCGGGTCTGAAACGAGAATCTGTAGGTGCAACTTTTTCGTCCATTTCATTTAGCTGGCATGCCAATAATGAAAAATTGTAAAGATCCTCTGAATTAGGTCTATATATGAAAAAATTGTTATATATAATAAAACTAGCACACTAGAAAGAAATAATGTTTTCATAATTAAAATTTAATTTATCTTTTATAAATTTATGCCATGTAGGAGGGCTTAACTTACAATTAAATATATCTTTAATTTTCTTTTTTTTAAATCTGTTTATTTAATTTACAGTACAAATTACTTGTAAAAATGTGAACTTATATTGGTTGATTAGACACTTGAATAGTAATCAACAAATAAGTCTGCTATAAGTAATTGATTATTTACAGAGATACTATTGAAATTATCACTGCTGAGATTTTTACAGGATTTTTTTAAACTGTTAATGATAGTTCCAAAAATTATTAATACAGCCAAATTGAATGAAGATTATAATTTTATAATTATAGCAAATAGTTGTAAAATTAACACTGCATTTTGCGCTTAACTTAAAAAAAGGAATATAGAGTAGACTCTCATAATCTCGCTTTCCCTCACCCATGGTTGCCCCCTAGTTGAGTTTTATCTTTTTTTGGCCCTAATAATTTTTTCTCGTTTGTTTCGATGTCATGCATAGGTGCATACCTGTTTATGAGAGTACATATGTACATACTGTTTTCCTAAATGGAGTAAACTTTATGTATGTCACTGTATATTGTATTTTTCTTATTGACAAAAACGAAAAACCCTGAAATATATGCACATAAGTTCATAAATAACACTAACAATAGGCACATGTGATACAGAAAGTGTTGGTATGGAGAGAGAAAAAAAAGTTCTGAAGCCTGAAATTTGAGGTATTTCCTACTATCACCACTTCTCATTATTCGCGGTTATGCTTGGTAGCATACCCTGCGGGTAATTAGAGTCTACTGTAATCAGTAGGTTGGTCAGTTTAAACAGTTTATGGGAAGAAATAGTTTCCTTTGCCAAATAGTTAGGGTTAGGGACATGTTAGGTTACATGTCCATGATTCAACCATGAATTGAAGGGAATAATAGTTGCATGTCTTTGGTTTCATTGAATGCTAGATGTATTGTAGTACAAGGAGGGTCTGAGACGTAAAAGTAGGGAACAGCAATGGCCAAGTGGTTAGTGTCTCTTATATGCCACTCTAGCGGTTCTGGGTTTTCATTCATGAAAAATGTATTGTAGTTTGAACCCACTTCCGTGTCACCTAATGGGTAATTGAATGTAAGGCCTTCCTGGATGACAGGAATCACTTTATTTTATGAGGTAGGTGAACTCCCCTTGAGGTATAGACCCTGGGGTCAGCAATCAAGGAGTGACAACCCTTTAGGGTGAAAGTCAAACAAATGAGCACTCACATGGCTTCATTCCGGCTCCAAATAACCCTGCTTCCAATTTGAGAAAGTTTGATATTATTTTGGGCATTTACAATACTTAATTCCTTGTCCCAAGTGCCATGTATTTTCCAAACAATGTTTCCACTTTGATCTAGAACGCTGCCCATAACCTGCAAAATTTGCGGTAATTCCGTGAATAATGACGCATCTAACCGATGTATTTTACCAATGAAAATTGCCATTGAATGCAAAACTCAATTTATTGTATAAGGTTGATTCATAAGTATTGGTGCATAATTTGATTGAAGTTTTGATTTTTTTAATGCTGAATAGTAAAAATTAACCAATGACCTGACGCTGGCATGAGCCTCAGAGCAATCGGGGCCTAGAGGCAAGAGGAAGCAAACACAGACTTTCTAGGTCCAGAACCCTGATGGTCCAGATGCCTAGCATCTTGCCACAAAAGAGGATGCTTCTTAAAATGGATCCTTAATGACTCCAATGTTTAGTGGAATAATAGCCCAGGCATGAGACATGCAGAGAGATTTATAGAAGGGCCATCTGTAAAACTTAGAAGGGAATCACTGGAAGGCAATTGCAACCGAACCAAGATTTTGGGTAGACTCCTGACAGAGCACTGCTATCTAAGAAGAGACGTGCACCAGATAGGAGTACGAAGTAGAAACATTGTGCCAGAAGAAGAGGAAACCGCAGAACACATTTTATGTTTTTATGAAGGTCTTTGTAGGTGCAGATTCTTGCAACTAGGAGAGAAATAGCCGCAAGCAAGATCCTACACTAAGGAGCCATTGGCAAGGCTATGAAGGTTGATTAACAGCCTGAAGCTGGCCAGTGAGTTATAAAAAAAACACCTCTTTTCTCCCTATTCACATCCTTATCCCTAGCCCTAGTGAAAATGAAATTACAGTAGAACTAACTAAAACCTCTTGGATAAAAATCTAGTTAAAATGGTCCAGTCCCTTTCACGCTTTGGTATGTCAGTAAGCTGTGAGAATTTATTATTTTTTTAAATAAATTTTAAAGATTTCCTGCATTGAGTAAAAAAGTAGCAAAATGCTCTTCGAACCCATCACCTAAAATAATCTATAAGCTCAAATCTGGACTTGCATTTACACAAATACACACATGTACAGGTGGGCCTCAAGAATCATCTCAATCACCACCTGTGTGTGGATGTTGGAAGTCTGGGGTTAGACCTCGATTTTATCTGTCCAGTTGCTGAGGTTGGGCTTCAGGTATTATCAACAGCTAGGCCATTTCAGCACCCAATCACTTTCTAGATCCAAACCATCTCACTCTTAAATGCATTATTTCATATTTAAATACCCTTTACTCAGGATGGTGGAGTACTCAATAATCCTCCATCATCCACACCTGCTATTGGAATTAAATGAGGGTTGGTTCGGTACTCAATATTCTCCGGTCCTCTATCAGCCCTTACACACTAATATGCCAATAAATACATTCACTCTTAACACAACACAAAACTGTAAGTACTATATACAATAAAACAACCCAGTTTCCTCCCAGGATTGGAACATGGGACCCAGATACTCGGTGCTATGATCAAGAACAATTCTCATATTGGGCAGCATTCCTACACACTCTCTATATGGAGCCAAGGAATTGCACCTTTCAATTAGGTAGCCATTTTGAGATTTTGTTCTGACAACCAGAATTCTTGCTCAGTTTCCTATCAGGGCCATTTTAATGGGGTGTTTTTATAGTACCCTACTCAAATATACTCCACACATCTCTAATTTATTACACAATATAATTTTACAAAAAATATATTTCAGTTTTGATATAATTTTAAACTCAACTCTCTACTCTCTTTAGATCTGGGTAAATAGATGTTTTTTAATTATTATTATTATTTTTTATAAGCGAGAATGTTTTATTTTATTATAAAATTTTCTAAAGTAGAGTGTGTTTAATTTCCTAACCAGTCTATCAATAATATGGCTACAGAATTTTGCTCACGATATTATGAACCAATCCCAACATTTGTGTTATCCATCCTTTCAAATGAAAGAACGCTATTTTGTTAATTTTTTACATTGATTGGAAAAAAAATAATACAAATATATATACAAAATATGGAAATGTTATACATTCGCTTAGATGGTGATTGCATTTATTATACAGTTGTAATATAAATTACAATTTTTCAACTATTGTTAATTGTTAATATAAAATCAAATTACCTTCCTATCAAAGTCTTTACTGAACATACTCGTTGGAACAAACTCGACTTTAGCTATTTCTTTACTTTGGCAGTTGTGGACTTCCAGTGTACCAAACGGTTCGGCATACAGTTTTCCAATTATGATGTTTTTGATCATTGTCTGAACCTTTCTCCAATAGTAGTGTTTACCTTAAACATGATTTCATTCATAACAAAAACAATAGTTTATATTTTTATGAACATTGTAACAAAAATTGTTAGAATTTTTTCTATAAATTACACTTATTTAAGTCAATGGTTTTGACCAAAATTGATCATTCGACTTAAAATACCTATTTACTCCTGTGGTATGTAGTACGATGCACCAGCAATTTTATTGTTTCCAATTGCCTACCCTCAGGTTTTTTTCTCCTGCGACTTATATAGGTGTATTGTAGAACCCCTATGATTAAAATCGTACCATGTGAAGTATGCTTTTTCCCAAAAAATTGAGCAGTTTCCTTGGTGCCTCTTTGCACTTTTCTTTTGGTGTAAGACTTGTCTTACCCAATTGCACCATAAATTGGGCTAATGCTTCACATTCACAAAGGATGTGATGATGTCTCTCATTCTTCCTGATAGAGTTGGCAAGTTCCTGCCTCTGCTTTGTTCATTTTTAGGTGGTAATTAAGAAGCCTATAATTTTCCTCAAATCTTGCCTGCTTCAGAGGTCTTTCTTCACGTTCCATTTTAAGAAATTTATAAATCTCTCTAAAATGAAACTGAATAAATGGAAATTAAATAAGCCCACATCATACCTTGTGCTTTTTGGCCCATGCTTGATTTTTCTTTCTCGGCCATTTTTCCAGCTCAAACTTTAGTACACTCTCCGTTGTGCTTAGTTGTGGTTCTGTTCCCATTGATGAGAAAACTGCCCTTTCTTTGGCTAGTTAGCTAACCCACCTCAAGATAACCTTGTTGGTTCTTTCTAGAACCATTAGACAATTGAGCTATTCCTAGACTAGTTAGGATATAAACCGTATACATTTAGTGCCTTTATAGCTGCATGACTGCCCAAAAGTATGTAAATTCATACACCTTTAATTTACTACTTTATCAATTCCTGTGCACAGAGTTGGAATGCATGGATCCCAGCTTGGAAGATAGTTGGAATGATTGGTAGGGTGTAATTCAACCAATTTAAGAAAAATAAAAAAATAAATTTTATTCAGAGGCTTTGGGGCCCCTTGAATAATAAAAAAGNATATAAATGAACTAATTTAAATAAGAGGGGAGAAAAATTGAAACATTTTTTTCTTATAAGTATATCGGATTCAAATGCAGGACCGCTAGATTCAAACCTGGAACCTCTTCCTTATAGTGATGAGTGCCATGTCAACACCTAAACTTCTGCGGCTACCCTCAAAAGGCAAAAATTAAATGTACTGAAACAATAGAAAATTAGCCATCATCGATGTTTAATTGGAGGGACAGGAGGTAATCAAAATGACAGGACTGAAAGGTCGATGGAACTTAGGGAGGAAATTCCAGAGGTCGTAGGATTGGATGAGGAAAAAACAACTAAAAGCAATGGATTAGTATCAGAGGGTAGTGCTATGAGTGTGGCGAGTGTGTATGGAAGACTTAAATGTTAATAGATTATAAATATAGGAAGGGGAATGGGAAGAAATTGTTTGAAAGAGGAAGGCCTACAAGCAACATCTCTGATGCTATCTCTCTGTTTAACCGTGATCTTATTCTCTCAATCAATGGTCAAGTAATAATGGCATTCTTTTAAATCCTAACATATCCCAGTCCTTATTAATTTCCAATGAAACCGTTAATACATATTGCCTATCCCCTCCTCATATTAACGGTTCCCCCGTTAATTTTTGTCCTGAAGTTAAAAATCTCGTCTCTTTTTTCCTCCAAGCTAACATGACCACACACTATTATTAAAAAGATCTACTCAAGCTTCCATTCTCTTCGACACGTTAGCTTTTTCACACCACTGAAAACTAAAGTTCTCTTTATTAAATTCCTTTATTTTTCCTACTGTAGCACTATTTTTTTCACTTTCGTTAGACTTATCTGCTCATCGCCTTGAAATTGCTTATCATTCCTGCATTAGTTCCTGTTATACCCCAAGAGATCATATTTCATCCTGTATTAATGCCTTCAGCAACCTTAACATTCTACGCATTTATATATTTTAGTAGTTTATTTTGTATAATTTAGTGGTTTTATTTTTATACTTTGACTTTTAATATGCATATTTAAAATCAAATCAAATTAATGACCTAATCAAATATATTTCCCACATTCCTTATCCAAATGACCGATCGTATCCCAAGCCTTCAACACTCCTCTAAAACTTTAGTCTTATCCCTCAGAATTGCAGTTGCTTGTCTTGGAATATGCTTCCCCGATAAGTACATTCTGCTTCCTTGTTGGCTTCAATCATTTAGGTCCATGGCATCAGAGTTTTTGAAAATGATATGAATCATCTTCTTTTCTTTCCATTTCCTTTTTTTCTCTTCCTGCTTTTCTTTCATAATGGGGTTTCATCGTTCGATTATAAATAATTAATATTTTAAAGAATATATCGTTGTCATTGTTTTATAATTTGATTATGTTTTATTACTACTACTATTATTAGTTTACTATGTTTATAAAACTAAATTTCTCTCTGAAATATGTACATATAAGGCTTAAAGCCCCTATTTGTACCTTTAAAATAAAAATGAAAAATAAGATAATTAGTAGTGTTACTTGAAGGTAAGTTAAAAACATGATGAAACCCCCATGTAATAATGCATTGCCATCAAATCTCTTGGCTGAACCCATGAACCATTGGGCTATGAGGACTAGTTCATACAGACACAGCTAAAAAATTCAAGGATATGTTTGCATACTCCTTTCATTCTATTTTGTATAAACTATACCATTAATTCTAACTTTTTAATTATTTTTATCAGCTTATTCTTAATTATATAATTACTCAATTATACATAATTTTTTCAAAATGAAAAATTTGTGTCACAGGCGGGATTCGAACCCACGACTTTCAGCTAAATATGCTGCTGCTCTACCACTTGAGCTACCGTGACTTCGATCGCCCATGCCACAATAATGTTAATACCATTATTTAACATATACCTGTAGAAAACTTTAGGTGAACGGACCCTTCGGGTATTACACGGATGTTTGTCCCCTTGAATTTAGTATAGACGGTCACCTCTTGCCAACATTGCCAGGCTGTACCCTCACAGTACATTGCCGCCGTAGGTGGGTGGTGTGAGATCTGTTCTGCAATGGATCTCCATCCGAAATCATCTGTCCTGTCACATTCGAACGTTTCCCCTTGAATAGGATTAAACGGTTTTCCAATTCTATTAGATATCGACGCATAAGATGCTACAGCAAAAACCGCTATATAAGCCATCTGCTCAAGGTTATCAGAAAGATTGGAGGCATTGTCTAAAATCGAAGAATACTCAAAATCTTCAGTCAATCTTTGAAGCATTGATAGCGGCTCGAAAAAATTTACCTGGAAAAAGTAATTTAAGAAAATTGAATATTTTGGTACAAGTACTCTTGAAAAACTAGTAGATCATCTCTGAGATTGCTAGACACATTAAAGGTAAAATTTTGAAACATGTATGACAGGCAAACCAACAAGGATAGGCAGACCAAGATGACTAGTAAGGATCAAATTATTCAATAATGTTAGAATAAAAGTATCGGAGGGATAAACACAGATTAACTTTGATAACTTTATTGGACATACAGAGTACACGCATGAAGGGCAATTACAGTATGACTATTACATTACATATCAGTATATACTTTTCAATTAATTAAGGTTTTGGTTGAGATAAAAAAGTCAGTGTCACAAGCGGGATTCGAACCCACGACCTCCGGCTAAATACGCTGCTGCTCTACCACTTGAGTTATCGTGACTTCGATCCACTTGGACACTAACTTCCCATCTCAACCCCACCTTTTGAATTTTCTCTCCTTTTTGCCATTTTTCAAATGTCATGTAATCGGATTGGATTCTTGACAACAAATGAAATGGCCACGGAAAGCTTTTAGTGAAGTATACTTAATTTTCTTATTACATTTTATTAGGTTTCGTGATCCGCTTGACCAATTAATATCTTTCAATTAATAAGGATTTTAGTTGAGATAAAAAAGTCAATGTCACGAGCGGGATTCGAACCCACGACCTTACCTTATTAATTGAAAGATATTAATTGGTCAAGCAGGCCACGAAACTAGTGAATAGGAATAAGTTTAAATGAAATATACCTTCACTAAAAGCTCTCCGTGGCCATTTCATTTGTCGCCGAGAATCAAATAGATTGTTTAGTCTAATCGATTAAAGTAATAGAAATTACTATTTCCAAGAAATAAGTTAATACAAAAAGGCTGCACGACCCTTACTTTGAGATTCCTCTGTTATACCTTGTTTGGCTATTTTGAACTTGATAATAACTAAAAACTTAACATTTGACAACTGTGAACTTACAAATTATTTATAAATGAATAATATAGTTAACACAATAAATAAATAAATAAATAAAAACTTACAGGCATAGCGATTCTACCTAAATCTTTTCCTACACAATTCTTTAGGAAATTCCAAAGATTAATTGAGGAATTTGGTGGTCTTGGTGGTATACATGTTCTCCTTGTGACCACATTAACATGTGTATTTTTTTGCTTTGAATTTAAACTGGCCCTTAACCAATCTGGCATGTGCGTGCAGTCGAAATTATAGTAATACTCATCACTATTTTCATCACCATTGTCATTATCATTGTCATCGTCATATTCGTAATCGTCTTCATTGTAAACAATATTGTTACTGATGTTAACACCATTGTATTGTTCAATAATTTGGAAATTGGTGCAATTTGGCTCTTCGTTAAGATTATGGTAATCTTTTGTTACATTTGATTTTAAACTGCACTTGGAACAGGCAGGGCAATATAACAGTTCACTGACTTTTATGGTCATTATTTCTTTATTGGTGACAATTTTCGGGCTGTCTATTTGAATGTTCTGAAATGAAGAAACAAGTGATTTAAAATTAATAAATGGGTTTGCAGAAAATCAATTTGCTCACTAATTCTAAATAAATATAACAGTTTATGTATTGAAATAAATATATTAACATCTTTATGTCCTACCCTTAAATAATCAGTGCAATAAATACATTGTACAAATGGTAATGACGAGTGATCTATAATGGCTTTGGTGCTGGCATGCGTTTGTTGGAAAGGCAATGTTATGATTTTAATTATATCTCCCAAATTATCATCGCAAATTAATTCAATATTTGAAGTCAAACGTCTTTTCCACTCAGGCATTGTTATTTCACAAGACAGCAAACTATTTTCTTCTATCGCTAGCACCGATTCGTCTTCAGGACTCACTAAAGATGCATTGTATGAAACAAAACCTAAAAAGTATTTTAGACTAATTATTTATAGGAGTAATTTTCGATATGTATTATGTTTACATATAAATTATTACATAATTGTTATTAAAATCATATAAAATTGAATTTTATGTTTGTGTCAAGTGTATCGATAGAGGGCTTAACTTGGGTGTCGCATACAAGGGGTCAAACCACTTTACAATACATTTTTCATCTCATTATCAATTAAAAAGCCATAAGCTCTGTCGGGATTCGAATCCAGCTCTGCATGGCAAATACAAGTCAGACGCCTTATCCACTTGACGACCACATTCCCCAAAATCGTATCTACAAATGTTATGATACAAAGACATAGAGACTTTTAATTAGGAAAAGTGCTTAAATGTGAAATTACAACAAGCATATTTAAGTGGATTAAGAAATGTCCATTAGTCAGTCTAGTAGTAGCTGGATTACTTAATATAGTTGGAATGATCGATATTTTAGAGAAATTGAACTGCTGTCTGGAGTGACAAGGAGGTTCGAAAGGGAACATAGGAAAGGAGACCAGGACAATCGATATGATTATATATCACTTTTAATATCAAAATTAAGTCTACGGGTTGTACAGAGTTTCAAGTTCAGTCCAGTTTGAAGCAAATGAGATGGGAGAAATATCTCTGTACAACCTCTGATGCATTAGTCATCTCATGTTCCAAATGACACATCCATAATTAAGAATTAGTCACAGAATGATCTTATAAAGAAAAAACTATAAGAATTACTATTATTTATAGTAGTGCGATTAATAAATCCGAGGAATCAAGGGTCACCCAGATGTTGGTAGTCCAGGGTCTTATCCGTCCATCTTCAGTGGTTGGGCTCCAGAGGATATCATCTGCTAAGTCATTTCAGCAGCAATGTAATCACTCTCCACATCCAAATCCTCTCACTCTTAATTAAATACATTCTTTCCTATTTACATACCATTTGCTCAATTAGGGTGTTGATATATTCGATATTTTTTCATCTCTCATTACACCTGTTATATAACTAACCTACTTGAGGATTGATGGTTACTCAATATTCTGTCATCGGTCCTCTCACACATTCATGCTAATAAATACATGTTAGGGACACAAAATGAGAAATCTATAAAGTGCTATATACAATAAAAATAACCCTGTCTCTGAACAGGGGACCCAAATACTTGCTGCCGTGCTCAAGCACAATTCTCATATCAGGTGGCATTCCTTCAAGCCAAGGGTTAAGCAAGGAATGGCACCATTCAATTGCATGGGACACATCGAGCAACCTTTCTCTACATGCTAGACACATATACACAGGCTTTGGCCTAAAAGAAAGTGTCCGTGTCAACCATGGCCTATTTTTAATCAGGAGAGAATGACCTTTCTTCTGCAAGTCAGAACCTTTGAGGGGTATTATATCAATAGTGCTTTTAATAAGTAGGAGCTTCTTTTCCAATCCAGCCCATGACATTGCCACTTTCTTTTAATCATGTTTTTTCATTGTTTTTTAGTGTCAGAGGGCCAGATCAGTGGTTAAGTATGGAGGTTGGTAAGTCCTGGTCTTAGCTGCCTCGTCCTCCTTTTCATTACCCTCCAAAGAACCATCATTTTGATAAGATGCTCCAGTTCGTGGTATCTCTCCAATAAGAGCACAATGAGAGGGTTAACGGAGAATATGTCAGCCTTGTACACTTAATGAATAAATTGGAATTGATATTTTATTATTATTAATATTCTTAATTATACAACCTTGATATGAACTTACAATTAATTAAGGTTTTTAGTTGAGATAAAAAAGTCAATGGCACGAGCGGGATTCGAACCCACGATCTTCGGCTTGATTCGCCGCTGCTCTACCACTTGAGCTATCGTGACCTCGATCCACTCGGACACCAACTTCCCATCTCAACCGCACCTTTTGAATTTTCATATGATATGAACCTTGAAGTTAATAAAACAAAAATCTATGAGATTAGGAAAACTTAATTGTGTGTTTTAGACTAACTCACGGGACTCTGATGCAGGATAATTGCATTTCCCACTGATTTCACGGCCATAAATATTATCCAACTTTCTGAAAAACTTCATTTCACAATTTAAACATTAAACCCAAACACAGATAGCATCACATTATTGTTGCTAAGTAACGCCTTTTGTTTTATATATTGTGTGATTGATAATAAATACGTTATGGTAGAAGTTTCATTGTAAAAGTCAAGATTTTTGCATTGTGATTAATGTTTTGATCTTTAATCATGAAGTTTTTATATTGGTTTAGCAATTGTTTTTTTTTTAAATTATAGGATTCATTAACTCAATATTTATATTTTTGTCTTGCAAGGCTTGTCTTTGAGTGAACTTCACTGGCTTTTCAAGATCAGAGGTGATTTTTTGTTTCTGAATGGTGCCCCATTTTGGACTCTGGGAAATTAACAGTGTCCTCTATTTCAATTAATTAAGGTTTTTTTAGTTGAGATAAAAAAGTCAGTGTCACGAGCGAGAGTTGAACCCACGATCTTCGGCTTGATTCGCCGCTGCTCTACCACCTGAGCTATCGTGACCTCGATCCACTCGGACACTAACTTCCCAACTCAACCCCACCTTTTGAATTTTCCTTCCTTTTTGCCATTTTTCAAATGAACGGAAAAGAAAATTTAGTAACTCAAAAAATCGTCGAGGAATTTAAAGAAATCTTTTACAATAAAAGTAATAATCTAACTTTTACAAATCAAATAAAACAAAATTAAAATAACTGACAAACTCTTGACCTAGACCAAAAGTTACCAATATCCTGAGGTATTAAAGGGGGAAATAGACAAGCAAATCCAGGAGATGTTAGAACAAAAAATAATTAGACACTCGCCCTGGAATTCTCCCGTCTGGATCATTCCAAAAAAATTGGATGCATTTGGAGAAAAAAATAACTATAGAAAATTAAATGAAAAAAAAAAAAAAAAAAACGCTGACAGAAACCGCAGAAGCTGAGTGGTCAGCATGATAGATTCTAGGTCCACAAACCTTACATAATGAATGTGCATATGATCATTTATGTCCCTTGGCTAATTTGCAAAGTTCATACGGCCATTAAGGAAAAAAATCACCATCTGCTGGTAATACTGATGGATCTAGAACACAAGATAGTATATGCAAAATCTCAACTTGGTGTGGTCTGGGTGGAAAAGCAAATTCAGTTGTTACCGCCAAGCTTTCAACCTATTTTAAGCTCATCACCAGGGCAAAACAATCTTAAATATGTTTCAAAATTGACATAATTAAGTTTTAAGAAATAGTTTCAAATGTCTTTCAACATAGTTTATGTACCAACACTGGAAAGGAGTGTTTATTTATTTAACGCGCAGCCACACACTTTTTTCATATGTACAAAATGTACAAAGGTAAGTTTGCAAAGTAAATTAAAATTTACAATGAAATAATATAATAGAAAATATACAACAAATAGAAAAGTACATTTAGTAATATTTATAAGAAATAATATTTGAAGTAATGAATGTAAAATGTATAACATAAAAATAAAATATCATTAAAACATGATAATATATGAAATTAACAATAAAATTCTTTTGATAAAATCAACAAACATAATAATAATAAAAATAAAGCAATATCACATTAATATAATAAAATACATGAATATTACTGTGGAAATATATAATGACTGGAATATAAGGATAGGTAGTGAAGGTAGTAATTGATTAAAGGATAGGCTTTAAAGAATTCAATTGGTAGAAAGAGGAAGGGAGAGAGAGAGAGAGAGAGAGAGAGAGAGAGAGAGAGAGAGAGAGAGAGAGAGATGGATAGCTAGTTTGAGAGATAGATAAATATGTAGTGAGANGAGAGAGAGAGAGAGAGAGAGAGAGAGAGAGAGAGAGTGAGAGAGAGAGAGAGAAACAGAATATTTTGAGGTCGTCTGTGTAGAAAGTTTGTGTCATTAAGAGCAGTTGCGATATCATTAATGAAGTTGTTAAATAGAGAGGGCCTTCATAGATTACTATATACAGATTATTCGTAGATATACAAAACCATGTTTCATTCTACTGGCTCCCAGGACACTCAGGATTAAAGGGGAACGAGGAAGTAGATGCTCTAGCTAGGAAAGGGGCTGCTGTGTCACTGATTCGTAGTCGCCCTAGTACTGAGCTTAAATTGGTACAGTGAGTATGCACGAATTATGGGTTTTGAAGTGATGATTTTTTTTTTTTTAAATTTACAGTAAACTGTTCAATGCACTTTTTATTTACAAACTGCCACATTACACTCTTGGTATTAAATGATGAAACATCTAATTCTGCTATGTAAATATAAATATGGATTAATGGTGTTGAAACACTAATAAATGAAAAACCGCACGAACTTTTCTGGTCATTGTATTTCTTTAATAATAGCGCAAGTTGGAAATGCCTATTACAATTGTAAATTCATAGACTAGAAAACAAACTGTTTTAATTTCTGTTGCGATCATCAAGGCAATCTTCCAAGTATGTATTACTTATTAGTAAAAAATAATTTTTGTTTTGGCTAAGACAGGAGTCGGCCATTTATAATTATTTACCACTGAGGAACTTTCATTGGATCCATTCTCCTGTCATAAATTACTTCTATTTCTATGGTATAAAATTTTTAGGATCAGAGTTTAATAATAAACAATTGAATAAGAATAATAAGTCTTTAAATGTATAATAATGATTAATGATTTATGTTATGTATAACGACGTGAACCATGAATGACATGACAACCAGACTTTTTTTACTTTTGCAATGTTTATGGTTTCGTTGTATGTAGCAAGTTAATGTATCATTCAGTTTATTACATATATTTATAAGTAAATAAACTGCGGGTTTCGATCTTTAAAGTCGCGGTCGCGGGCATAACGGACGTTATTGATTTGTGTTCCCTTTCCGACAAATCCAAGCGTAACCATTAGATACGGACAAACCAAAACATTAATGTTTATCCTGGAGCGACTTGTGTCCAATTGTCTCTCTCTAGTCGGCAGTTATAAAATTTTTCCCGATCGAACAACCCATGCAAATTTCAGTTTCTGTTTTGCAACGCGTCATGCGTTTCATAGTTCGACCGGCGAAATTGTTTTAACCGAAAAATTAAAGTGTCAGTAAATTTCAAATTGCACAATCTAGTTTAAATTATACCTTGGCTCTTTTAATAGTATTGATTTCGATTTGACCAATATGATTAAGCATTTACCTAAAAAAAATCTCAAGAACGATGCTATCGCAAGGAGGTAGGCCATTTTTAAGTATTTACGCACATTTTGATTTAAAAATACGTGGATTAGATGGATTTGGGTTAAGTTTTAGGCAATTCTACTCAGAAACACTATACTACTCAAATATACAAAAATAAATAAATAAATTTCAGATTGTTTTTAGTTTATGACGCAAAAGGTTTATTTTACACAAAAATTTTATTTTCTGGTTTTAAAATTTGCCTTTCTTTTTGACAGTTTATTGGATGTCGTATGCATACAAATTAAATCGTTTTGGATATAATTATAAAATATAATTATTTTAAAACTGAACTTTCATATGTTATTCGTCTTACACCCAGAGGGCACGTCATGAGAAGCTAGCAAATGCTGGCAGTCAATTTGTATGAGGATGCCTGAGTAATACAATAAGTATCATCTACTGGAATGTACACAACTAACTATATTTTTCATTTAATGCATCCACAGTATATTTTGCCAGTTTTGAATCCTCCCTGAGGCAGTAGGGGATCTTGAGGGATGGTCCGAGGATGGCACTCGAAAAACCACGGGGGAACCACCCACACCAGGCAGAGGAAAGTGGAGTTTATCTCCAATTATTTTTCCTCTGTCTCATTTGAGGGATGAGCATACACTGTGTTCATTCTAATCCCTGAAGGCCGGGGTTCATTTCAACCAAGAAAGCTGCCAAATGTGGACCCTGGAGCCTCAGTTAGAGTTTAGGAATTTAAAAAAAAATTTTTGATGATACTTTGACAGTCAGTAAGGATGCAATAGTTGGTTTCTTTGAAGGTAAATATAGTTGAGAGCTCTAGCTATAGCTGTCAATTCAGCCTTAAATATGGGCATTGAATTTGGTAGTATGTACTGTTCTGTATGATGGTTTTTAGGTCATGGAAAGCACATCCATCTGTGAAAAAAGTTATAATTTAGTTGGCATTTATCCATTATCACTGGTTATGACCAAAGAATCGCAAACTCAGTTTGTTCTTTTACGATTTTCAGCAAATTTTGTTGCAATAGAAATTTGGACAACAGTCACTAGAATAGACAGTAAAGTTGTCAAATAGGTTGCAAGTACACATTGGTTTCTAATAAAACATCTGCTAATAAATCTTTTCAAAGTATAATCGGTTTTGGCATTATCATTACTGTTTTTATTATACTACATTGAAATGTATTAATTTACTTTACTATTTATAAATTTAGTGATGGGTCAGATGGACCACAAGACGACTTCGAAGAAAATAGGCTCTTCAAAACATTGCCATTGACTGCCAAAATAGAACTGTGTGGTGCTACCGATAAGAAAAGTGAGAAGCATTTTAATGACAAATCAGAGGAAACGAAGGATCCAATTAGCCAATTTCATACTCCAGAGGACTTTCAAGACTCTGCAAAGCAGAGACAAGAAAAATTATCACTTTTAGTCAAACGGTAAAAAAACAAAACAGTAATTAAAGTGTGTGGTGTTTAGTGACTGTTAGTTAATGATTATTTGGAGATCGTGAGGTCTGGTATCAGACTGCATCTCACAATCTCCAAATAAACAGCAATTAAAACTAAATATTCCACTGCTATTCAATCTAACTTAAACCAGAATTGTGTTAACTAGTGGTTTACTTTTATTCTTTAAACATGATACAAATTCAAATTGATAATTATCTTTCACATGGAAATTTGATTGTACATATAGAATTGATGCTGCATGTGAAGATACCTATACCAAGGCCGAGAAAGATGAAATCAAGTCACCGACTTCATCAAACAGCAGTAATATAATAGAAATAAAATTTAATGATAATAGAAGTGATAGAAAGGCAGAAAAAAATAACAGTGGTACAGCTGATGTTTTGAACGTATCAAGAAGTCAAACTCCATTGACATTGACCCATCAATTACACGAAGACGATAACATTGGAGATGGATTTTTGCAATGCCCTTCGTTAAATGTAAGGTGGATTGGATCGCCCAAAACATCCTTTGAAGATTTAGTTACAAATGTTGACTTCACACCTGAGAATCTAAAAAAACGGCTTGGTGATTGGTATGTAAAAAATCATTGTGATTTCTGTGCATAACTAGTTCACTTATATGTGTTGTTTCAGGCTGCATGGTAGTGGCACCATTAGCAAATTAAGGTCATATTTTAGAGGACTTGTAGTAACTGCACTCGATCAGGTCCCTTATTCTCCACCTGCCCAACAATATTGTGGAATCCATGAAAGCATTTGTCTTCTTGTGGCTGATTTCTTGCTTCAGAACAAAATGGAATTTAGTATTTGTGTCTTTTGTACTGAAGTAAGCTTCTAACATTTGATATTATGTGATTATTCATATTGTATAACTGAGCACGTTGTTAAAACATTTATTTGTAAAAATATTTTTTCTGTTACAGATTGTCTCCTTATTAGGTACATATAATAGATTGAAAGGCTTTGCTTCGAAGTTAATAAACCAGGAAACAGTAATGGGCATTAAGGAACCCCTTATGGATTGTGCTGATGTATTTTTTATATTGAATACATTTAATATTCACCCTGAAGGTGCAGTGGCTAAAGATATTTTGAAAAGATATTATGAAGATCGAAACGGATCACTTCTAGCTGTCATGCTAGTTGTCCAGCTTGTCGACTCATGGTTTGTCTTTTCATACTTTTGCTTCATCCTTTATGTCGCTCTTTTAAAGCAGATTTTTCCATGAAGTTATAATTTTCCTTCATTTTGGTTGTGTTGGTCTGTTTTGAGATTTCAGCAATTTTCAGAGGACAAACACAACACTGAAGATGGCAAAGGGCTGAAAAATTTCTGACAGACCAACACAGTGAGGAAATATTGGCCAACATGATCTCTAACGACCAAATTATTGGTTCATCGTCCTGTAGGCCATATTGAGAAATCTCATAAATTAATATCTGTTTTAGGACAATGAGAAAAGAATACGAGCAAGAAGAACACACTCAAATTCTTACTTATCTGTCAGAGTATAAACTTGAATTTAAAAATATTGTTTCAAAAACATTCTCAAAAGTGCAAGAATTGAAAATGGTTCAAACTCAAGCAAACAGGTTAGATATGTTTTAACAATAGTTATTAGTGGCAAACTTTATAAAGCTTACACTTTGGAGGAAATACTTAGATAGAGCGGGACCACAGTGGATGTGTGGCTAGGGTGTCTGAACCATATTTGTCTAGCGGTTTTTTGAATCCTGGCATAGCCCCTTTTTAATTGATCATGGTATAAAAAAGTATTTTATTGTTGTTTGACCCTCGTCCGTGACACCCAATGAGTACTGGATGATAAGCTCTTCTGTATGACACTTTACATACTTAGAGATAGTGAAAGTAGTTTTATTTATTTATTTACAGGCCAGGCCCACATTACAAATATAAATAATTAATTAATAATAAATATTTTTTTAAAAAATATGTATTATTTTTATAGTTATTTGTTACACTTCTATCTGAGTTGTAACACTCAAGTATGATTGCAGGGATATCTTGTTGATAACCAACTTCAGGATTGTGGGGTGGAGACTGGGTTAGAAGTAGAACTACACGGAAAGAGGAATATTAACTTCTTTATTAAAAGTTAATAATTATAGGAGTGGAGGGCTTATGTGAAATAGACTCATTGCTTGTTACAATTTTTTATATTATATACCGTGGTGGAGGTCTAGGAGTGAATTTAGCATGGTGGGAGTGAAGGGTGTCGGTAAAGTCTTTATCTAGGGATGGCGGAACAAGGGGAATGGTTTTAAATTAAAATATTTAGAGATAATTTGAATTATGGATATTAGACTTTGAAATTGGTCAATAGTTTGAAGGAAGGCTGTTTTTGCCAGGGGTTTATGAAATGAGATCAAAATTTTCTTTTTCCAGATCTCGAGCAACCTTTTGGTTCACAAGGGTTGATTAAACAAATAATATAGTGGCTTACACAATGGATTACTAAGTTTTTTAAAACAATAGGAGGAATTTCAACAAGACAGCCTTAACTGTTAGGTTTAATCTTGATCAATTTTTTCAAAATGGTAGTTTCACAAATATTGAAGTCAATGTTTAAACCAAAACAAGGTTTCATGGGTCCTTCAACATTTAACTTAGATATATAGTGCAAGTCAGTCTTTGGCCCATAGATTGAGGGAAATGCGTTTGTTTTGGCCAACAATATTAAAATAATTATTCATATACCATGGGTTTAGGGTTCTTTTGTCTTCTGGTCTATGACTAGTGGACACTTATCAATCTCGAGCCGATACGTTGTGTTTAAGATTGCTCTTCTTATTATTCCTGTTGTCCACCTGCCACGCTTACTGGCCTGATAATTAAGTTCTCCACCAAGATGTAAACTTAAATATTTTCTAACTTAAATCTTTTGTTTAATTATAAGATAATAAGTTTGCATGTAATTAATATCATTATAAAAAAAGTGTTAATTAGATTAAGGTGTGTTGGCATCTATTACTATAATTTGTAGACATAATAAATGTTGAATCCGGATTTGATTTTTGTTCATATTTAATGAAAAACCTTCAGTACAATGTTTGGGTTAGCAGTTCCAGAACTTTTTTTTCGCACTTCTTTGATGGAATTTTGAGTACTATTAATGATTATTCTAATCCAATTTTATATTCTTTTTAGTTCGTGTTCTAAGTTCTGAGAAATCTGCATTATTTGATACTTTATACTTCTTGTGTATAATGTTTTCTCAATAATTAAATTCTTATGATCGCCAAAATACCAGTCAGGAAATTTAGGCAATTTAAAATAAGTACATTTGCATTAATTATTTTATGGAGAGCATCAGTTTAGGAAATTAAATCATGTGCATAATTGCAACTTTTAATATAATTCCATTTTTTTTTTTATAAAATACATAACAATAATTATCTTTAAATCATTTCAAAATTTCTCATTACTACCACATCAAGAGCACTGTCCATAAGTGGCCTTCAGAGGATTTGACTCATAGAAGAAGTTCACTAGTTTTCGTGGTCTGCTTGACCAATTTATCTCAACTAAAAACCTTAATTAATTGAATCATAGAAGAAGAAGTTTCATTCTCGATTATGGATAGACCATGTGAAGTTGACACATAGACACTTACTGTTGGGTCAAAGCAAATGCGTCCAGCATGTAGAGGAGGTTGCTTGATATGTCCCTTAATTGGAGAGTGTAGTTCCTTGATTCTATATATAGAGTAGGAATGCGATCCGATGTGAGAATTGTGCTTGAGCACAGGAGCAAGTACCTGGGTCCCTGTTCCGATTCTTATAGGAAAGGGTTGTTTTATTGCATATAGTATGAATATTTTGTGTTCCGTAGTGTGTGTTGAGAGTGAATGTATTAATTAGCGTGAATGAGTGGTGTGAGGGTTGATGGCGGAATATTGAGTACCCCATCAACACTCAATTAGTTTAGTTATAATAGGTTTAAAGGATGATGGAGGAATAGCGAGTACTCACCCACCCTAACTGAATGAATGGTATGTAAATAAGAAAGAATGTATTTAAGAGTGAGTGAGAGTGTGAGTGGGTTTGGATTTATGAACTGATTGCGTTGAGGGCTAGCTGTTGATAGCCCCTGGAGCCCAACACCGGGGCTGGATGGATAAGACTGAGGTCTGACCCCGGACTGCCAACATCTGGGTGATTCTTGAGACCTGCTGGTAATTTATTGTAAATTTCATAACATCTGGAATTAACAGTTGACTGCAAGAAGTGATAAGCTCAACTCTGTAGATGCATGTATATTGTGTGCATAGATTTAAGCTTATATAAATCAGTAATAGGTTCTCATTACCTGACATATTTATCTTGTGTTTGATCATTATTGAGAAAAAGTAACCAGATTACAAATATTTATATCCTTTCTTTGTTATTTAAGATTATATAAGTCTGAACTAGTGCGGGTACGCACAATGGAAGCAGCAAAATATGACAAAATGTTGAGTGCTTATAAAGAGAGACAGACGAAATTACTTCAAATTCTCTCTGAGTTTGAAAAATGTATGAATTGCCAGAAAGAGACTTTCAGAAAGGCTAATGTTTCTGAAGAGGAAGTTCTTTTGGAATATGCAAATAAATTGACTTCATATTTTTATGAATTGAAAGAGCATATGAATTTAGTGGAGGTAAAACAGTCCTACTACTCACTGAAATTATTTATCGATAAACAAACAAATCTTTCTGTTTGTATTGCTTGCAGGAAAAAGAAAAAGATCTGGCGAGAAGAGAAAATGAATTAGAAACTAAAATCACAAGTATTTCACAACTGAATACCGATGAAAAGCAAGATAGTTCTTATATTTTTCCAACATTGCAACCGAGGTAGGTCATTACATTTTTGCAGGTGCACTTGTACGCACATTTTCTGCTTTCATTGAGAGAATCACTTTATTTGACATAAAAGGGATATTTTTTAAAATTTTATTTATTTAATTTTTGATATTCTTGATGAATTATAATAAATGTAAATAATTACATGCCCTCCAGGATCATGAAGTGAGATTAAATCTATATTAGGGTGAGAAATAAAAAGATTATTTTTTTAATGCACAAATTATTCAACTTCACTTTTTTGGTCCGTCAGATGTGTTTTGCACCATCATGAGCGATGGGTTTGTTCAGAAGCAATCATATTATGAGTTCATCTCTATGCAAATCTCAATATCTAACGTTTCCTTGGTCAATTTTGTTTTCTTTTGCCAATCTGAGTTAACTTATTAATTGTGAAAAGTTGAAATAATTTTCTAACATATTCTTTTTTTTTTTTTAATTTTAATTGTCCTTAGATTAAAACTTTCTGCACAAGGAAAACTTACACATGAACCAAATATCACTTATTTGAATAGTGTCTCTTTTATTCTGTGATAAATTAAGTTGTAATTTGTTTTATTTTACAAGGGTATTTCAACTACGAGGTTATATGAACCCGTTGGGGGTGCCGGTTTTTGAAAAAAAAAATTTTTTTTTGCAACTATGTCGGGTTGAATGCTAGGGCATTGGATTTGTATTTTTTAATCTTTCAATCTGCCTTCAGACCCTTCTTGCCAGGGTTGAAGTATATCCTTTAATTTAGCTTGAGTTTCTGCAAAAAGACCCAGGTCATCAGCAAACCTTAGGGTTAATTTCCTTTTGTTGATATAGATGCTGTTGCCAGAAGTTTCAGGGATCTGAAGATTTCCTTGATTACACAGTTTAACAAAGTTGGAGAAAGTGAGTACCTTGGTCGTACACCTCCTTTTTGTCTGAAAGTACTCCCCAGCTTCATCCACTTTTATACTCAGTCAATAATAATTTTTGGGTGAAGTCAGGTAAGGGTCCAACCTTTCTCCTTCAGCCACCCAAATAGGTACCGTATACTGGCTACAGTTCCTCACATTCTTAAAGTATGTGTGCTGTTGTTTCTGGTTTCTCATGACTTTTTACTAGGTGGTAGTAAAGACGGCAGTGGAGTGTGTAGGCCTATATTCTCCCTCAAATTTTGCCTGCTGAGAGAGAGAGGAGTTCCTCCACCTTCCTTTTTTACTGATTTATAAATCTTTTAACTTGCCTTATACTAGGTGCTTTTGTCAATGTTTGAGTTTTCTTTCTTAAGCAATTTTTTCAGTTCTCTCCAGTGCACCTTGTTTTTGTTCTGGTCCCATGCCTCTTCTTTGGCTAGTTGGTCAGGCAGTTGGTTTCGTTGTACCCCTTCATGTCTGAAACCAACCTCAAAGTAACTTTCTTGTGCTTTTTTAGGGCTATTAGGCAATTTAGCCATTCCCAGACTAGGTTGGTGCTAAAGCATATGCATTTAGTTCCTTTATAGCTGTTTGACTGTCTGAAAGTATGTAAATCTGTGTGTCTTTCATATTCTTCTTTATCAACTCCTGTGCACAGAGTTGAATACAGGTGTTGAATAGGCCACAACTTGAAAGACCGTTTGAACCAGACCAAGTAATTTTGCCAGGGTGTACTTTGGCACCTTTACCCCCAATCATGAAATACTTAAACTTGAGTTGGTTCCGGATTGTCTGGAAGTACATTTAAACATCTGTTAACTTGACTTGGGAAAGTACTTTTATAACAATCTACCCAAATTAGTTGAATCAAAATGTTCGCAGCAAAATTAACACATTTAAATATCAGAACATCTCAAACACTGATTAATTGGAATTCACTAATTTTGATAATGATCCAATATTTCAGGAATAAAAGCAAAACATCTCTTAGAAGATTAGAACAGCTAAGAAGGAAGAGGCGTAATAAAAAGATGTTTCGACATCATCTCAAAGATAAGGATTTATCAGAGAATTTGATCAAAAAACTATCAATGAGTAAGTTTTATCATTTGAATGTTATAATTTTTAATTTTAAAAACAAATTAAAGATGGAAATACCAGTACAATGACTAATTTGGGTTTATCTTTAAGTAGGTCATGATAAAAAATTAGCCTTTACAACATGTGTGTTTTTAAAGTGAGTAAAATAATTACAGATTTTTTAAAAATTGGTTTGTCATAGAAATTATAATCATTGAACTAAAATATTCACTACTCAAATTAATACATCAGTACACTTACAAGGCTAAGAACAAAATATTTGACAAGCTTTTTTGCTATGGGCCCTAGAAACCGAGAAAAATCTACCTTCTTTAAAACAAGGTTTTATGGCTTTTTTGTGCATATATTTCAGTTTTATATGAATTGATTTGCTTATTTTTTTAACTAGGATAAGAAAATAATATGTGGGATTGTATTTAATGAAATAAACTACATGAACAGTAACAAAAACGAAAAGATGCAATTAGCAAAGGACACACAAAAAAAGAAAGTTTTTTAACAAACCATTACAGATTCATTGTAATCATCCTTTAAATCCCTTAAGTATAAATTTTTGGAGCAAAAAAAAAATTATATTTTGGGCTGAATTAGCCAGGGCAAATTTTTACCAGTTCCCCGTTTTCCACTTCAAAATTCATGACTGGACTTTATCCCAAAGTTTATACGAGTGTTGTAAAGCAGAGTATTTGTTCTTGATCTCCATTTAGGTACCAAAGAGGAATGGGAAGAGAAAAACCTGCTCTAAGAATGGCACCATCTACTGGTACACAAACAGATCTAGAACCCTAGAAGGTACAAGTACTCAGAACCCATGGGAAAATTCACCAGTATCTTCCAAGCTGAGGTTCATGCAATTGAAAGATGCACTCAAAGGGTACAAAAACAAGAATACAGCTATCAAGTCAGATAGCCAAGCAGCTATCAAAGTGCTAAGTTCAAACATCATTAGTACAAAGAGGTGCTGAATTGCAAAACCAAACTAAACAAATTAGATATGCAAAACAAAGTCAGCTTCTGCTGGGCCCCAGGACATGTGGTAGTAGAAGGCAATGAGAAGGCTCATGTACGGTTTTTATCCACATCCTCCTAATGCTACCGAAATTAGATGTAAACCTGAATGAGAAGCGGGTGTATGGGGTAGTGCCCTTTGGGGGTGGCCCCGGGTCGGTTGGCGTTGTCACCAATTAATTGACATTGACTGAATGTCTGTAGGGCAAAGTCAAGTAAAAAAAAAAAATTACATTACATAGTGTTCTAGATAAATAAATCTGCATGCTGATTACGCTATCATTTTCTTCCGAATAAAATTATCAACACCATTGTGGACCCAAGCCTAACTACCAGCAGTGGTAAAGAGTATCTCATTTCAAAAATCACACTAAATCTGTGTGCTTAATTACATATAAACTCACAAGAAAAATAGCATTTAAGCCTAAAAGAGACAAGGTGCTTGTGTTCACGCAAATCTCCATGATTTCATATTTTTCAAAGAATACGTTAGTAAAGCAGGTATTGAATTCCATAACTATACACCCAAATGTAAGTAAGGACCGAAAATGGTTGTACACTTGCCTTCACCTTTAACCCCTGAAGAGATCAAGGAAGGTCTTTCTAGACAGGGCTTTGTGACAAACAAAGTGTAGCGGTTCCAGAAAAGACAATAACACCTCAACAAAGTTTCCTGTTTTTGCAATAACATGCGAAAAAGGAATCACAGTTAAGGAAATACTAACCGTCAGAGCTGTTGCCTTTTGTAGATTCTCCTAGCAAAAATATAAAAGTAAAGACTCTTAAACAGCTGCTGTCGTTGCCAAAGCCTGGGGACGCTTAGCTGTAGTTGTCATTGTAATTCAAAGTGTGAGATACGTGCTAACAATTACAAAATCTAGGACTATCCTAATAAAGAAGCACAAGCCCAATTAAGATGTGTGAACTGCGGAGGGGGTCATAAGGCGTCTGACATTGGGTGCCCCATTCTGATAGCAGCTGCAGCCATGAAAAGATAGTCATCAAACTTCACCACCTGTGGGTCAAATAGCGGATAGAAGGCATTTTCTGCCCCTTCCCCATAATACCCAGTGCTACCAGGGAGTCTGGGAATGTTTCTAACAGCGAAGAACATTGACCAACTAGAACGCAGCGTACGAAGATTCTACAATATTTTTTTTCTCATCCACCTCCCCGCCGTACCTAAGGGAGACCCCATACCGGTGGACCATGGCCACTAAACTAATTCAAATGGGATGCAAGTTTAGGGGATCTTATTGTGCTTAACGTCTTCCTTCGACCTTGCCCTGAGAGGGAACACATTCTACAATATCATCAATTTTCGAGCTCTTTAAAAATTCCTTTATTAAAAACATAGTATTAAAAATTAAAACCAGCCTACTCAAATTAAACACTGCGGCAGGTGCTATCTCAAAACTGGCCGTAATCTCAGAAGCAAGTTTCTCTTTTTTTTAATGATTCCACTCCATCGAGTAGTATGTAAATTATTTCAATGGTTTCAGTTGATTGATCACAGCCCTTTTTGCAAAACTTCGGAATTTGATCGAGTCTACTTATTATGAAACATTCATTTTATTGAAATCCGCTAAAAAACCCGAAATTTTGTATTTCTTTTCAGATGGGAAATGCGACTCTTCTCAGTTTTGTCAAACGGAGCTCACCCTACCTCCAGACTCATTGTGCTATTTTCGAGACAAGTCTCCAGAAATGACATTTTCCGGTGGACAAAATTATCACGTACGTATGTTTTGTTTATTATTTGAAAGGAATTAATAGTCTATAAACTTCATTATTTTAAGAGGGGCAAGACATCGTAAAACTAAAAAGAAATGAAATCTTAGGTATAAACCTCTTTGGAATGCTTTATTTCTTGGCTTTGCAGGGTCAATGTAAGATTTTGAATCGTTTTCCTGGTGAATGAACTATTTCTTTTGCAATAATTCGACCAGAGTCTGGTCAATTTTGCTTTGATTATTATGTCATCTGCGTGCCCTTGTACGTCAAAACCTTTGGTTAACTTATGTAGGGGGTCGTCCACTACGAGTGACCATAAGGTTGGTAATTGGTACTCTTCCTTGTTGGCAGGTTCTTAGCATGTAGTAAGCTTTTCATTCCCAATTTCTATTCTTATCTTTCGGCTAAATAGCATGACAAATATTCATTAGTCGTTGGCTCTATTCCTTTATTGGCTGCAGCTTTTATCAATTTATGTGAAATCATATCCTTCCTTTGTTTGCATAAAGCGATCCATAGTATACTGAGTTTGTTAGTTTCTGTACAATATTATTTAGGGCACTAATAGCAGATTGGCCTCTATGCGAATAAAGTGCTCCAGCGTTATTACTAAGAATCTAATTTTATGTTGATTTAATCGGGTTTCGTGATTTTCTTGATGACTCAGACCTTTTATTTAAATTTTCCCTAATAGACTGGATATTTATTGCTTATGCAATAAGAATATTCTATACGATTTTTTTTGTTAGTAAATACAAAGAAAAAATAGTTTATACTTCTTTAATGCGGGAACACACTCGATGCAACGCTATGCGACGCTACCCGATGCGACCCGACACCTTGCCACGTTTTGGTAGGGTATGCACATCGCGCACGCCACGTACGGTCACACAGCGTGTATCACAAATCAGTATCACTATCGCAACGCCTCTTTTGTTCTTAAGCCAGAAACACACCCGATGCTACGCCATGCGACGCTACCCGATGCTACCCGACGCCTTGCCACGTTTTGGTGGGGTGTGCACATCTATCCGACGCAAGCACACGTCGCGTACAGTCCACAGCGTTTATCACAATAATCACTATCACAATCGCAACGCATCTTTTGTTCTTAATGCACTATTTTGAGCAAAACCTTGTAATAAATTGTTTGTTAAACTTAATTGTTTTAAATAAAGTTACTCCTAACCATCATAATTAAACAATGTTTATAAAAACTTATGCATTTTTTATCTCGTTTAATTTGGTTTACATTAAAATAACATGTTGTAATTAATATAACGACAAAATTACATTTACTTAGTTGGAAATAAACTACAAAAAATATGAGTGTCCTGTTCTGACCCCGACATTACAAAATGGTGTAATTTTACGAGCAAAACTATGAAATAAATTGTTAATTAAATTTTATGAGCAAAACCGTATAATAAATTGTTCCAATTTTAGTATATGTACCGCCGAAGCGAGTACAATAATTGTTAGTTAAATTCATTATATCAAAAAATCGAATTCTGGTGTTTTGATTAATTTTCTACCAAACCATTAAAATTAATTTTTTAAATAAAAAGTAATTAATTTTTAATCACAGTTAATTTGGTTTATACTAAAATAAGTATGTTGTAATTAATATAACGACAATAATACATGTAGTTTGAATAAAAATATGAGTGTCCGGTTCTTTTGTCTTCGACTGTACTCGATGCGACCCGACGAAATCTGTACAGTGGGGATCGCGTAGCGTAGAGTTGGGTAGCGTTGCGTGGCCTTCGGCAGATGTGCCCGGGGATAATACAGTCTTTTGAAAAAATGGACTTTGGATTTGCGTCGGGTAGCATCGAGTAGTGTCGCATGGCGTAGCATCGGGTAAGTGTGTTCCCGGCTTTAAGCTTGCACTGAATTGAGACTGCGAGTGATTTAAGTAATCCTTTTTTAACTCCAAGCCGCATAATGCAGGAGGATTTATGTTAAACATCTTTGAAAATTATCTAGCAGTTTCATGAGGATCAACTCATCATTCTCTGCTCATTCTATCACATGGAGAGCTGTAAGAACTGTTGGGTGAAGGAGTCCAAGGAGAACAAGTCCTGAAATCGTATCCCTGGGGGTGGGCAATAAAAGGGTCGAATCCTGAGAAAATGTTCAAAATTTTTTACATACATATTTATAAACATTTATAAAAGTCAATAATAGCATAGAATTTCAAATGCTTTGTGACTTGACAGTATATTGTAATTCTTAAGTTAATAATTCCGATATAATCTGTTTAAATCCACTTTTTCTTTGCAGTTCTATCCAATTCACTCATATTCAATAACTGTTGGGAGAGAGTTGATGTGTAATCTAAACGTGGAGGGGTTCATTTTATTGTCCGCACACTTTGCTGTGTAAGCGGATTAGTCATTAACAATTTATGTATAGGTGAATGGTCCGTTTAGTTGAATGCTGCATTATAATTTCAATGATTATCAATATTGAATTAATACTCCATATAATTATTACATGAATTCTCAAGAGGTTAGTATTGCACTAGTTACCCGGTGTCTGACGGTCTACTTTGAGAAAATAGATAATTATTTTTTAAATTCATCTTGCTTGAAAAATATGAATGAAACGGAAGCTTTGTATATTGTTTTGTGTTGAACTTTCGTTTTTATTCACATTACGTACTATATTATAGAGCTATTGTTAACATTCAGGCCTTGCCTTTTCCTCCCCCAGGAGCGTCTCAGTCTAACGAGTCTTCCTACCAACAAAAGAAATATTCTGCTGTTTCTTCTTCGTTCAAGAATTATCGTCACAGGCTTGTTTTTGTTGCTCCGGGGTTATACATTTGACTTTGGAGTCTGTAGTATCCAGTCACCAGTTCTACTGTTGTGTTAACACGTATTAGGTTTAGTAGTTATTTCTATCCTGCAATACAATACTATTGGCCAATAGGTGTCTTCATCAAACTATTTTGTTAGTTAGCAGTTACTAACCAGTCGTGCTAAACTTTAGTTAATTTTTTTTGTCACAACACGGACTCTATTCCCAAGAAGTTTGGACACATGTGAAGAGAAACCCACGCCATAATATGAGGGATTAAGGGGTGAGGAGGTCCTGAGGTCATCGTCGTTTAAGGCAACGTGGCTGGTTATCAAGTTTGGAAAGTATAGAAAAGGCTTGGGCATGAGGGTTGGGAATGCATTGAGAGCTTGTTGTGGATCTTTTGGTAACGGGATCAAATTTCCTGAAACAAAAGAAATGTTGAGGTCATTGTGAGGAGAGTGAGGCTAGTTAAGTAGTAAAGAGCTTTGACAATCTGTCTGAGGGCTTTTGGTTGGAAGGATTAGATGCGCTGGATAATGGATTGGTTGAACCCCACAGCTTTACTCCGTATTCTGTCACAATGAGTACAGTGTTAGATGAGTTTTCACACGGTAAAAACAGATTTTTGTTCTAGAAGTCTTCGTTGTTGCCCAACCCTTCTGTAAAATTGTTTCTTAAGTCTTGTGTGGGGATTCCACGTCAGTCTGCTTTAGGTACTGTAAAGTACCATATGTACTGGTTGTATATTTGGGGGCGAACGGTTTTCATTGTAAACTTACACTGGGTACATTTTTTCTTGTAGTCTTCTCTTCCTCTTTTCGCACCAGTCTTTGATAAGTTTAGGGTGTTCTGGTCTTTGAAAATTATCTAAGCTTTAATTTTCACATCAATTATCCACTGCTGAAAATTTGGTATTTCACAAACAATTGGAGCATCAATGTTTGGTTTCAAATAAAATATTTTATTACCTTTCCCACTGCTGATAAGCACGTCTGAATGCTGACTGCATCATGCCAATGAAAGTACACCTCTAGTATGTCGGTTCTGACGGTGCTGTGACAAATCTGACATCCCAGAGCTGAATGAGAGGACTTGTGACTTCCTCTGATGCCAAATACAACTGTGCCTCCATTTCAGGATGCCAGGACTCCACTTTCCACCTGACTTTGGTCGTAGTATCGGTTAGCTTAATAACCGGCTCGTTTTTCCTCAAACCCTATTGACCTTGTAGGGAAAGTGGATGTGAAAATGTGAGATTTGCCACAGCACACGTCAAAATCTTCGATAGACATAGAATATCTATTTTATTTTTTAATAATGTTTTTGTGGATATTTTCAGCCACACTCAGACTGTTTTCAATTACACGATGAAAACATGCAGCTGCGAGCGATCATTTTCGAACAGCAGAAAAGGATAGACTCTCTTACGAAAAGAAGCCAAGAACTCATATCCGAAGTGACGCTATCAAGAGACAAGAGCAGTACTATACTCATCGACCCATTGTCACTGGATAGGCCCAGGACTGGCGACTATCACCAATCGAATATTTTCGAAAATCAAAAACAAACAGGAAACAGCAATGGCAGCGTACACCAACGTCAGTCGGAACTTAACAATCTTGCTTTGTTCGAACTAGCCATAAACGATGCTAAAAATAAATGTTTCTCTCTCAAAATGGAGGCGGAGATGGTCGAAAATTACTACGACGACATGTCAGACGGCGATCACGCTCTTCAAGAAGTGCAAAATCACCCTTTACTATCACAGTTTTTAGAAGAAACCTTTGTGGAAAATCAAAACAATACGGCTTGCAGCGAAAAGTCGAATCAAGAGTTTCCTAAATCCAGCATGGAAAGCGTTAACATTGTTAGCATGTCAAGTGGGGATTCGGGGAGCAACGGCAGCCTGACGGATTTTTTATTATCCGCTAAAAATGCCACGAATTCGGAAACGAACATGATTAAAAATGTCGTTGCTGTAGCCAAAGCGGCGCAGAATCACGACGAATCATGTGAAAGTGACGATGCCGATAGTTCCAACTTCTAGGTTATAAAGAATCAAAGGAAAGTTGTACTAAAAAAAAAAACAAAAAATCTAGGTAAGCTAAATCCTACGAAAGTTGTGATCGCATCATAAAAGTTTCGTTGGTGTAAGTTCACGTTGCATGTCTATTACAAGAGCCAAGGTAAATTTTTTTAAAAATATTTTTTTAAGATCAAAAATTAAGCATATTGTGATAATTTGTATAATTGTTACCAATTAATTTACTTTACTGTTTGTGAACTAGCTGTGCAATTAATATTTTTGGACTTTTGGACTTTTATATTTTGAATACATCAAATTTAAAAATTGGAAGCCGTTTCTTCTTTCTTTTATTTTAGTGCTTGAATTATTTATAAATTAAAAAAGGAAGGAATCTTCATTATAGATTATATTAAAAGTGGTTTTATGCCAACTTTGATTGGAAACTCTTGTAAAAAAGTTATGAAATTAATCACCACTTTCGAACACAAAACTAAACATATTTTATTAATGTATGCATGGCGTCAAAGCTTTTGGCTTTATAAATGCAGTTTTTTGTTTTAGAAATATTTATGCATATTTTGTACTTTACACTAGATATCTGCATAGTGTTAAACCAGAATTTTTTGTATCCTCTTCTTTCCGTCCCGGAATTACGTGTGTCCCGGCATGTATATGTGCTTCTGATGAAATCTCTTTCTTTTTATACTCCCGCACCCGCAGTTTTCCCTTCCACGTTTGTATTTCAACAGACCGGAAATTGCCTGTCTGTGTGAAAAGGGCATTTGACCACAGCACGACCTCCACTTCCGGGGCACCTTGGTCCTGGAGCGGCATCTCAACGCATTTCCCATTAAGCATCCACGACCCCCTGCCTATTCGGCATTCCTACAGATTCAATTAAATGTAGTTTAAATTGCAAGAAGTAGAAGAATGAGTGAAATTAAGTGATAAGTATAAAAAAATTGGTTTTACATAAAACTACACGAATTGAATAGTTCAATATTCATGCCGAACCGGCATAGGGTCACTTTTCTCCCTTCACTCGCGTGTTTGTTGAATAACTCAAACGCTTTCAGTACTGTTGAGGAACTGGAAAGGAAACCTTCGTAAAAAAATTTCCTCACTGAACATGGCGCAATGCCGAAACGCGTTTGAGTAATTCAACAAATCCACGATTGAAGACGGACCCAAAAAAGACACGCTATGCGGGTTCAGCATGAGTACACCGACTCGCACACAACACCCATCATCACCTAGTTCAATAGTGTTATAAAGATAGATTTGGAATATAATAAAAAATTAAATAAGAGAATGGTTTAGAACACAATAGAATTTGTTCTAATATAGCAGTAAAACGGATATAAAAAAAGCACTATCCACAGAATTACAGCATGGATTTTATTCCATCTGCCGGAGTTGTTTTTACAAAATAACATACAGCTAGCTGTATATGCATATGTCATGTTAATGCCCAGTAACTTTCAGCACAGCTTGATGAATTCCTTATATATTTCACTGATAACTTCCACCATATAATCACTGTCGCTGAGACATGGCTCAAACCTAATGTTCCTTCCTACTCCATTTCCTTACCCAACTACTCTCTCCTCCGCCATGATAGAGTAAACCAGACCGGCGGAGGTGTAGGCATTTTTATCCATGACAACCTAGACGGACGAATCCTAGAGACTTCCCCCATCCTTGACTCTCCTCATATAGAATATATTTTTGCAGAAATATCCCGCAATTCCCAGCGTCTCTGTTTTGCAGTTGTTTATCGACCCCCACATGTTTTCCTAATTCCTTTCTATACATCCTGTACAAACTATTCCCCACTACATCCCAACGTGATCATCACAGGCGATTTCAATGTGAATTATTCTTCCGATTCCTATAACAAATGTTTCCTTAAAAACCTATGGCTCTCTCTTAATCTTTCTCATGCTCACTTTGCTACCACTACCACACAGCCTCATCATCTACCTGGCTTGACCTTAATTGATTTTTCCGACAAACTACTAGCCACCTCCCAGCACTCCTTTCTCTTCTCTCATACCAGATTCAAAATACTAATATTCCTACCCAACGTCTCACCTAAACCATAACGTTACCAACACCTTGATACCCTTACATTTGAGGTTTTGTGGCTGGATCTGGGGACGATTATTGGGTCTCTTCCATATCCATCGTTCAATGGTCGGCTTCTTAACCTAAAATCTCCTTCGTATCTTAAATAAGAACGATCCCCTAGAAACTTCCACTATCTGTCGCCCCCTGCTTCTTGGATAAATGAGAAAATCAGAGCCCTAATAAAAAGCCGGGAAGAGGCAAGAAGGCGCTTTCGTTGTACCAAACTTCCAGAAGACCACTCCTCCTATCGTAATACAACCCAATCTACCATCCGTCGTGCCAAAGCCAACCGCTATGAGCAGCTCTCCCCACCACCCCAGATGTTAGAACAAAGCTGAACCTACTCGAAAAACATGGTCTTTGTCATCCTGTCAGCACATTCTCTTACTTTCCGGTCACCCCCTGTGAACTGTCACCCCTAAATTCCCACTTTATTTCTGCTGCTCATAACTCTTCCGGTTCCGATCTCATTTCCCTAAAAGCTCCCTCGGATCACATTACAGTTCATCTAACTTTTATTTTTCCTAAATAACAACTAACGATGTCCTCGAAGCCATATCCAAATTCCGTTCCAAGGCTATAGGAGTTGACGGCATACCCACCAAATTCCTGAAACTCTGCCTCCCAGTTATACTTCCGGTCCTTCATGTCTATAACTACTCACTTCAGAACTTCGTTTTTTCTCATCCTGGCAAAAAGCCCTTGCCATTACCAAAATTCCAAATCCATCCACTCCTAATGACTACCGCCCTATATCTATCCTATTCAATCTGTCCACACCCCTTGAGAGATTAGTCCTTATCCTGACTATCCCTCTTCCCGAAGTCTATATTTCATTGTTTCCTTCCTCTACCAGGCCGTTAACACCCATCGTTCTCATTACATTATCCAGTCCATCCGATTTAAATCCTCCTTCCATCCTGCTCATCTCCCTCGGACCTAATCCTTCGCCAGCATAAAACGTGCACCTTTAAACGGTCTCCGAGCACCAAAATTCCGATAATAACTATCCGAAAAGACGCTTCCCTTACCTCTATTAAACATCTGCTATGCATGCACCTCCTCTCCCTCCAAACAAAGTCTATTAACCGCAGTATAAATTTACTCAGTAATTATATTTTTCTGTTATTTTATGTTAATCTTCAGAGAAATTCATTTTAGTTTTACCCCTTTGCGTTTTGTTATTTATTGTTATTACGTTCATCACCACTACAAGGTTTATTTTTGTGTCAAAATGTTAACAACACTTACTTTAACCTATGTATTATTCTAAGGGGACCTGTTGTCCCCGAATAAATTATTTCTTTTTCTCCTTCGTTTTACATTTATTTGTTTGGGCAATTAATTTTACAAGTTTATACATAATATTATGTCGTACGGAAATGAAACTAGACAACGAGTAATGTTCTCCAGTTAAATGAATGTCGATTAGTATTACTAAAAATAACGTTAAATCTTGGAAATTTATTTACATTGTCTTTTACAAATTGGAATATATTACATTATACATACAGGGTGTGAACATAGTAGTTTCCTTAAAAACTAATTGGCGTAGAAATTTTTTTAATTTAAAACGGTAATCTATTTTTTTTGGAGATTCTTCAAGTTTTTGGAATTGGTTCAGAATTGGTTCAATTTTGCAAAATTAACATGGTAAATCAGATACCGGAAAAAACAACATCGCCATTGTAAAGTGAACCGAAGGTCATAAACATTTATTTGAATTTTAAAAATAATTTAGATAATTATAGCAAATTTAGATAACTGATAGAAAAAGAACAATAGCAAAAAAAATGGATTATTTTTATTTACAAAGACTGTTCGAGGCTTTCATTTACGATGTAGTAACCTGATCTTTTTAGAAATTCGAACTTCGTTGATTGCAGAATAGTTTGAGGATCTGGTTCAGAGCAATCCTCTGTCACACGATATGTTATTTCATCCACGTTTAATATGGGTGTGGAATTTTCTTAAATTATATTTTTTAAACAACCCCTTTTATTTATTTTTTTACAACTGCATACTTCGACGCAACAGGTAAAACATATAATATTTACATATAAACAATATTAACAATAGCATGGAGGCTTGAACAGCAACCATCCAGTGATGGCAGCAGTTAGTACATCAATACGATGAGCGAGATGGACTCCATCCTAGGAGAACAGTGTCAAGTAGTAAGGTTGTCTCGGGGCCACCGACGCTGCCTTCTGTTAGGATTATTAGGTAATGTAGTGGATGACAGGTTTTTGACGTTGACGGGTTTGGATGATCGCGTAGTTTGGAATAGAACGTTTAGTAGCAGGATTGGACTAGTTGAGTAACAAGAGGAACATTTGGTCGGTGTGGATAGTATGATCGGAAACATAGAAAGGAGCATTGATTATTGTTCTGAGGATTTTAGGTTAAAGGGGCTGGATTTGATTAAGGTTGGAACGCTTTGCAGTCCCGTAAAGTTCAAGTCCGTATATCCAGATCGTTAGATCGTCTGTCGAGTGGTCGTTTTAGCATGAAAAATCGCATATTAATTTCAGTCTGTGCGCTTAAGTCGTGCATGGGGGTTCCACGGCAGTTGTTAGCCCAGGTAGAGTCCGAGGTATAGTGCAGCATTATCGGACAATTAAGTGATTTTGGAGATTACGGGAAGCTGTGACAGGATTTTTGTCAGGCGAAATAAATGCGATATCATCGGCAAAGATGAGGGTGACAGAGTTAGGTGTGTTAGGTTGTGTAGGTAGGTCGGGGGTAAATTGATTATAGGAAAGAAGCGAGCTCGCTGCCCTGTGGGACACCGGATAGAATAGGATGGATAGGAGACTATGAAGTTTTGAGTGATGTTTGGAAGTAACGATCGTTAAGATAGGATCTTAGGATGAGGTAATAGGTAGGATGTTCGTGAGCTTCCACAACAGCCCAGAGTAATATACTAGG